AGCCAACTACCTCTGAGGAGCCAACTACCTCTGAGGAGCCAACTACCTCTGAGGAGCCAACTACCTCTGAGGAGCCAACTACCTCTGAGGAGCCATCAACCTCTGAAGAGCCAACTACCTCTGAGGAACCAACTACCTCTGAGGAACCAACCACCTCTGAGGAACCAACCACCTCTGAAGAACCAACCACCACCGAGCAACCAACCACTGTGGAAACATCCGCAACCGAAACCTCAACAACTGTTGAAGTCTCTACACAATCCGCTGCTGGTAACATGAACGCACCAGCTGCCATCTTTGGTGCTGCCGCTGCCATTGCCCTCCTCCTCTAAGATGCCCCCTTCCCTTTCTTTATGTAATGATCTAAATACAGAATCACACTTGCTGGATTACGGCAATTGATCTTGTCCTTGAAAATGTTTATAAAACAATAACTTCTATTTATATCTCTCTTGTACTTGCAGATGTATCTGACCAATCTTGTCTCAACAACAACCTCAGGATCATTCCTCAACTGTGAAAAGGTGTTCAAGGGAAACGAATATGCCCGATTCACCGGCTTTTACCGATCAAGTCCCCTATTTATCCTCATCGCTGTTTTTTCCTCTTGTGATGCTTTGTTTTTCTGCCATTTGTCGTTCGGAGACGTTTCTGAGATCAACACAATTTTTTGGGGCTTTCTTCTCAGGACATAAACAGTCAATGCTTTGTAATTTCACCAGCGGACAAGCGTAATAACCCGTTTGAGGCAAGATGGTTAATCATGTTCGCTATTTATCCTCGACCAGACCAGCCCACTTCATCGGTAAGTTCAACAAGCAGTTGGCTGCTACAAAGCCAAAGGAATTTGTCGTTGTGCAGTTGAACAGGCCCATTGGACTTGCAACACCACCTAAGGACACAGACAACAATGGTGATTTGAGAACTGTGAGGGAAAAATTTAGCGACTTCATGGACAGGGAGAAGAATAAGGTGCGTCAAGCCGAGTTGGAGAAGGAGATTTCCAAATCTGGGATGTACGACGTCTACACCTTTAGAAAGACCGGTGGTAAATTCTTCAAGAGTCCACCGGCGTACTGGAAGGCTGAAAAGGCTCTGTACTTTCCAAACTTCTTCGGTGAAACGTTGGTCTCCTCAACTAGCAAACCGACCACGCCCGTGCTAAAAGGCTCCGTCTCGGTAGTGAGGGTGTTTACATCGATGCTAGGTGACAAATCCTCTAGAGCGTTCTTCCAAACTGCTGAAGGCGACTATATGACCAAGGATGGGTACAACAGGTTCAAAGAGCTATATCCAACTGCTCAGATAGTTGACATTAACGTTACAGAGAATGCCACCAAGGCAATCTTCATCAAGATGTCAAAGTCAGCTCTACGCTCACAGTTGCACCCGGACCGTCATGACAAGTACTTCATAATACCACGCAAGACCATACCTTTGGATATTCGAGAACAAATACACATGGATAATACATATGGAGGCTTCATCTATGTCCTGGACCATGAGGGAAAGATCCGGTGGGCAGTCTGCGGAGACGCAGACGAGAAGGACAAGGCAATGCTATGGAGAACTGTTAGAGGATTACAGAGAGAGTACAGAGCATTGAACCAATCACAGCAGAAGGAATCCCAAAGGTGAAAAGTGTGTTTTCTGACCCCGTGTATATAGAGATATCTAATAGAAAGTGTTCACCCTTCTTGGATTGTAAGTGTATGTAGATGTGATGATGTTCGGGTTTAATGGGCTCGAAAGCTTATAGCTACAAAATTCATCCACATCTTCCAACCAACTGCACAGTAACATCGACGTATGGGACACTATGTTCAGAGCACGATTGGTTAAGAGACTGAGTCCAATTGGCTTGAGATCCTTTGGCGTCTCAAAGGCTCGTTTCAATGGTCAACCAGCCGTGAACCCTCATGTGAGTGTGTGAAGGTTTCCAATTCTACAATGACTATTGTACTAATTAGATTCACCTAGAGAGCATTCTACCAGAACTTTGGTTTCCCGTTGGTTAAAGTGCTATCAATTACATTTGGTACATACTATGGTCTTATGTACCTCTGGGAATATCTCGAAACAGAGTCTAAGACCGGCAATTCTTCAATAGAGCTTACTGACAATGCAGTGGGCTCTGCAAGCCAGGCTACAAATCACAAGTGAAGGTTCACAGGCTACAAGTACCTCCCCTAGTACTATACTTTGAATGTCCAGCACTTCTTATATCTGCTATAAAACCCTCAAAATCATAAAATGCATGTTATATATAAGTTGTATAGTCAATGGAGAAATATTCGTATCACCGTGACCTTTCCTCCCTTTGTATTAGATTTGTTTCTTTTAACTCCAACGTAAGACAATTCACAATGCCATTAAAAAAAGGTTCACTTCAACTGGTTTTTTAGTTCAAGCCAGACTTCTCCATCTCAGATTGTAATCTCTTGTCGACGGCATCGAGGAACTCGGATGTGTTAACGTATGACTCTCTATCGGTTCTACCAGCAGCCAAGGCAAGATCCTTTGTCATGATACCATCAACTTGGACGGTATCCAAGGTAGCCTTCTCCAACAAATCAGCAAACTTAACAACGTCTGGTGTGTTGTCAAGCTTACCTCTTTGAGCCAAACCTCTAGACCAAGCAAAGATGGAAGCAATGGAGTTTGTAGAAGTCTCCTTACCTTGTTGGTGTTGTCTGTAATGTCTTGTAACTGTACCGTGAGCAGCTTCAGATTCAAAGGCCTTACCATCTGGGGTAACGAGAACAGATGTCATCAAACCAAGAGAACCGAAACCTTGGGCAACGATATCGGATTGAACATCACCATCGTAGTTCTTGAAAGCCAGGATGAATCCACCCTTAGACTTGATCATTTGGGCAACCATATCGTCAATCAGACGGTGCTCGTAGTAGATACCCAATTTTTCAAATTGGGCCTTGTACTCCTCGTCGTAAATCTTTTGGAAGATGTCTTTGAAACGGCCATCGTACTTCTTCAAGATGGTGTTCTTTGTGGAGAGGAAGATGTTCAGCTTCTTCTGAACAGCCAACTTGAAAGAAGAGTGAGCGAAACCCTCAATAGATTCATCAGTGTTGTACATGGCAAGACCAACACCAGCACCCTTGTAGTCATAAACCTCCAATGTTTCCTTTGCAGAACCATCAGCTGGAGTGTAGACAAGTTCCAACTTACCAGCTCCTGGAACAACCAAGTCGGTGGCCTTATATTGATCACCATGGGCGTGTCTACCAATGATGATTGGCTTTTCCCAACCTGGAACCAATCTTGGGATACGTGGAATGACAATTGGTTCTCTGAAGACAGTACCACCGAGAATGTTTCTAATAGTACCGTTTGGAGATTTCCACATCTTCTTCAAGTGGAACTCCTCAACACGGGCCTCATCTGGTGTAATGGTGGCACACTTGATACCGACACCGTACTTCTTGATGGCGTTTGCAGAATCAATGGTGATTTGGTCATTAGTGGCATCTCTGCTCTCAATTCCCAAATCGTAGTACTTGAGATCGACATCAACGTATGGCAAGATAAGTTGATCTTTGATCTTTTGCCAGATGATTCTGGTCATCTCATCACCGTCAAGCTCAACAACTGGGCTCTTGACTTTGATCTTGTCCAAGTTAATGGCAGAGATGGAGAAGGAACGAATTGAAGAACCAGTTGGTCTAATCTGAGTTCTCAAAGCTTGGAGACGAAGCATTGCAGACATTGTATACTTGGTAATTCAAAAGGAAGAGACTTTGAAAATGTACCCGGTTAAATGACTCTTTTACTAAAGGACAAAAAAATTTCACGGACGACAAAAATACAGTGAATTTGTCCCCTTTTATATGACGTTTACAAAAAAAATCGCGTAATTGTCCAATTGTCCAAGTCCTTTGCAAAGTGTCCCGCTCGCTAGCAGTTGGGAAAATGATGATCAAAATTTGTCGCTTGTCAGAAAGGACAAATGTCGAGGCCGATTACCGGAGTTGGGCAGGCCGTGTGCACTGTGTATTCAATGCGATGACCAGTTTTCCCCATTGTCGAGATTTATAACTCAATTGGGTAAGTTTGGTCATTCATATAAAGCTTTAAGAGCTTATGTTTTGGTCCAGACGTTCTGATTCGAAGCATATTGTACTCTATGGTTTCATTGCTGCCGCAATCCATGTAGATAAGTAGGGTCAGTATGAGTTGGAGGGTTTCCAGCGTGTACGGGAAGCGGTCCGTTACCGGCGTGGTGTACGGGTGTTGGGTAAACTGTGACCCAGAGGGTAACTCGTGTTACCGAAGCGATGGGTATAACCAAGTAGGATATTTAACATTTGGCACAATGATTGTAGTGGAGATCACCTGACCCAGACATTCAAGGCATATGTCTCACCCCATGTGCACAATTCATTGTTGGAAGGTGCTCTGTGTAGTGGGAGAGAGGAAAACATTGCTGGTCTTGATGTTTGGATGTTAGACGTCACAGCTATCAGATAAGGGTCAAGGATCTAACCTGTAGCAGTAAATTTAAAGCTAAACGTGACTACGATTGTTATATAGCAAAACTTGAAAAAATTTTGATCATCATATAATCTAAAGACAGATTAATATGTGTGTTGAAATCCAATTGAGAGCTTGATAACTGCTTTGGCTCTCTTTTCAGCTCCCTAGATATTTTTTTCAATGCCAATTGTGATTCAACAAATTTTCAATAAAACAATTCTGGTATAGCAAAATTCCATTCCTCTGTATGTTATTTATTCCTAAAAGTGAACAAGTAAGCTCGAAACAAGAAGGTGATCCCCAATAAACAAAATATTCTTAACACACTTGACAGATTTGGCATACCGTTGATGTACACACAACCGTCTTCGTGTATCTTGGACCGTGGTTGCACGCCAAAAGATACGCGGTGTTCGGGTGCTGTATGCAGCTCTCATTTAGCACGTACTGAAAATTAAAACACTGCAGTTCATAAACATGGCTCCTCACAAAAGAACAAGAGTAAGTACAGATCTGGTGAAGACGGTATCCATGACCTTGTGGTGTTCGATAAATGGAACTTAATGGAGCACATACATATCTTTCCAGGAAGAGCTGAATATGTTGCAACAGCAGGGCCAATCTTGAACAGTGCATTACCGATTCTTGAACATCCTCAGGACATGGAGATACACCGTCTTTAAATAGTTCAGAAGATCCTCTCACATCGAAATAGTTATTAGCACTGACTTCTCCCAGGTTACTGGAAAATAGAGGAATTACAAAAGAACAGAGAAACAACTTCACATGTGGCACCAAGAGCAACAGCACAAATGAAAGTGGGCTCATTGAATTGATATCATTAAACTCTTGGATTTGGACCATGACCTGTCTTCTCCAATCTAGAGTTCCATTTGAAGGAATGATATCCTGATAATATTCTACAAATAGTAAAAATATGGTGCTAATTTATTCAATTGTCACAGTAGTAATCAACCAATTTACGTTGAGGCACAGTTAATTTGTCAAACAGATACTCAGAGCATTCGTGATGATTCTTGACCATGTCCTTAACTTGTGCATTGGAGTTAAGCTGTTGTAGAGTCCGCTTGCACTTAGAATACACAATTATAGTCAATCTTCTTATTTCAACTTCGTCATGAGACAAGAATCCAAAAATAGTGTTGTCTATCTCTTTGATTTGGTCAATAGTAATGACATCAAACTCAATACATTTCGCTAGAGTATCGAGTAAGAACGATGCCGGTACAACAGCTTTAGACTCTCTCAGCTGAGAAAGACAATTCTTTAAAATTTCTGATTTGAAGTCGTCAATGTTCAAATCGATTAAATCATCAACCAACTCATCAACAGAGATGAAAATGGGACTCTTGAAAGTCTTTAAGTTCTCAACAACCATATTTGCAATATTCCAAATTTCTTTTGCTTCAGAAAGTGTCAATAAACCGTCCAAAAATTGATCTATGATAAGAAGTTCTTTTATCACAATCAAACCTTTGAAGCATAATTCTGCAGAGATGTTCATACTTTTGTGGAAATAGTGTATCACACTTTTCGATAAGGTCATAAAACCGCTATGCTTCAACCATGATAGAACCTCCTCATTGCTCACAGATTGCTGTAAAGTCTTTATTGCACAGTTCATGGTATTTCTATCAATATTATCGTCCTTGAACAGATCTGAAAGCTGGAGAAGTTTTGATACAGTTGGATCCTCAGCCTTTACATTTTGGAAACGGGATAACTCAAGATCGAATAGTTTTCTCTCACCTACTGAGGTATTTGGTGCATCCTCAAAGATTTGGATTCTAGGAGTAGTCTTACTGAAAATTGGGTCAGATTTACTGATCATTTCAGTAAGAGATTTTCTGTCCGGTGCGACGAATGTCTTTGGTGTAACGATGTGTTTTTCTGGAGATATATGAACATCATTCAAGTTAACAGTCATTGTATGTGTTTGCTCATCAGTTTCCAGCTTTGGTTTGATATGATCATCCTCAGCAGGATCGTTCAGGAAAGGAGACCCAACAGAGTGAATTTCGTCATTAAATAGAGGATTAGGTATTTCTGGTTCTGGAGATGAGTCCACCATTTCCTTGTCTTCTTGTTCCAACGCCCTATGAACTGCATTGGCAGGACCAATAAAAGTAAAGTTATTGGTTGTCTCTTTTGATCCATTGAAAATATCACTCATATAATCAACATTTTGATGTGGCACATCATCCTGTACATTAGTTCCCTGAACTGGAATTTTTTTCGAAGAAAACGGATTAATCATCGTGAGCTCAACAGGAATTGTGTGTTCTAACGCCATGTCTTCATTATCCTCCTTAAAGTCATCTAAAATCATTTTGATCTTCGACTTTACGTAGGCATTGGATGAGTCAAGAGCATGCTCAAATGACGAAGTGTTCAACCCATGAAGAAGAACAACTAGCTCATCGTACTTCGGATAATCACTAATCGATAAGGGGAAGACAGCGGAACAAATCTTCTCAAATTGTATATCATCAAGTTTCAAATCGCTTTCAGAGAGTAAGATATAAAGATTCTTCACCGAGTAATCCAAGAACAAGTTTTTGTATTTTATGTGGAACATAGTTGAAGGTGCATCGCTGAAATGAAATGACTCCAAAGAATTCATTAATGACACAATTGCGTTACATGTTTCCAAAGTCCCATATCTCAGTCGAATGTCATCAATGCCCATATTGTAAACAGCCAAAAGTTTTATGAAAAATGAAGGTTGAGCCATGTTAAAGAATTTATCATGACTTAAAAGGGGCTTCAATAACTGAGTGTCTAACACTAGAATGTTGTTCAACACAGCCTCCAAGTCTGGAATTTCATTAGTTGAATCAAATTGCTGGATTAATATCTCGATTCCGTCAACTCTTTCACGTGTCAGTGGGGATTGTAACAATTTGATCATATTTTGAATGGTTGTCTCGCCTTCCGTAGAATCTTTCTTGGATATATCAACAGTGTTCTCTCTGGATGCTGATGTCATCCACTTTTGTTTCTCATCTGTCCTACCTTTAGAAAGTTGCCTTTCCAGAGGGTATTGCACGCCTGCACTAGACACTCTTACACGTTGTGGCAAACCAAGCCGTGCAGGTTTACCAAGTTCAGATGCTGCTGATGTGTCATCATTGAGACTTGACTCACTAATTTCTGGACCAGAGACCGATCTTCTATCCATTTTCTTGGAGGCAATCATTTCTTTTATTGAAGGACGTTTTCGTTCCAAAGAAGGCATTCCTTGTTTGACAGAGCCTGGCGTTGTGTTGATAGGCTCAATATCACGTGGTCGTGATCTTTCGAGGGCCTTCTTCACATTCATATCCTGTTTCGTAATAATTGTCTGAGCTTGTTCAGTAAAAAATCTGTAAAAGATCCAAAATGTAACCCTCATAGATTCTCTAACGGTGGTATTTGGATCACATATACCTTTGGCTATCCATCTGTGTAAAGTTTCGAGCTGTGAATTGTCAAGACGACCAGAATGCCTTTGGATAAATATCCTGAAAAATGTGGATGAGTAAAGTCTTGGTTGAATATTTTTATCAAGGAAAAGGTTGTAGCAATGGTTGAATAAGCGTCCGTTAAAACTGGTATTTGCCAATAAAACACAGATAGCACCAAATGCATTTAATGATGAGATCTTCTTCGTTGCAGATGTCAATGTAGCCAATGGATTGAATAAGCTCTCAGCAATAGGGTCAATATTGCTATTCATATAGAATGCAATTTCTTTCACAAGTTGGCATCCGTTTGAGGACAAAGTTGTTCTCAAAGAAAGAATAGATTTGTTGATACCGTCAAGCATTAATCTTATTCCAGATACTGATGCATCGGGATACTTCTCTGAATTTCCAATGATCAACCCACGGAGCTTGATAATGTTCTTCTCTCTGTTATTCCAATTAAATTCTGTCTCCTTCCCTTGGAATGGAGGAAGCAACGCCTCAATTTCCTTTTGGAGGCTCGAAGAAGAGTGTACAACGACAGGCGAAATAGATTGATCAAGTTTTGCAGTTGGAACACTTCCGAGTATATCACTGAAGTCAGTTGATGGCAATTTCGCCAACCTCACATTAGGAGCTAAAGTGGATGAAGTTTTCTTTTGAGTTCTGGACAAATTGCTAAACGTATCGATCATAGGCTTGTTGGAGGTAGAAGTTTTAGCCTCAGCTTCAAAAGAAGCTGCTGCTGTAGCATCAATACCCCTCAATAGTTTGATGGCCTTCTTGCTTTCGATCTTTTGTGAAGTTAATTCATCTGCTAATTCCTGCACCTTTGACTTGTGTATCGTGTAATATTTTACTAAGAGAACTTCAGCGTTCTTCACAACTTCGATGTTGCGATCACGCAACATATTAACCACGTTAGGCAAGAGCTGCTGAAAGTTGAAGTTCTTATTCAGCTCAATCAAGTCTGATACAAAGACAATAGACTCTGCCCTTACGCGCGCGTTCGAATGTATCAAAGCATTATCCTTGATGTATTTTTCCACAATAGTCGGAGTTGCAAGCCAGTATGTTTCTAGAGTAGACCTTGCTTGTTGCTGAAATACCGGCTTAGGATCCAAGAGTCTATTTATCAAGATTGGCAATATAATCTTTGAAGGACCTCTTAGGGCATTTGGGTCTTGCATGCCTACCCTTTTGATCAAGTGACACGTAGAACTGAAAGAAACTGAGGAGAGCTTAGAGTCTGAAGACTTCACACCAACCCTGAGAGCCTCAAAGTACCGAGGGACTTGGGCTAAATCCACAAATTCGTGCTTGATATGAGCCTTGAGCTCTGTTATCACTTGACATTTGTGGTTCACGTCTTTGGACAAAAGTTAGTACTCCAGACAGATCGAAAAAACACACATGGGAACTAATGCACACTCACCATATGATGATTCGGAAAGAATCTTGTACAGCTCATTTGCTGTATACTGAAACATGTTTTGATCACTTCTTTCCCTCCTCTTTAGCTATTGTTCTTTGTTTTGTTTATATGAAGAAACCCGCCGCTCATATTTGTTTCTCCCTTTGTTTACTTTTCGCGCGCTTTTGTTTTTGTTGTTGTTTGTAACTAAAAGCGCTTTTGTGTTGCTCGAACCAGTTAAACGGAACTCTATCGCGAACTCGTTTTCGAGTTTTCCTCTGTGGTGCAAACCAGAAAGTGGGAAAGTAACCGGTGAAAATTCACTTTGAAGTTGTTGGACGATGGGTTCCAGCATAGAAAGAGAAGCAGTGAACGTTAAACATGGCTGTTACTATCATGGGAAAGGCCTTTCGTGCCAAGGAACTGGTTACTGTTGGCTTGAAGTCTAAGTTCTACGGACTTGCGAAGGATGATGTTCAAAGAATCTGTGCCAAACTGGGATTGTATCCAATGATGCGTATGCACCAATTATCAGAACAACAGATCTTGGGTATAACCAAGGAGCTCTCGGAGCTCACGATAGAAGGTGATGCAAGAGCAGTCATTCGTCAAAATATTGCTCTTAAGAGAGCCATTGGGTCTTACTCAGGTATTAGACATGCCATGGGTCTTCCAGTTCGTGGTCAAAAGACAAGAACAAACGCAAAGACTGCTAGAAAACTTAATAGAATCGAGAGAAGAGGATACTCCACATATGCTGGTGCTAGCATTCAGCAGGAGACAGGTGTTTTTGGCGCGTTCAAAAACTTCCTCAAGCCCTTCTTTTAGATCAAGAGAAGAAGGATCACATTTATTAAGCGCACAACATTTCCGGTACATAGGTTTATCTGTCTTATTCATGACGGGTTGATGTAAATATATTATATTGTATGTCACAGACTATAGTCCTCTCTAAATGGTTCCCACTCCAGTTCTGTTAAGTGTCTCATTGTTGGCCTACCGTGGGGACAGTTCCAGGGTTTATCCAAATCTCCAAGGTTAGAGACAACCTGAGACATCTGCCTATGAGATAGGTGTTTTCCAATCATTATTGATTTTCGGCAGGCCCTCATTGCTAACATCGAACGAACTTTGGAACACCGTAGTGTTTGAGTGTTGGATTGTTGCTCTTTGATCAGATGCAATAACTCATAGAAATCCACAGTGTCAAATGTGATTCGCTTCGACATTGGCAAGGATACCAGTTTGATACGATTTCCAGGAATACCATCCATGTCTATAGACAACTGGAATCCATTCTTTGTAATCACATCCTGGTTATCAATCACAACAAGTTCGTCAATGACACTGAGTTCTAATGATTGAGGAACAACCATTCTTTGGCTCTCCATCACTGTATCCCTCTGAAGTTGTTCAAAGTTGTATTTCTCATCGGATGCATGTTGATCGATTATGAACATGTCTCTTTTATTATCCAGCTCACGAGTAACAAGGATAAACCCCAAGTTGAATTGTCCAATAATTTTCATATTTTTGAAGTCCTTTTTGGACACAGTTAGCGTGAGGTAATTCTCAGATTCTTCTTGATTGTTAATGTCATCGAGGTCGACTTTTTGTCTAGAGACTGGTTTACCTGTTAGAGGTTTTGCAAATTGTACGGGTAAACCCACTGATACTTCAAAGAATTCAGATGTTCCAATTTCTTTGTACTTGACAAGTTCAAGCTCATCTCTATTTGAATCCTCCTCATCGTTGTTAACTTCTTCTATGTGTTCATCCTCTTCATCTGATTGGCTTTCCTCTTCCGAATCGTGGTCATGATTACACTTTCCCCTTCGATGGATAATAGTATCAACAGTACTTTGTATTTCTTTGAGTGCTGGTTCTTCTTGAGAACCAAGTTTGAAGGCAGATAAAGATTTCAATGTAGTGAGTTTGTTTGTGAAAGTTGGCTGTAGTAATTTCTTAGAGGGCCTGACAGTTGGCTCAACCTCTTCTAGATTCTCTTCTTCTGAGCTGGAAGTATCTTCCAATTCAGGTACATGATTATGAACATTTTCATCAATTTCTACCCCAACAACATCATTCAGGTCATCTGCCTCTTCAATTTCATGGATATTTGTGCGTTCATCGTTTTCTTCTTCAACCTCATGGACATTTGTGCATTCATCGTTCTCTTCTTCAACTTCTATACTCTCAATTCTTATAGTTTCAACCTTCGCTCTTTTGGTGGAGCTTTGATCTTCAATTTCATCAAGCGGTCTCTTCCTTGGAGTGTCATCAACAAGTGTGTCGTCAATAGAGGAGGAGAAACGACTTCTCAGGGTGCTTATTGTTTCATCTGATTCATTTTCATCAAAAGAAAGTTTATGCGTGCGGGTGGTTCTTGGAAGACTCAAGTCCTGTGCATCATAGAACTGAATCATACTCGATCTTAGCTCATCAAGAACCGCATCCTCATTGTTGATCAGGACTGTCCTCTTATCAGGGGTGACATTAAGATCCAAAAACCCCGGGGAAATTGTTATATCCAATATAATTACTGGTAGTTGAGTAGCGTTAAATGTCTTGTATGTTTCGTTGATAACCTGTGCCCACTTCCTAAGGTTAACGGGTCTCTTGTTGATGAAAAAGTACTGTCTATCCTTTGCAGCCCTTCCAAAGCCAACTTTTGAGACAAATCCGTCCAGCTTGATGGTATAATCGTCATTGAAATCAGATATTTTCAGTTTTGATTTAACCAAGTTTAAATCCAATTCTATGTCCAATGGAACCAAGCCTTGTAACCCAGTTGAACCAAATATGCTGATAATGTTACTCTTTAGCGAATTGAGACCTTGAGAGTGTAGCATATTAACCTTCTTACCCTTAGAGTTCACATTCCGCACCACAAACTTGACCTTAGTATTGATCAACGCGTATGATTGCAGTAAAGAAATACACTTGTTGAACTCTCTCTTGATGTTCTTCGTCAGTTCTTTCAACCGCACAGGAAGATTCTTAAACAGAGACGAAACCGTGACAGTAGTACCCTTTGAGCCTTTACAAATAGTTGTCTTGTCCAATGCTCCAGATTCCTTGAAAGTCAACTGGTGTGCCATAGGTGGAGATTGCGTGGTGACAATGCCCAAGGAGCCTATCGAACACAAGGACGATAACGCTTCACCTCTGAAGCCCAATGTGTGCACCTTCTCTAGTTCATTGAAAGAGGACAACTTAGAAGTATGATGCTTCAAAGCTATTGATTCAAAATCCTCTTCTGAAATCCCATCACCATTATCACTCACTGTGATCGAATCCAACCCGTAATTCTTGAACTCCACTTCAACAACAGTCGCATTGGCATCCAGACTATTCTCCACAACTTCCTTTACAATGGAGGTCATATCGACAATCACCTGACCCGATGTGATCCGATGAACATCTGCTACTTCGATATTTCTAATCACCATTGTCACCGCCTCTGCCGTTTGCTCCCAATCTCTTAATGTTTACGCGTCAAAACAACAACAACGCGCTTTTCTGTTTTTGTTATGGGGTTTTGTGAATTTAAGCCGCCATGACAACGGAAAGCTCTGCTTAGCAAATTACAGCTGATGTTCAATGACACACCATGCAACAAACCACGGTTAGGGAACTATTAGCATGTTTCAAGCAGTATATCATAACCTGGTTGAATATCATCGCTTATGAGCGAGGTGTGTACCCAAAGACAGCATTTGAGGAGAGAAACTCGTTCAATCTTAGGGTTCCATACAACAGACATCCATCCGTACAAGAATGGCAATTGGAGCTTGTACAAGACCTCCTAAATGATCTAACACTTGGACACTTGATGGCTCTACGGTTGATTCTAGCGGCTGATAATGCCTCTGAGTGTTATACACTGGACCTGCGAGAATTTCGAACCATAAAGCCCGATTTCCATGATAAAGAAATAGTTGATGTTTGTATAGATGATATGGTTGATCAATATCGGGCCAATTTGAGTGCTTTCATCTCACAGATACGAACTCTCAGGCCACCGCTTGACGGGATATTCCCAACCATGGAGGTCACAGCGGAGACCAAAGGTTTGACCCTCAAGGAGGATTGGATATTAGATAAACGAAATGAATATATTCAAGAAAATGATAACGATAATGGAAATATTAAAAGTATGAGTTCGTTGAGACCATTGCCCATAGTCGAATGTGGCCCAATAGTGTTTTATTCCTCAATTGAAATCAAACAAGCAAGTAAATAACATAATGAAAACAGATATAACATAAAAACAACACAGACAAATATAATGCATACATGCTTCAGCATGCTATGGTGTGAATCATTCCAAGTTCATTGCTCTCTTCAAATTTTCGTACATGAGATAACTTATGGACACAGCAGGACACACTTTTGCCAAATTAGGTACTAAACCTTTAAACAGACCTGGTAGACCTTCCCTTTTGATTGTTTGTTGTAGAACGTCTCTAAATCCATCGTACTTATAAGGGTGGGCAAATGTACCCTGTGCTTGAAGTCTGGTTCTTAACAAGTTTATCGGATAAACCACCGTGGCACCAACGGTACCTGAAAATGCACCCATAGGTAACACCACCAAATTACTCATGATGACGCTATCTTCTGAACATTTGAGTCTCTTTGCTTCCTTGTGAATGTACCACTTTTTGAGGGCACTGAACGTACCCAAATCCAAAGCAGCATAAGGGAAAATACCGGCAACACCAACCAAAACACCTCTATAGAACAGTTTCATACCACCTTCGTTGTACATCTGACGTGCGGTTTCAATCAGAAGCTTATTCCCCTTGATTTTGGTATCCAGTGGAGCGCACTGGACACGATATTTCAGAGTATCGATTGGATAAACGGTGAATTGAGAAACGACACCACCAAGACCACCAGCAATATATGTTGATACTTTTGATAGCTGGGACACATCCTCCACATTTTCCAAGTTTGCCATGACTCTCTTTGCCAATTCAAACGATCCGAACTTCATTGCAGATTCAGGGAACACTTTCATAACGTTCAATCCATTACCCACGTAAAATGCCTTCAGCCCACCCTGTCTATATAGTGTAGTGGCAGCTTTAACCAAAGGAGATCTAATCTTCTTTAGTGGTACATTGTTGTGCTGTTTAGCCAATTCGGACTTGTCATGTAATAGTGTCGAGGAAAGATCCGTTCTTGCAATGAGGAAGACCTTAATACGATCAAACGGCGCCGTACACGTTCTCGACACGACACCCGAGAGTCCACCAGCTAAGAAGAACCCGATACCTTTTAAGAATTCATTCACCACCGTGACATCACCTTCAGAGTTCAAATCGGCCTCGTTATTATTGAGAAATTCATAAGCGGTGCGTAGCCTTGATCCGTTCATTCTTGGTACAAACAGTAAGAATTCACGCCATTGGTCATACGTAATGTAGTCTGAAGAAGACTTGGAACTGATGTGCCGTGAGAATTCCGAAAAGTCCTCGACGTCTTTGTCCTTGATCTGCTTCAGGTACCTCTTCAACTCCGATTTCACAATCTTACCATCTTGATCTTTGTCAATCTTGACAAAGCCTGCATGTATTTGAGCATCCGCTTTACGCATGTAATCTTTAAATTCCTGGAAATCTATCACATCGTCACCGTTGGAGTCTAACGAGTGAAACAGATTGTCGATCGCAGACTTGGAGTTCTTCAATGGATGGTTTGTCTCGTGGAATGCCTTGTGTAAGGTCGTCGCATCCACTTTCCCTGTATGGTTCAAGTCGATGAGCTCGAAAAGCCTCTTCAGCTCTTGCTCATCTGGTACTCTCTTAATGGGGGACTTATCCGTGGTCATTATTTCTCCTCTCTCCGTTAGCAACGCAAATAACAACTAGATCAAACACAGATGAAGAGAGAACAACAAAGCAGTTGATGCAACCTTTAGATTTTTTTCTCTTCTTTCTATACAATTGCGGTTGTGTTTACAATTTTTTTCTTTCTTTTTTCCCTCTGGCTCTTTCCGTTTGTACGATGGTAAAATTCCGCCCAGTTTTCATTGGAGCTTTACCGGGGGTTCTCTCCTAATTTTGTGCACCTGAAGCCAGCGGCAGGTCTATACAGTGTGGAACCGTACGGCTCTGCCTAGAGTTCCTTTGAAGTTTAGGCAGAAAACAATGCCCTCTAGAAGGAGCCCTGCTTAAACAAGGCGAAACAAAACGGTACTTTCCCCTGTGAAGCCCAATTGGGTTAACAGTGCCGCTGCCTGGTGTCCCCGGGGCACAACACCTCCACGGTCAATTCTGGATATTGCTCCTATTAGCTACAGATGGCAGCTCACATCGATCTTCTAAAATGTGTAGCACACTGCCTCTTGTCTATATTATACAAGGTGAGACCTAAGAAGTCATTCAAGCTTCAAATGATGGGTGGACGCCCTGGATGAAACCGGCGCGGGCCTCTCATCTTCAACGAGCCGGGAGATGTGTGCGTGGATGATTTTGAAACATCGCGAAATCAACAATTCACCCCGAGTAGCATTGGTCAACGGATACACACAAACCCCCATTGGTCCATGAGCCTGGTGCTTAGTCAGAGAGGGGCACTGTCATAACTGCTCGAATACGGTTTTTGTCCTTGCAGCTCTAGTTCTTTTGGTCTTGCGTCAGTGCGATGTTTTAGATCAACTACATCTCATTTTCATCAGAGAGGAGTTGATGTTTGGTGCAATTCCGCACACTGTAGAAACCCATGGAAATTCAGACATGTTGGCGGGATACGTCCTGATCTCACCTTCCCTCTGTGGACTGTGGCATGTGCTCTTGAACAAAAAACACACGTACACAAACTGTGCTTCTTATCGCCGTAGGGGTTCGCTTCCCGGGGGCTAATACCGATGAGTTTTTTCAGAGTTGGGACTATAAAAGGATAGGTTCCAGGTTAGTTTTTCCTTCGACGTGTTATCACTCTTCTCATTCCGAAATATCCCCATTGATTCAATTGGTATCATAGGAAGACGATGTCATACGGATCTGCAGCAGCTGATAGACTTAGAGGTAAAACCATCCTCATCACCGGTGCCTCTGCTGGTATTGGTGAGCAAACAGCCATTGATTACGCGGAAGCTTCCAACGGTGAAGTTACACTGATTCTCACAGCCAGAAGATTGGAGAAGCTGGAAGAGCTGAAGTCCAAACTGGAGAAGGACTTCTCCACCATCAAGGTCATCATTGCCAAGCTGGATGTTTCCGACTTGAAGGATATTGACACTTTCTTTGAAACCTTTGCGGAGGCTCTCTCAAAGGTTGACATTCTCGTCAACAACGCCGGAAAAGCACAAGGATTGGATAAGATTGGTGATATAAAGCAAGCCGATATCAACACAATGTTTGATACAAACGTTATTGGTATGATTGCCATTACTCAAAAGATCCTGAAAGGCATGAAGGAGAGAAACAGCGGAGATATTGTTCAATTGGGATCCATTGCTGGCAGAGACCCTTACCCAGGTGGTGGTATTTACTGCGCAACTAAGGCTGCTCTCAGATCATTCACACACTCTTTGAGAAAGGAGCTGATCGACACCAAAATCAGGGTCATTGAAGTCGACCCAGGTAACGTTGAGACAGAGTTCTCAAACGTGAGATTCTTTGGCGATAAGGAGAGAGCTAAGAAGGTTTACGAAGGAACAGAACCGCTGATCGCAAAGGATATCGCAGACCTCATCATCTTTGCCACTACCAGACGTGAGAATACCGTCATCGCAGAGACGTTGATCTTCTCTACAAACCAGGCATCTGCATTCCATCTCCACAGAGAAACCAAATAGATGGCTGATCGAGGCCCCAAGGAAATTTTGTCCGTTTAGCTCTTTTGTGAAAAGACAAAACCAGTGTGTACGTTATAGAGGTGAATTGTATGATTCATCAGCTTATTGCTGTGTGTAGGTGATATAATCTCTCAACAAAACTCCAATCAATGACACCTCTCAGAACAAATTGGCGAAGCTCATCGCAGATGGACGGACGGCGAGCCCCTATCGGGGCTCGTTGTGCGCTGCCGTTGTTATCGCTTGCATCGCTAAATTTTTTCCCATACAGATTTCCACCGCTGGATGCTAAGCTTACCAATAACCATGTCGTTCAGCTCTTCAATTCATCTCAAACAAATCCTCCAATTGTATAAACCTGGAGTAAATCATCTCGAGCTTTGTATAATTGACTCCGTCTAGTTGACTCCGGACTGGATCAAACCACCAGGCGTTTACACCGTAGAAATTGGGGTTTCTTTTTTTTTTTCCCTCTTTGGCGAGTCTCTCTTGTTCTTTCCCGTCTTGCGCAACCAGGAAAATTAGCCGTCCAGTAACAGATAAAGCTGGGCCCAGTGCCAAAAAAGAGCTACATCCATGGGAAAACTTTTCATTCATCTCCAATTATTTGGACTCTTTCAATAGATCACGCTTGTTTCACTCTTTTACCCCATCTTGATCGTTGAGCGATGACCGAGGAGCTTGCGTTCATCGGTATCGATGAGATTCCGCAGAGCGACAGCTACAGGGTTCTGAAGGATCTGTTTGCCGGTACCATTGGTGGTATTGCACAGGTTTTAGTTGGCCAGCCCTTTGATACCACCAAGGTCCGATTGCAGTCGGACGCCAGTGGCAAGTACAACGGTCCATTGGACGTTGTGAAGAAGCTGGTCAAAGAGGAAGGTCCGAGGGCCTTTTACAAAGGGACCTTGACTCCGCTGGTTGGGGTAGGTGCCTGTGTGTCGATCCAATTCGCAGTCAACGAGTACATGAAGAGATCTGTCTTTGACATAAACAAGGGGTTGACGGGCCCACAGTACTACACATCAGGAGTGGTTGCAGGTGTTGCAAACTCGATACTGGCCAGTCCAATTGAACATGTGAGATCGAGATTACAGACTCAAATCGCCGGTTCTTTGGGTCCTTTACAGATGATCAAAAAGATATACAGCACGGCTGGGTTTACACATGGTATCATGAAGGGATTCCTACCAACAGCTATTAGAGAAGGTCATGGCATGGGTATGTACTTCTTGACGTTTGAATACCTCGTGAAGAGAGATATCACCAGAAACAGCATTGAGAGGAAGGAGGTTCCAGGATTGAGGCTCTGTTTATACGGTGCAATGTCAGGATACGCGATGTGGCTCTCCGTGTACCCAATAGATTTCATCAAGTCAAGAATCCAGACAGATAGCCTTGAAACTCCAAAGTACAAGGGAATCAAGGACGTTGTTAGAACGGTCTTCAAGGAACAGGGTGTCAAGGGTTTCTTCAAAGGGTTCGTACCAACAATCCTTAGAGCTGCACCAGCTAATGCAGCAACTTTCTACGCATTTGAAATCACAATTAGAGCTTTGGCTTAGTATCAGGGGAATATGTATAGTACATTGTTATACAATAGAACCTAAAAGCACATCGAAATGGTATGTCAGAATGTATTGGTGAATATTCCGTCGAGTAGCTCCTTCCCACTTAGATCCAATCTGATTATCAGAAGCACCCGGAGTAGTACAATCATGCTGATAAAGCTAGCCAACCCAACAGGCACCACTGCAAAGACAGCGATGTTATAGTAGTCAATGGTTCTTCTCCTGTTTCCTGCCTTTGGATCAAGATTGCTAGTCACGAAATTTTGAATGATGTAAGCACCTGTTAAGACACATGAGATCAAGATCCAAGTGTGTAAAGAGTAACTTCCTTCTGGGCTGAAAATGGACAATGCACCAGTTTCAATAGTGATAAGAAACATAGAGATGGATAGAACCCTCAGGATAGCTGCAGATGTTTGATATGTAACTATCCATCGTACCATCAACCCATCAATGACCTGGTAGGACAAGTAAGCAGCAACAAAGCACCATACACCGGCCAGGAAATATTCCGTGGGACTGGCCGTTGTTAGCATTGGGATATAGTTAACATCTGTGATTGAGGATTCATTAATGCTGAAAGTCTCAACTGTGTACTTGAACGCCTTGAAAGCATGGTATGACGGCGGTAGCAGCACAACATCTCGACAGAACGCCAACGCGAGGTGCTGTCTAGCGTTCAGAAAGTTCAATCCCATCTGTTTCAAGTTCTTCTTGGATGTTCGTGAATTCTGCTGCTCGTCATCTTGTAGTGATGCCATTGAAGATGTTGACCTTTGCATGGGTCTACCAGCGGCAGCTTCATAAGGTGGGGCTTGTTCGTCATGTTGATGCCTCTGTTGTTGCTGTTGCTGTTGCTGTTGCTGCTGGGCATAGTTTTGTAAACTCACACTCGATGGGGTCCCACTTATATGCTGCTGTTGAATTTGGAAGTCTTCATAGTCAGAGTTATCTGGCAAGGGAGTTGGAGGAGGAATATCTGCGTAGTTTTGGTTGTTCTGTTGGCTTTCATGCCGATGGTGATGAGCACGACCCCTATACATGTGAAGCGATACAAAGGAACCGGGATTTGAATATAGATCACCGTAATCAAGTCCTGCTAATGTGGACGTGAGATAAGAGCAGTTTGTATCCGGTCTACCGTTCCAGCTTTTACAAGTATATTGGCTCCGGGGGTTCCAGATTCGTCGTACTTTGAACCAAGCCCAAAGTTTTTAAATCGGCCTAGTGTCCTGTGCTGTGCGTAACAAAGCGGTATTGACGAGATAATATTAGCAGTGCTGGGGATATCTAATGATCTTTGATTGGAGTGTGGAAATATGCTACGGTCGTTGATTTATAATACAGTTCTGTAGAAAGACCATAGGAATGAGGTAAAACAGGCACTATTAGAGCGCATTAATTCAGAAGGTATATACGTGGAGAAGTATATAGGGACCAAGAACTGCTTGGTTGTAGTTTCAAAGAATGAATAGTAGTTGGTATGCTGAGCATCACACAGGGGTTCTATGTGATGATGCAATGTTCAAAGACGTTGATTATCGAGTCAAAAGAAAGGCGTCCATTGGAAAAGTAAAGGGAGCAGACAAGGAAAAAAGTAATGGCCAGGTTACCAGAACTTGTACCATGGACGATGTAATTTCCTTGAAAGTTGTTTGAAGTACTCCATTTCTGTCCAACAGTCTCTTCCCCAGTCACAGCCCGCCATGTTGACCATGAAGTCTCTGTCCTTTTCGTTATAGAAGTAACGTGGGTCGTTGGCCTCTTGCCAGCACGCGCCTGGAGGGAAGGCATTGATCGATCTCAACGGCAAGAACGTTGTGCGTTCTCTGATCCATGGTAAGTTGGTGTACAAGCTTTCTAACGCATCTTGCTCCTTGTGTTCCCATATCATGTGCTTCTGTTCGTAAAAGACAGGATCCCACCAGATGTCCAACAGCGTCTCTGCCCATTCTCCCTTCTTGATCAGAAAGGAGCCCAGGTTGAACCCACCACAGTCCTGGGTAATGACGAGCTCCACTGGTGATGTTAAATCAACATAAGGAACATCTGGAGAAATGTGCAGTGGGTTGAAATCTCCAAGTTGTCTGTTTGTGATATTGTCCAGCTTGGAAAACACTTGCTCTTCAAGCGAGATCTCAGGTTCCATGATGTAGGTGTGTAAGTCCAACCACCAAAACCATTCAGCGTTAGGGAACTGTCTAAAGCTCTGTTTCAGTATATCAACCTTTTCCCAGCTTTCTCTCCACTCGTGAGAGTATCTCTTCTTCAAAGTGAGGTCCTTGATGACCAGTCCATATCCGTGCTTTTGGGCATAGTTTCTCTTGTTGGCAATGCTTGATCTCTCAATGGACCATTCCTGTGCACCTTTCCACTTGAGAACACCGCCACCTTCGTTTGCCGCTAGAATGAGCACAACCTTCGGATCGGACAGTGAGAAATGGGGCACGAGTGGGATATCGGTGAATAGAGACAATCCTAAAAGCACCAACAGCAGCAATCCAAACTTCTTGTACTTATTCATGGTGGAGCTCAAAGCATGGCCCCTGGCTTTCCACGAATAGGAAGGGCTATATTTGAGATTCGATTCAATATCTTTATCAACGTACACCATCGATGCTCAAAAGAATTACGTCTCGGTTGGAAATGTTGTTGTGTCCAAAGTTTTGATTTGAGAGACAAAAATAGTTTACTAGCGAGGAAAAAAAAAACAGACAAATGGACAAGTACAGCACAGAGAGAAGGAGAAATGATCCAAATGACAAATAAATGAATTCAGACGAGTTCACAGTGTTGGATTCTTCCACAGTCAAAGAACCAACGAGCAGGGTTGCAATAGTTAAGCAGTTCTTGCCTGTGATTTGGAACCAGTTGTGGGAGCGATGGTTTAAAGGGGAAAGGACAAGTCTCTGGCTTCGAGATATTTTACGAGGGTTGAAAAAAGAAAACAAAAAAATGGGCAACCTCAACAACAGGGGAAAAAAACACAAAGTTGCACGGATTCAGAAGGAAATGTCCAAGAGACAAAATGGACAAACAGGACAGTTCTCCCGTTAAGTGATTAGTACGCGCTTCGTTCGGCCATTTTCACTGCGGTGTGCTTGAAATGGTGCAAGGAGACGTAAAAGCTACTTGATTTCATCCATCATTCAGTGATAATGTTAGGCGCCTTCAGATCATCACATGTAATACAGAGCGCACGAGGCCTCAAGCGGAACCTGAAATTAAGAGACACACAACGGTACGGACACAATGGTAGACACACCAGTTCTGACGGTCGGTGGTTCGAACCCCCTCAGTGACTGCTCTCGCCACATCTCGAGATAAATCCAAAAGAAAACAAAAACATTTGTTGCTCCGATCGAAATTGACTATCCCAGGAGGTATCGACGTGTCCGTCCAAGCACCTCTCACACTCCCAGGCATCTTGCACGTCGTTTCTTTTTTTTTCTCCTTTCGTTCTCCCACGCTTCACGCCAAATGCATGAGGCTATCCCGCGACTTTTGGTATAACCTTCCTCTAGCGGAGAAACCTGTATCTAAAACTTCTCCAAGAAGCGACTGACAACGAGATGAAACTTCAGGAGGGCGGTGTGTCTTTAAAAACATGAAAAAAAAGAAACCACAGTTGCCCTAACACGACACAGCTCGTAGTTAAGCACATTGCCTCGTACGTTGGTGCCTCATGATGTACTTCTTATCAATTCAGGTTGTACAATTATCTGTGTTGGTCTGGTGATCACTTAGAGGAGGTATGGGTTGACATTAAGGTGTCACAATGCTTCATTTGAACCCTTTTTGCTCAAGATCGGAAACAATCAACTTAGTGCCTGCACTCCAAAAAAAAAGATTAAGGTGAAATCAGACACTACGTGCTAACGTAACCCTCTGTCGGCACAAGAGAGATTACTGTTCATACGGCATGTTCACCCTGAAAGCTTTTCCAGCATCGCAAAAGTACAAAATTGGGTCTGGATGCGATTGTCCTTGACGTACGTGATCAAAAAATACAAACGGTCGCATGCGTTTACCCTCGTGGAAAACGATACCCGGTGTCTGCGTTTTTTAACGCCGTAGCTACAACCGATCTTGGTAGTCTTCGTATTACACCAAGTTGTACACCTAAAATGCACACGGGCCATGTTGGTATAAAATCTTACAGTATTGTCTCCATTTTCCTTTTTCCTTGCTTTATCATCTTTCAGGTGAGCTTTGGTTCTACACTTTCAACTTTGAGCCATTCAATTGATACCGCAAAGGAAAATGGATAAAGAACTGCAGTCTTTTGTTGAAGAGATACCGTTCTTGAACTACGCAGAGGTGACTCCAAGTACAGCGACACATGAACATGAGGAACACAAGAGAGATCCTATTCGTATAGCGAAAGACGTGTTTGCCGGAACCATGGGAGGTGTTGCACAGGTTCTTGTGGGGCAACCGTTTGATACTGCAAAGGTGAGATTGCAGTCAGACGCACTGGGTAAATACTCTGGAATGCTAGACGTTTCAAGAACGCTCGTTAAAAATGAAGGTGTGCGCGCTTTTTACAAAGGTACCATGGCACCGTTGGTTGGTGTTGGAGTGTGCGTTTCCATTCAATTTGCCGTTAACGAATACATGAAGCGTGTTGTTTTCCACAATAAACCAGACTTGTCATCCCTCCAATACTGGATTGCAGGTACGTGCGCAGGATTCGCAAATAGTGTTGTGGCAAGTCCAATTGAGAATATCAGATCAAAGTTGCAGATGAGTGTATCTGGCAACATGCGCACAGTGGAACTGATCAAGGAGATATACTCCAAGGCTGGTTTTTGCCATGGTATAATGAGAGGTTATACCGCAACGCTAATACGTGGAATGGGTACTGGTATCTATTTCATGACTTTTGAAAAACTAGTGGCACATGACATGAGAACGCACAAGCTTGAACGTAAGGAGATCCCAGGCTGGAGAATGTGCTTATATGGAGGAATCGCAGGCAATTGTATGTGGGCTGCTTCGTACCCTGTCGATTTCGTAAAGACTAAGCTCCAGACCGACTCGCTGGATACCCCAAAGTACAGAGGCATGAAAGACGTTGTGGTGGCTGTATACAAAGCCAGAGGTGTAGCTGGATTCTTCAAAGGATTTGTACCTACAATGCTAAGAGCAGCACCTGCAAATGCTGCGACTTTCTATGCATTCGAGCTTACAATTAGAGCATTGGGTTAGAATTTGTAACGGTGGGTTTTACTATCTTCGATGAGTTTTTTTTTGCATGATGACGATAAGATTAAAAAGAAGGATACAATAATTTAATAGACAGATCCGGTTGAGATCATTCATCTTCTAATCTTCTCAACAAGTAGTCCACTTCGACTTTTTTAGTCAATGGGATAACCCAGTCTTTGTAGATCTTTGCCAAGTGTTCCACTTTAACTTTACTTGGAACGTTGTCTCCATCTTCATGGCTCCATCTAAGGGTTGGATCTGTTCCGTAGGCACGGCCCTTTTCAATCAACCTTTGTAAGATTTTCTCCTCCACTGCGGAATTGGTAATGGCAGCTTCTATTCCTGCAATGTCCTTGTTGAGTATCATCTGGGTGTATTTTTCACGGTCGTTGATGAACTTGGCCTCGGCAACAAACTTACCAAAATGGATTCTTCTTGAAAGAGCTTGGAGGTTGTCAATATCACAGGTTACACACGACCCCAGGTTTTCCGGTTGTTCGCCGTCACGAGCGCTAACCATGGGGATGATGTGCTCAATGTAGTTCTCCTTAATGAGGTCGTTGATGTTGACTTCATCCGCAAACGACGCCAAAATCTTTGGGTAGTTAATGGATGGGAGCAGCGGTTCCAGGATTTCGTTTGGGAAGAAAGGAACCTGGTCCGGGGATTCGTATCGACGAGCCTGAGAGTGCGTCTTCTCAATGTTCAATAGCATCCAGTCCAAGAACGAGCCGTGGAATTGTGGAATTTCAAACTGGTCCTTTTCATAGATTGACCCATTGGTGAAGAATTGCGCCCGCTCTATAAAGTTGAAGATGATGGTGTCCTCCATACGGACAAGCTCATCACGAATGTTTTGCAAATCAAGAACAGTTTCCGGTTTTAGAAAGTCCATCACGTTAGTGTGCTCGTTACTATAACTAAATCTTCTCCCTTGCCACTTGGAAAGTTTCAAAAGAGGGAATGTCCGTTTCGCAAACATTCTACCGCTGTTTCGTGTTACTCATCAACAACCGCCAATTCGTAGGCTCGGTTTTCCTCTTTTCGCGGGGGCTCGCAATCCTTACAGAGGGGGGAAGAAAGGGCCGCCACTACACATTACAAAGGACTTCATGAATATCATCTCTTGTTAAGTGTATGTTAAAAGTCAAAGCAAAAAAACAACAATTTCTGCTCCCGTAATTGTGTGCACGTGATAGTATACCCCTCTGACACTGACCGTCTATGCCAGGGAAGCTTCCTGCACAGGTTTGGCTTGCATGATCTCCTTCAATAGTTGTTCGTCTTTCTTTGCACCTTCGTTTAGACCTTCTGTTGTCTTGTACATGCCAAATGTTCTGAACCATAAGAATCTTTTTATACGTCCCACACGGCTCGTGTCTAGGCCGTAGTTAAGGTAAGCCGACATCAAGTGGGCCTCGCAGGTGTCATGTACTTCTTGTCTTGCAATTAAAGTCGACTCCATGTTGTTCAAGAAGAACCAACCTTGGATAGCCGCTCCTGAAATCATAAATAGGATTATACCTGCTAATGCCTTCAATTTGTCCTGTCTCAATGCTGGGTCGTTCATATCACGCAAATTCTGATAGTCTTCCCATGTGCTTGCATTCCAATAACGTTGGTCCTGGTAGTTATAGCTCGAAGGCTGTTGGTCTGTACGCCATGTTGGTGCCGTCGTTGAGACACCATTCCATCCAGTTTTGAACTGATCATAAAGCGCCCTTTTCTTATGGTCTTTCAATAATGAATATGCATCTGTTAACATCTTGAATCGTTCACTCTTGTGCTCTTCTGTTAGGGTTGCTCCGGTGTGCGATACGATTAGCTTGTTTACACCCGTATCCGGGTGGTACAATTTCGCCAACTGGTAGTACTTCTTCTTCAACAGCGCACTATCGATGTTGACGTTGTTGTAGAAACCTAACACTTCATAAGGTGTCGGGTTCTTGTGCTGTGGCCATTCCTTGTGGAAAAACGGTTCTCCGTGGGCACCCGTGGGTAACTGGTGTGAGTAGAATCTCTTGGGGCCTTTCACAACTGATAAGCAACAACAGCTTCTCTTTAGCTGTAAGTCTGTTATATGGAACATAGGAACACGGTTGGTTAACACCACTCAGATCTAATGGGAATGAATATGATAAGATGAATATACAAAGAGAAGAATGGAGAAACTAAGGAAAAAGATCCAGAGAAACAGGCGGAAAGATACGAAAGGTGATTGGAGAAGCTGATGAGTTAATTTTCTCTGTTAAAAGTTAAGCGCACCTTCCCTATGTGTTTTTTTTTTGTTTTCAAACACCGCAGTTTGTGCAGGGAAGACCACTGTACCAGGTGCTAGTGTGCTCGAACCAGCCGCTTTTTGTATGGGGGAGCAAGTTTCAAAGCCCTTTTGACACAAACAGAGGCGCGCGCACACACGCGCGTTGAAGAGTGTTTTGTAAAGGCAGACGACGCGGTGTTGCTGCGATGTTGTTGCCATGTGCGGTGTTTAGCTGTACCGTATTTATATTATTGAACAGTGTATTTAAACCGTGACACCGCTGTTTTTTCCCCTACGTTGAACTAAGTGAGCTTTTGTCAAAGGCTCAGTGAAATTGTCTTTCGCAATCCGTGCGCACTGTGATTGGTTGGTTCAGTTTTGTGTCAAAGTGCACAATGACACCGTTGGACAGCATTGAGGGCATACCGTGCACCAGCTATTTGCCCTTCAAGATGAGGTTCAAAGTGTAGTGGTTAAAGAGAAAGGCACTGTAGCGATGGCACACGTTATATCTTCATATTCACATATTCAGCCACCAAACAATGCCCTTGGAGGCTCCTCGAACCATAACAGGTCACAGCAAGAACGACAACTACACCAGCTCAAGAAATACCAAAACACGCTGCTATATCAAAAGAACAGCAAACCTGGATATGTTATCTCTGATAAGGGGGATTTCTACGTCAATTCGAGGTACCAGATTCAAAATGTCTTAGGGAAGGGCTCCTATGGTGTTGTGTGCTCTGCAGTGGATACAAAAACTCCTGCGAAGGAGGTCCCATTGGCGATTAAAAAGGTTTCAAGGATCTTTGAGAAGGAAGTTTTGTTGAAGAGGGCTGTCAGGGAGTTGAAGTTGATGAGATTCTTCAAGGGCCATCGGAACATCATCAACCTCATCGACTTGGATATCGTTTACAGCGCACCGTACGACGGGCTCTACTGTTTCCAAGAGTTGGCAAGTTATGACTTGTCAAAAGTTATCCATTCATCCACGCAATTCTCAGAATTTCACATCCAGAGCTTCCTCTATCAGATCTTGTGTGGGTTGAAGTATATCCATTCTGCAGATGTGGTCCATAGAGACTTGAAACCTGGGAACATCTTGGTGACAATGCAGGGGACTTTAAAGATCTGCGATTTTGGCCTAGCTCGTGGAATATCACCAAAGTTTATGGGCTCAAAATCTCAGGCAATAACAAATTACGTTGCCACTAGGTGGTATAGAGCTCCAGAGCTCCTCTTGAGCAGAAGAAACTATTCCAAACTGGTTGATCTCTGGTCAGTTGGATGTATACTTGGTGAACTATACGGTAGAAAGCCCCTCTTCATGGGTAATGATCAAATCCATCAATCCACAGAGATATTGAAAGTCTTGGGCACACCATCTAGGGAAATAATTTTAAGATATGGTAGTAGTGCAGCGTGGAATTTGTTCAGTCCACCAAGCCCACAATTCCAGCCAATGGCATGGAGTGATGTTTATCCATTTGCATCAGAGAATGCTCATGACCTCATGTCTAAATTGATTTGTTGGGATTCCAACGAGAGGTATAATGTTCATGAACTGATTTCACATAGGTTCTTGAGAATGGTAAGGGACCCATCAGATGAGCCAATCACACCCCAAGTTTTCGATTTCCAGTTTGAGAACACTGCAAAGACCTTTAATGACTACAAGATCTTAATTCACGAAGAAGTTGAACTGTTTAAACAAGCGAGATTGGGGTCTCTCAGCTAACAAAGGTAACTAGTTCTACTTATCTAGAAAGTTTTTTGGGAAAGGGCAACAAAATATAAACACATGCAACCATAGCAATAAAAATCCAAACACCAACGCCAAAAGAAAAATGCCAAAGTTCTCAATGGCTTGTAGCACTGTGTTTCGCATTGGCTGAGGGAAAAGGCGATTGATAAAAACAGCGAAGAGTAGAAGAGCCAGTTATGGGAGCTCAGTTGTCGCTGTTGGCACCAACTGGACAATCAATTGCTGTTTCAGCCTACGTTGACGTTCTTGATGAGATTCATTACAGTAGACCTATAGGAACTTCACGGTTTTTGAAGACTGTTAAGGCGCAGGACCCGGACGGTGCTATAGTGGTGAAGGTGTTTATCAAACCTAGTGAGGAGTTCCCTCTTGGTCATTGGAGGAAAGTACTGCAGAGCTATAAGCAAAAACTAGCCGATGTTCCATCAGTGCTCTCGTATGCAAAGATAATCGAGACTGATCGTGCTGGATATCTGATTCGTCAGTTTATCAAGACCAATGCGTACGACAGAATCAGTACAAGACCATTCCTGGAAGACATTGAGAAGAGATGGATTGCCTTTCAGCTACTGAATACGCTGAGCGAATGCCACGAGCGCGGTGTTGTACATGGTGATATCAAGACTGAGAACATACTGGTCACGTCGTGGAATTGGACACTACTCAGTGATTTTGCACCTTTCAAACCTGTTTATCTCCCTGAGGAGAATCCAGGTAGCTTTTCATTCTATTTTGACACATCACAGAGAAGAACATGCTACTTGGCACCTGAAAGATTCATAAATCAAGGAAATTCAATGCCGTTGGATAATAAGGCTTTAGTGACAAAGGAGATGGATATCTTTAGTATGGGGTGTGTTATCGCAGAGATATTTCTTGAAGGAAGGCCAATCTTCACTCTGTCACAACTATACAAATACAGAAAAGGCGAGTTTGAGCCTGATCTTTCGGCGATTCAGGATGAGAAATTGCGTGACTTGATCAACAGTATGATCCAGTTGGATCCTAAGAAAAGATTGAACGCAAGGGACTATCTAGAAACGTACAAAGGCTCGATCTTCCCTACCAATTTCTACAGTTTCATCTATGAGTACTTCAAAAGTTTCAACGAGGAGATCCCGTATAACTCTGTCGGCAATATCTTCGAATGTGATTCAAGAATTTCCCGCCTGTACAACGATTATGATAAGATTGCATATTTCCTTGGTTATACGTATCCTGAATCTGAAACCACTGAGGACGATGAGATACGACTACAGAGAGGAGAGCTCACACCAATACGGCTTTCTCTATCAGGGGTTCCCAAAACTTACAACATGTTGTCGACATCCAAATTCGAACAAACCGATGATTCGGCTTTGGTGATCTTGAGTTTGATATTCACAGCACTGAGGAACGTTCGAAGAGAAACATCAAAGATTCAAGGGTTGGAACTCATTTTAGCTCTCTCAGAGCGTATACATGATGAGGGGAAACTAGATAGATGCTTGCCATATATTATTTCACTGTTTGAAGACGATTCGATCAACGTCCAAGCAAAGGCCCTCAAGGTTATGACTCAAATGTTATTGCTAGTGGACTCAATTGGGACGGTGAACATTACTCTCTTTGGTGATTACGTCTTGCCACGAGTCTCGAGGTTACTTTCATCAGCTGTTCCATACGTGCGAATGGTATTCGCCAGTTGTTTGCCGTATCTGGCACAGGTATCTCTGAAGTTTTATCACATGGCAATGATCTTGAAGAACAATGTCCTAGAAACATTTGTGGATCCCCAAACTGAGAATGGTGGAGTCTCACCAACGGGAATATTCGACATCTCTAAAGAGGCACTGCAAGCTGATTTCGAAACGTTTAGTATATCGGTTCTCACAGATACAGATACAGCTGTTAAGGTTGCTCTGTTGAGAAACATTCTTCCATTATGTGCATTTTTTGGAAAAGAGAGAACCAACGATCTTATTTTGGGTCATTTGATTACATATCTTAACGACAAAGACTCTCAACTCAGACTGGCATTTGTCGAAGCAGTCGTGGGAATCTCTATCTATGTGGGGATAGTCAGTCTGGAACACTACATAATGCCCCTTCTTGTCCAAACACTCTCAGATCCTGAAGAGCTGGTTGTGATCAAAATTTTACAGATTTGCAATGAATTAGCGAAGCTTGGTTTGATTCGAAGAGATGTCATTTGGGATCTGTTCACCACCATATCGAAGCTTTTGTTACACCCCAATGAATGGATAAGACAAGCTGCAATCTCCCTCATCGTTACAGTTGCAGACTCTTTATCACTTGCAGATCTTTATTGTATGTTGTACCCAATCATCAGGCCGTATATTGAGTATGATGTTACTGATTTCTCATGGGATACGTTATACCTCGTCTGTAAAAGGCCCCTGAGTCGTCCAGTTTACAATCTGGCATGCACATGGTCGCTTCGGGCAGATAAGACGTTCTTTTGGAAACAGGCTAAGAGTTCACTTGTTGACATATTTGGTAACAGAGGTCTCGATTTCATGAGTCACCCTGTGTCAACTTTGAACGGATCCAAGAGACAAACAACAGAGTCAATTATCTATGGTAACATGGAGATTCCATTGACAGATGAGGATAAAACTTGGATTGAGAGACTTAAATCATCGGGCTTATCTGAGAATGAACTTTGGAAGATTACTGAGCTTCGTGAATATATTTTCCGACTTTCTCGTATGAGCTCAAGGGCCAGTCGAGACGATTTTGAAGGTCAATGCATTCAAATCCAATCACTGGGTATTCTTCCTAGAAACATCTTCTTCGATGCGAAGGTTCATAGCGAACCATTTGTACAAACAACTATTGAAGAGACGTTCTCCACATCCGATGATCGCCTCGTTTCACAAAGCTTTGGTGTGAATGATGATGATGACTCTCAAGCCGATGAGAGGACGCTGCAGATCACCCCTGAACCTTCAGAAGATATGACACGTTCTTTGATCTTAGGGCCCCACAAATCAGCCCCATCTACAATGGCAAACGAACAAAACGCATACGGTGAATTAGAATCCTCCTTCCAGAAGAAGAGAAGGACATCTTCCCACGCACAGAAGCTTACGTCTAATAATGTACTAACTTCTGTTGTCACCAATAGTTACACTGGGAAAGACCCATATGTTATTCGTTACCTAAACACGGTCACATTAGAACCCTCACTTGAGGAATTTCCAGAGTTCTCCCACTCTGAGAATACCGTGGTTGTGAACTCTTCCAAGTTTTGGGCACCAACAGGTAGTCTTGTTGCACATTTGAGAGAGCATAAGGCTAGCATAAATTCCATAGATGTATCTCCGGATCATTCTTATTTCATTACTGGTGATGATTTGGGTGTGTTGAAGTTTTGGGACACATCCAGACTGGAGAGATGTGTATCTTATTCCTCAGTAATGTCAGTGGAACTAGACTCAGCAATCACCAAAGTGAAATTTCTTAACAACTATCACTGCTTTGGTGTTGCTACAAAAGATGGTTCGTTGAAGATAATGTCGGTCAATTTCAACAAGTCCAAAAAACCTGTGCTTGTTGAAGGAGTGACCGTTATTAGAGAGACAAAACTCGAAGAAGATCAGTTTGCACTTGATTTAGCTTTTGGATTTAAGGAGCAAAACCACATGCTTTATGTGGTAACCTCATTGTCACAAATCATTATCATTGATATAAGAAATATGGACTGTGTTGTGAAACTACAGAACAATCCATTGCATGGAGTCATTAGAACGTTTGCAATATCACATGACGACAGCTGGCTGATTGTTGGTACTTCTAAGGGAGTTTTGAACCTCTGGGATGTAAGATTTCAGCTTCACTTGAAGTCTTGGAGATTCAAGAAAGGTTATCCTATTAACAAAGTTGCTGTTCTCTCTAATGACTATCATCTTAACCGCAAGAAGGGGCGTTTTGTGAGCATAATTGGCGGATCTGGTGACGCTGATGCCAATATATTCGATGTGAGCACTGGCATGTTCAGAGAGATATTCACGGATTCAAACGGTGGGAACGCCTTGGATAGATTAGTACCTGAAGACGCTGATGGACTATCAATGGAAACGCTAACGAATGAAGTTAGTTCGATAAGTGTGGATTATCCAAACAAGTCACTGACGGCATTGAAGGTTGTTGATAACCAGCTGGAAATGAAGAAAAGGCTATGGATCATAACTGCTGCTTCCAATTTCGATTTGCTACTATGGAATGTTCACGATCCAGTGAACTCAAAGGTATTAGTTGATGGATCTGAGAACCGAGCCGGATTTACCGTATCTCAGATAAGCTCACACACACGAATAATATCTGAGAGGTATCTCACGGAGTCTGAAACGGAATCTGTAAAGAAGAAGAAGAAATCACAGAGAGGGTTGATGAACAATGAACAAGAAACACTGATAAAGAGACATCATGATGTGATCACAGATATTGCTGTGGTGCTCAAACCGTTTGAAATGATAATCTCGGTTGACCGGACTGGTACTATGAATATATACAGATGAATTGCTTATGCTCGAGCACTGGTGAAAGAACCGGAATGGGAGCCTCAATAAATACCACAGCTCTTTCACATTATCGTGGCTTTTCTCTTAGAGATTGTTTCCTTTTTTCCACCTCAGTGGAATCTTCTGTTTTCCTTCCTCTCTGCGCTGCTTTATGCGATCCAATAACGTGGGACAATTGACAAGCTCATCAACAAGACAACTGGTCCCTGAATACTAAGACAAACCCAACCAGTTGGAAGTTAGTAACTAGTTAAAATAATACAGTACCCTATGCGGCAGCCTGGGGTCTATACGTGGTGTTCAGGTGTGACCTTGATTCAACACACGTGATCCATGTCACCGGAATTAAAGAAATCCGGCCGCTCTTTCGCGGTGGTTGCTTTGTCAGAGTTTATAAATCAACAGCTAAAAAAATCTTCATTGCTGACAAAACATCATTAGTTGTAAAACTACCACTAAAAGAGCCATTGAACGCAATAAAGGTTACTATATACGTAAGTTAATGGAATAGTTGTAAAGCACTGAGTCTCTAGAACGTTATTGCATGTGTTTTGGTGAATTAAGATACCCCCGTCACTGTGTTTTTGTTGTGTTTACCCCAATTTCAGACCAAATCTCCATTAGCTAAGCCATCAAAACAACTGATTTGGGCAGGGGGAGGTAACTTCAAATACAAAATATGTGTCAACTGGGGCACGAAATGAACAAAGACTTGTGCCGCGCGTATAATGCGCTACGAGGATGAAGCCAAACAATATAAACTTGTGAACCATTCTAAGGCTTACGCTCCATATGATGTTGAACTATGGGGCTCTCTGTGTTTATAAGCCACAGTCGTTTTCAACCACCGAGGCGAACTGGATACTAACGATTGTAAACAAAGGATGAGCCCGAACGATTACGCCACCTGGAACAATAAGAAATCCGCAAGTGAGTATTATGTTATATAAGGCTGCTACTGATTCATACTGACGCTCTCTCATCTAAACAGACATGGATTCCCACATTGACCCAAGTTTCAGTAAACAAGCTGAGTTATTACAACAGAGTACCCAAGAGGCTTCTGCCGAATCGTTCGACGTTGCTGCTGCGGCTGTTGCTGTTTCTAATGACAACGCGACCAGAGAAGCTGACGCTGAAGTGGAAGCCGCAGCTGTAGTGGCTGCTCAACAGGATCAACAACAACAACAGCAACAACAACAACAGGATTTGAAGCACGAAGAGTCTCGTACAGATGGTCCACCACTCAGCCGCCATGGAAAGCCGCTGACGGACACTAAAAGAGCTAAACAAAACAGAATTGCTCAGAGAGCTTTCAGGGAACGCAAGGATAAATACATCAAGGAATTGGAGGAGAAAGCCAGAGAAGTAGATGCATTGAAGGCCACCATTGAAAGTCTGAAACAGGATAACATCGAACTCAGAGACTATGTCCTGGCTGTCCAAGCCAAGTTGATCGATCAACCTGACATTCCAGCGCCTGCTTCCCTTTACGGTAACAGAGCCAACTTGGTGAAGAAGGATTGATGAAGTCCAATGATTTCTTCTTCTCTGACGTTTATCTCACCCCCCTTTTTTGTATATCATTCTTATATGTGTTTTTTCTTATTGTTGATGTGTTATTGATTCAGTGCGTAGCACAGTGTACCGGCTGTGTCCCGTTGAACTTGTGGTGTATAACAATCGTGTATTTCACTAATTGCTTGTTATTATTCTCTATACCGTTAACGCAAGTGATTGCTTAGGTTGCTATTTCACTCCCGCAGCTCTGCACAAGTCCACGTCATGTAAAATTCTATGCAGGTGGGCGGTACACCACTGAGCAAGCTTATATGATTTGAAGGTATAAATTCAGTTAATCCCACTAGATTTATCAGTCTATGTGAATTTGGTTGTCATTTGTATGAAAATGTTTTTGGTTAACTGGGGGTTGAAGTATATCACGCAAAGAGTGAGTGTATTGAGCCATGGCTTCAATATGTAACGGATGCTAACACGGCTCATGTGCCACTATGAAGGTGTTTAGAGAGACACAGTGGAACAAATTTGGAACCGAGGACCCCTACTATGAAGAGGTGAGTAATTGCTGTGAGCTTGCTGAATGCCATGTACTAACCACCTAGATAGTATGAGGTTGAACAACACTCAATGTTCAGCGGTGCGACGACTATAAAGACCAAGAAGAGACCAAGAACAGTGCCACAGGGGTTATCGCAGAACGATGAGAATGTCTTGAAGCAAGTCATGAGAAGGGCATACCATCTGGACATGCAATTCAACATCTTTGGGTATCGTGTAGGATGGAACGGTGTTGTTGGTATCATCCCAGTCGTTGGAGATATATTTGGTGTGATTTGTTCCCTGATGTTGTTCAAATCTTCATTGGATGTTGATGGAGGTCTACCTCTCATCGTCCAGGCAAAGTTCTTGTTCAACATCCTGCTAGACTTTCTGATTGGGTTAATCCCAATTTTGGGTAACTTTGTTGAGGTGATGTACAAGGCCAACTCGAGAAACGCATTGATATTGGAGAAACACCTCGAGGAGAAGGGACGCGCCAACATCCTGAAAGTCTCACTCAATCTCATACCACAAGCTCAAGATGGCACAAGCAGTTCACTCACAGATGTTGGCTCAGTCAAATCGAAGAGCCCATCAACTGTTAAGACAAGAAACGTTGCGCGGAGAGGCTCCACAAGTTCTATCAACTCTACGTCCTCTCCTCCAATCTACTCCGTGGGGAAGGATCCAGAGAGATTCAACTATGCCAAATCTCGCAACTTGGATCTATGAGAGGCTATTTAAGTTGTAATAAAACTGCCCATCCATTCCACTATCTACTATAGTGTTAGATTAAGTATGTGTTCTCCTAATATAGTAATTACCTATTTTGGATATTAATCAATGTTTTTTTCCGGAACCTTTTTTTTCAGTACATCGCCATCAAAGGAGGACCGGAACATCCAAATAATGAAGAGGAAGATAGCAGAATAAGACAAATATGGATACCGCTGCTACATTAGATCAATACACCCAGGATCTGTCAAACTTACCTGCTGAACTACAGTATCTGCTGGCAGAACTTGGAACTTCAGACAGTAACCTGTATGAGACTAGAAAGAAGATGTTACAGAAAGATGGGAGCATCCACAAGTTTATCAAACAACACGGTTCGTTGACGAAGAACCCTAAGGAGGCTCAGCTTTACCCTAAGATAAGAGAGGATCTTAATAGTGCAGAACAGCTGCAGAAGAAGAAAGTGATTACCGCAAACACAGCGCTGTTCCTGACGGCAAAGCACCTTCTCAAGTTGGAGTCGGACATGGAGAAGTTGAAATCCGAAGGATTGCTGGTTGTTGAAGATATGGACATCGATCTGGATGAAGTTATGTCTAGTAAGACCTCCAGTAGGGCTGGAACCACTGATCTTTTACTGAATGGCGATTTCTTGACTACCTCAAACGCAACTGTGGCATCCATGACCACAACGCAGAAGAAAGCTAGGAAGTCGTCTGTACGAGCCTCAACGCCTGCGGCGGTCACGGCACTCAGAGCAAACAAGAGGCAAAAGACTGTGGAGTCTTCAGCTTCCCCTGACGTGGTGGACTCGCAACAATCTCCTGGTAGTCTTATGGTTGCGAAAGGCTCAAATAAGGGATCTGCAACGGCGTCAGCTTTAGTGACTGCATCACCAAAAGTTGAACAACAGGGTAAAGATGAAGAGAATGAGCTGTACTGCTTTTGTCAAAGGGTTTCGTTTGGAGAAATGGTTGGATGTGATAACGACGATTGTAAATATGAATGGTTCCATTATGAGTGTGTCGGGTTGAAGGAGCCTCCAAAGGGTAAATGGTACTGCCCTGATTGTTCTGAAAGGCTTAAAAGGGAGAAGAAGAAGAAGAAATAGTTGTAACATGTTTATTTATTGGGTTCATTAATTAGCAGTACAAACTGAGCGCCCAAATGAGTAAACTTTGGCCAATAAACGTGTAGAGGAAGAGGAAATAGTTTGAGTTCTTGAGAGCTTTTCCTCCCATTGCTTGCGTTGGACTGTTGATACCGCCAAAGAGGTTGAATCTGATGGCCCTCAATTCAAAGAAGCCATAGGCAATGATCAGATAGATGTAAATGATCCAGTTCAAGTATCTTATTGATGAAACGTTCTTCACAATGTTTATGATCAGCAATGGCACGAATTTATAACCAACATATGCTATAAGGTCATACACGTTGGAAGATATTCCCAGCATGTAGATACCACCTTTCAACACTGCCAAATCTATGAGGAGATAGGCAATTGTCATCGTCCATTGGTTGCCCAAAAGTGCTGGTGAGAACTCGTTTCTCAAACCTGCAAGCATTGCAGTCAAGATGATATAGGTAACGGTGCCCATCAATGGAATGTAGTAATCAGGCGCATTGGTATCATCGAATGGGAACGCATACGATTCCAACACGGACGTGTTGTTGCTGTCACCTGTTGGAGTTTGGCGCAGAGTCCTTGTCCAGATCTTATTCTTGAATGGGAACAGTATCAACAACAGCTTCTTCAAAACATAGTCATTTGAGACTTTGAAGTAGTACTTGAAGGTTCCAGTCGGGATGTACTTGTTAAACTCTTGCTCCATGTACTGGGATCCTGCCATCATGGCGTTTTGCCCAACCTGGAACGTCATCGCCGCCTTTGGGTCGTTGAAGATCTGTGTAAAGGCATTTGGATTTGGATTTGAAGCTGAAGGATTGAAGAATTGTCCTTGAGCCCTCTGCTGTTGTTGCTGACCCATATTCATACCCTGTGCCTGGTATTGGCCTTGTTGATTGAACTGGCTGTAGCCATAGCTCTGTTGTTGTTGTTGTTGTTGCTGCTGCTGTTGTTGATTTGGCCCTTGAAACTGACCATACTGATCCTGTTGCACCTGCTGACGAGACTGCTGTGGCTGTGGATGGTGCAGTCTGTTCACATTGTTGTAGTCGACACTAGCATTGGCATATGGATTGTAGGACATCGTCAATGTCCTTCGCTCTGTAGCTGATGATTCGGTTTGTCCCTTCTAAGAACAAAGAAAAGACAGACAAGACACAAAGCAAAAATCGGTAAAAACTGGACAAATCCTTCGGGACAAAAAAATCCAGTTCTGTGCTGCGCGTACCGTGTTATGTGTCTTGTTCTTGGTGGCTAGGACTGACGCGTAAAGTTTTTCGCGTTCCATCGCTCTTTCCTCTCTTTGAGCCTGGAGATTGAGGTTGGTGTTTACACTTGAACGGGAACAGGAGTGTTGGTTTGTGTGGTTGCAAGAGCAAGGATGCCTCCGAAGCAGTTTAGAGGCTCCTCTATGGGCCATTTTGTGAAGAACGATAGACGTACGAGGGACCCACAGTTTAGGTCTCCCAAGGACGACGCGGTGTCGAGATTGGAGAAAGTGAAGAAGAACGATATGATTGATTCGATGATGGGGTTTGACAGATTTGAGTCAGGTCCAACGAGGACCGGTTGGCTTATCAATATGCATGCGACGACGATACCTACGCAGGATTATATCGCTGGTCTGTCAGGTGCTGATTACTACTTCTTGGATGAAGAAGGCGGTACCTTTAAGGCAACTATCCAACTGGACCCCTATTTCTTCATAGTTTGTACGCCAGGGTTTGAGGGTGACGTTGAGGAGTACCTAAAGAAGATCCTGGAGCGCTGCATCAAATCTGTCTCCAGGGTGGAAAAGGAAGATCTCTCCATCCCAAATCATTTGATTGGTATCAAGAGATCTTTACTGAAGTTGAGCTTCCCAAATCAACAAGATTTGATGGATGCAAAGAGAATGTTGCAGCCCATTGTCAAAGATAACGAGAGTAAGAAGGAAACGAAGGAGATTTACTCCGCCGTGAACACAAATTACAAGGATGAGTTTGCCATTGGTGACACGACAATTCATCTTGGCGACGTTTCAGAGTACATTGAAGATATGCGTGAACATGACGTTCCATATTGCACAAGAGTCTCCATTGATAAGGGATTAAGAGTTGGTAAATGGTATAAAGTCTCAGCTGAACATGGCGAGATTGAATGTGAAGAGATACCAGACAAAATTGACTTTGGTGATACAACCATCTTGGCTTTTGACATTGAAACTACAAAGAGACCTCTGAAATTCCCTGACAGTGCCACTGATCAAGTAATGATGATTTCCTATATGATTGACGGTGATGGTTTCTTAATCACAAACAGAGAAATCATCTCAGAGGACATCGAGGACTTTGAATATACTCCAAAACCTGAGTACCCTGGTTTATTTACTGTTTTCAACGAACCAGATGAAAAGGCAACTCTACAAAAATTCTTCGAACATATAAGGGAGGTAAAGCCTCATATCATTGCAACCTTTAACGGTGACTTCTTTGATTGGCCATTTGTTGAGGCGAGAGCAGCAGTTCATGATTTGAATATGTTTGATGAAATTGGATTCGCAGTTGACAACGAAGGTGAATACAAATCAACTTACTGTGCACATATGGATTGTTTCAGATGGGTCAAGAGAGATTCATATCTACCTCAGGGTTCACAAGGTTTAAAGGCTGTTACTACTGCAAAGCTTGGATATAACCCAATTGAACTCGATCCTGAACTTATGACACCATATGCTTATTCAAAGCCTCAAACATTATCAGAGTACTCTGTCTCTGATGCTGTCGCTACGTACTATTTGTTCAAGAAGATCATTAATAATTTCATTATCGCTTTGGGTGTTATCGTTCCATTAAACCCCGATGAACTGCTGAGAAAGGGTACTGGTACTTTATGTGAAATGCTTTTGATGGTGCAGGCGTATGGAAGTGATATTCTCCTTCCAAATAAACATATGGATCCTCCAGAAAGATTCTACAACGGTCATTTACTGGAATCTGAAACATATGTTGGTGGTCACGTTGAATCCTTGGAAGCTGGTGTTTTCAGATCAGATTTGGAGAGTGAATTCAAGATAGATCCAACTGTTATTGATGAGCTTTTAGGGGATTTGGAAAACGCTTTGAAGTTCAGTATCGTGGTTGAAGGTAAACAGAAACTCGAAGACGTCACGAACTTTGACGAGATCTATAACGCAGTGAAGGAGAAACTATTGCACTTGAAGAATAACCCAAAGAGGAAGGAGAAACCGCTAATCTATCACGTCGATGTTGCATCAATGTATCCAAATATCATGTGCTCTAATCGTCTACAGCCTGATTCGATGAAATCAGAAAAGGACTGTGCTGCTTGTGACTTCAATAGACCAGGGAAGAACTGTGATAGAAAGATGACCTGGGCTTGGAGAGGTGAATTTTATCCAGCAAAGATGGACGAGTACAACTTGGTGAAGAGATCTCTTCAGAATGAAACTTTCCCACCACGATTCCCTAATCAACCAAGACGTGTCTTTGAAGATTTGCCGTATAGTGAACAAGTGACGCTGATCAAGAAAAGACTCCAGGATTATTCTCGTAAAGTTTATCATAAAGTGAAACAGACCGAAACCATTACGAGAGAATCCATAGTTTGTCAAAGGGAAAATCCGTTCTACATCAATACTGTCAGAGATTTTAGAGATAAACGTTATGAGTTCAAAGGTCTCGCAAAAGTGTGGAAGAAGAAGTCTGCTGGTAAGGACAAGCATGAGAAGGAAGAGTGTCTCAAGAGAGCTGTGTATTATGATTCGTTACAACTAGCTTTCAAGGTTATTCTCAATTCCTTCTATGGGTATGTCATGAGAAAGGGATCAAGATGGTATTCCATTGAAATGGCTGGTATCACATGTTTGACAGGTGCTACGATTATTCAAATGGCAAGATCTTTAATCGAAAGATTGGGGCGACCTCTGGAACTGGATACTGATGGTATATGGTGTATCATTCCTAGTTCATTTCCTGATAACTATACCTTTGACTTGAAGAATGGTAAGAACGTCTTCCTATCCTATCCTTGCTCTATGTTAAACTACTTGGTTCACGAGCGATTCACGAATCATCAATATCAAACACTCGTGGATCCTATTTACAAAAAGTACGATACACATAGCGACAATTCTATTTTCTTTGAAGTTGATGGCCCTTACAAGGCGATGGTGCTTCCAACCTCGAAGGAAGAGGGTAAAGGTTTAAAGAAACGTTATGCTGTTTTCAACGACGATGGTACCTTGGCTGAACTTAAAGGTTTTGAGCTCAAGAGAAGAGGTGAGCTACAGCTGATCAAAAACTTCCAGTCTGATATCTTCAAACTTTTCCTTGAAGGTGATACGCTTGAAGAGTGCTACGGTGCTGTTGCCAATGTCGCCAATCGTTGGCTAGATGTTTTGGATACACAGGGAAGAAATTTGGAAGATGATGACCTCTTTGAGCTTATCTGTGAGAACAAGTCCATGAGTAAGAGTTTGGCCGAGTATGAAGGTCAGAAATCGACGTCGATTACGACGGCAAAGAGACTTGGTGAATTTCTTGGTGCTGAGATGGTTAAAGATAAAGGTCTTGCAGTGAAGTATATTATTTCAGAGAAACCATTAAATGCACCTGTGACAGAAAGAGCTGTGCCAGTCTCCATCTTTTCCTCAGAGTTGTCAGTGAAGAGAAACTTCTTGAGAAGATGGTTGCTAGATTCTCAACTTGAAGATTTCGACCCTAGAAACATCATTGACTGGAACTATTACAGAGAACGTCTTCAATCTGTTGTTCAAAAGATTATCACTATTCCAGCAGCTTTGCAAGATGTGGACAATCCTGTTCCGAGAGTTGACCATCCAGACTGGCTAAAGAACAGGATTCTCACCAAGAACGATAAAAATAAGCAATCTTTACTCACAACTTTCTTCTCAGCTACTAAAACCAATCCAGTCAATATTGTGAAGGATATTGAAGACATTGGTAAAGATAACTCGATTAGTGGTAAGCCAGCTTTTGGAAAAGTTACCTCCAAGAAAAGAAAGCAGCAGCATCGTGAAACTGAAGACCCTACTGAAGAGGAAATCAACTTAATGAATGGCCCGTGTCCTTCAATCGATGATGATTACGTTGGGTTCTTGAACTATCAGAAACTTAAGTGGAAAGTCAACCAAAATGAGAGAACCAGAAGGAAAAAGCTGTTTGGTGACACGGTGGAGTCAAGTCACCGCTCAACAGTTGGAGCAATGGTTCGCAATCAAGCTGAACACTTTGTCGGTTCTAATTGGGAGATCCTGCAGTACAAACTCGATTCTAATCCAGGCGATGTAAGAGCTTTCGTTCTCATTGACGGTAAAATTCAGTCTTTTATATTCCATGTCCCAAGGAAAATCTACCTGAATTGGAGAAATGAGTCTTTTCCTGATCGGTTGATTCCTGAAAGCGAAGTTGAAAGGGTGGCGAGTATCCTACCAAATGGTATTGATGTCAAAAATGTGTTCAAGTTGACTATGCCAGAGACTGTTTACCAGGATGAGGTTAACAGAGCAGGCAGTTTGTTCAACAGCCCAGATGCATGTGGGTTGTTTGAATCTCATATTCAGCCAACAGAGCGTGTAATTATTGAACTGGGTAATACGGTGCTCTTCAACAGTTCTCAAGTTGGTGCCCTGGGTAAGGCATTGAAGAATGGCTTTGATATGAAATCGTTTGCTAAAATTGATAACTCACATTATCTGAACAAGTTGGCCCTGCCATTGGTGTACCTTTTCCACATCGTAACCAATGAGTATCAGGTTTTCACATTATATCAATCATGGAATCAGATTACCCGTATATTTGTCCTGAAGCCAACTAGAAATGCACAGGAACTTACAGGCAATATTGAGAAAGTTTACCAAGATCAGTACCACAAGAAGTCCAAAAAGTTGCAGGAGTATATTGGGTTATTGAAGTATCAAGAACATATTGAGTTTGAAACAACCTACTTTGATGACATATCAAAGCTATACAGAAAACTCAATAGTTTCATCAACAAGATCAGTGACGAGACGCCTGCAAGACCTCTTTTCGTTGTTCAGTCTCCTCAGTCATCCAAGCTGTTGAAGATCTTCAAATCGATCTCAGAATTCCCAACCATCAATATGAAGGCATCAGAGATACAACTTCCTGCTCTTGGGTGGCAGCCTCTTGTTATCAAGAGAATCTGTAACCATATTTTGTCATTGGCACCCTGGATTCATCACTTGAGAAACATGGCAAAGTATGGTAATGTTCCGCTTTGTAACTTGAAGACAACATCCATGGATTATCTTATTGATATTGAATATGCGAGAAGACTCAAGAATAACGACATCGTGTTATGGTGGTCTCCTAAATCAATGCCAGACTATGGTGGTGCTGAGAAAGATGTTTTAGCCGTGGAAAATGAGGACCATGACTTCCCTGTTATCAATAATCCGGAGATCTATGAAACAGCCTGTATTGAAATTGATATTGACAACTTGACAATTAATACACTCCTTACGTCCGCTCTTTTGAATGATGCAGAGGGTACCTCCATGGCTGATGTGCAATTGGCTGAGAGTTGCAACAAAGGCGCCTCAATCTTGGCTGAAGACTCCTTCTCTGGTCCAAGTCTGAATATTTTGAGATCCATGCTGAAAGACTTATGGGATGATGCTATGAAAAACAACACCAATGCTGATGCTATGGTTCAAACCTTTGTTTCTTGGGTTCAAAATAAAGACTCGTTCCTATTCGACTCTTATCTGAAGCACTACGTTTTCAACTTGGCCAAGAAGTCACTATTGCAATTGGTTGGTGAATTTGCTAAGCTTGGATCTACAGTGATATTTGCAAACAGGTCAAAGATCATCTTGAAGACTACTAAAGTCTCTGTTGAAAACTCTTATGCATATGCTCAATACATTGTGAAAGCTGTGAGATCAAGACCTTTGTTCAACTTTCTAGATCTAAAAATTGAGAAATATTGGGATCTACTGATTTGGATGGACCAATACAATTTTGCTGGAAGAGCGTGCTTGGATATTTCTGAACAAGAGGAACAAGAGCTCATTGGAATATCCAAGTGGCAGATTAAAGATTACTTACCACCTATTTATCAGCCAGAGTTTGAGGATTGGCTAGTGATTTTCCTAGACTCACTAATTAAAGCCAAGGCTGAGGATAGGGAAGCCTATCCAGGCACACCGAGAGTCACGCAGATCGCCAATATCTTGAGAAATAAAGCCAATAAGGATAATGTACAGCAAGAAGAGACCCAGTCTCAGCTGACCAATCTTTTCAGAAACCCACTTCTGAAACGTTTGAGACAACTGGTTCGTAATCAAACCAGTGCCATCTTGGACTCCGGTATGAGCGATGAGTACTCCTTCCCTGAACCACCAGGATACCATATCCACAAGACAAGTCCATTGTTAGAACTAGTGAAGTCTTTATGTGCAGTGTTCACTCTCTCCAAGTCTCGTACCTTAGAGATGAGACTGTTGAGAAAAGAAATGCTCGAAGTGCTTGAAGTGAAGGAGTTCTCCAAAGAATCTTTGTTCGAGAACCCGAGCGATTCATTGTTGCTTCCCGGTGTATTGTGTGAATACTGTTACCATATCAAAGACCTTGACTTCTGTCGTGACAACCCGAAGGTCCTATGGTCATGTGAGGTCTGTGAGAAGGCGTACAGCAAGGCAAACTTGGAGTTGGGTCTGATTGAATGGTTAGAAAAACTTGTTTTGAATTATTATACTCAAGATTTACAATGTGGAAAGTGCCATACTATCAAAGAAGATGAAATGTCTAGTCATTGTTCTTGTTCTGGAATGTGGGAGGAAACATTGCCAAAGGAAGATGTTAGAAAGAAGGTTGAGACATTTGAACATGTTGCTGACTATTACGAACTTAAATTATTAAAAGATCACATAGAAGAGGTCTTTTGAATGGATATTTATGGCTAACTGCCTTTTTTGGTGTAGATGTTGTATCACATAAGACTCTATACAGATTCATAAGCTGGTTTACTTGGTGGGAGTTCGAACAGCTTGAAATAATCAACTGTGACACCATTCAAGTTTGCTTCTCCTTGAACTGGCGTCTTCCACAAGTTCCGGAGCTTCAAAGTATCATCGCCAGAAGCAAACCAGAAATCAACACAGTTTTGCCTGAGTCCATAGTCCGTGTCGATTCTATAACTTCTGCCTTGATGTCTGAAACCAAGTGTTTCCTTAACAGCAATTACAAATTGGTCAATTCCAGTCAACAAACAGAAAGTTGTTAGACAAGTCTTATCAGCACGTGCACTTGAAACATTGGCTTCAGTTCCTGAAAGTTCAAGAGGAACACTTGAGTAGTTAGAACCAGCGTCTTGCTTTTGTCGAGTTAATGCTGACAGCTCTACAGTGGTGACTCCCTTTGAAATCTGGAACAGCTGGGAAAACACAAGGAAAGAAAGCCACATGAACTGGAAAGCTGACCAGCATCCGAAGGCAAAAGTGAACGGTGTATAAGTGAGTCCAGCACATAATTCATCATCGAGAAAAGCACAGGTCAGGTCATCATCTTCCAACTGGTCAAACATCTCGAGAATTAAGATAACGCATGTTGCGATTGCAATCTCTAGAGAAAGGACGAAGAACAAGAACAACTTGTGGTTTCGCAGTCCAATATCATTATAAACCCACGGACATGTGTGGTCAAATCTCGCAATGAGTCTCTTTGAGAATTGTGAATATTTGCTTCTTAATGGTTTCCTGTTGAAAGTGTTGATGCAGAAATGGGATGCATCGTAGTTGCCGGTTTTGAGCAGCTCATCGATTCCTTCTTTGATATCTGTGGGGGATGACAGAGGTTCAATGACGCCTGGGTTCTTAAACATTGCCCGAGTGAAGAAGTATACCGTTGCAGAGGCAGATATCAAGAAGATAAAGTTCGTCAATGGTGCTTTGTAAAGAGTCATGGGGAGCAAAGTTGTCATCCAGACAACAATGGCCCAGAAGACACTTCCAGAGAAAACACCCGAGAGCAGCGGTGATCCCAAGAATGGGTGAGTTGAGCGAATATATGACGGAAATAAAAACTTTTGTAGGGCCTTTTGGGAGAATAGCAATATCACTAAGCAGGAAAGAAGCGATATCAGCACATGTGACTTACCAATGACCTCAAACAATAGGCCTAGGATCAAGTAAGGATAGAAGAATGTTATCACTTTTGCCCATTTTGGATCAAAGTACCTTTTCAGCTGTGTTCCATCCTGCTGGTAGCCAGCTTTGAAGAGTGCCTCTTTGAGCAATGGAGTAGTATTCATATCAGCTGCAACGTCAAAACAAGTCTTGTGATCGTTTGTCTGAGCATGTAAGTCCGATCCTTCTTCGATGAGTCTGAACAAGCAGTCCTTCTGCCCTCGAATAAGAGCCCAGTGCAAAGGTGTGAAACCTTGACAGTCAACAGATCTCACATTGCCTTGAAACTTGAGAATTGAATCAACGCTTAATGAATCTCCTTGATAAGCGGCCCAGTGTAACGGAGTTCTGCCATTGGGATCCGGACAGTCCACGGGTATATCGGTACATGAGACCAGTATGTAGATCACCAACATTATATTTGAAGAGTGCACCGCCAAGTGTAAAGCATTGAAGCCCTGCGAATCCGTCTTTGAAGGATCTGCTCCATTCTTCAACAAGAAATCCACAATGTAAACCAAGCCTTCTCTACACGCCCAGTGTAACGGTGTTGCAGATATCTCGCCCCCCTCCCGATCAATCGGAGCTCCATTATCAACGAGAAACTTCACCAGTTTGAGTCTGTTGTTGATGGCCGCCCAATGGAGGCCAGAAACACCACTAGGGTCAACGTCTTGAGCAGGGTCAATGACATGAGATCCAACCATCTCTTCAACAGTAACATAATCGCCCTGCTGGCACGCCTCTATGTACTTGCGAATAAGGAAGCTATGCTCGCCATCAATGGTCTCCTGTGCTGGTTTCAAAGACGACGATGGACTCTGTGATCCCATCGCTGTGCCTACCACAGTGTCTTCTGGCGCACTGGAGCCGGCTTCACCTTCTTTCAATTCATTCATCGAATCGCTACCTAATCCGTTATTGGGGGGAGAAGATACACTCCGATGATTAATACCTTCCAACTAGTGGCTTTGAATGTTTATACCCTTGCGACGTGGGTGTTAACGCCAGATATGAGTGTAAACAACAACAATATCATCATCATCACCATCACCGCCACAGGGCTGTGTGGCAAGGGCACTACGCTTTTTGTACCGCGAATATTTTAGTGTGAATTTGAGAAAAATAAGAATGACGTCATTGTTTACTTTATAGATTTGATACGAGTGACTTACACTCTTTGAGCATTTCAAGAGCTTCTTCGTTGTGACAAGCACCAATTGCCCTGTCGAGTGTGTCGATAATAGTCTTCTTATCGGTGAAGATGGTCTTGTTCTCGGTAACGTCTGCGTAGAACAGCAAGTAGTAAAAGACGAAAGCGGCTCTCTCGACCAATTCTCTCTCCTTAGGCTGCTCGTTCAATACCTGAAGAAGGTTATCCCTCAGGGGCTTGTCCTTGAGCAGTTCCTCGCCTATGAGCTGAAAGGTTACGCCGAACGATAGAGAGCTTATCGCAGAGCATTGGGCTTTCACGTCTGGCAATCTGGTCATCTTCACAATGAGGTCATACCGTTTTTTGTTCTTCGGGTTTGCCCAGTTGAACAATGCAGGCAGATTGGACCTGTGTTGCATGAGATTGGATATCAGCTCGAGAATGGATGTCTTAACCATTGGATGGTCTGTCTGTACGAGCTCGTCGTCCAGCTCGTCCCACTGTTCACTCGTCAATGGACCATGATCAATGACGCTGAGATTCGTTAAGGATAGCAATATTTGGAACTGGTCCCTCAGAGAGATGTTATCCATCGCTAGGAATTGGAACAGGTAATTCACAGCTGTTTTCAGAGAGGCATTTGGACCAAACACTAAATGAGGATCCGATGTTGTCAGGATCATACTCAACGCTTTGAAAGCCATCAGTTTGTAATCTGTAACCTCGGTTTCCCTTCCAATGAACTCCATGATTCTAATTAGTGCACCCTGTTTAACCAATTGTTCGTGATTTGCCTTGTTCTTCGACAAGTTGTAGAAAATCTTCATCCCTTGTTCCATACATTGCTTAGAAATCTTTGAATGAGAACAGAACTTTGAAACGATAGAGAGTTCCATTAAATCATCCATGAATTCAAATATATCATCTTGAGACTCCTCAATCTCTTCATCAAGTCCCTTCTGTGCATGTCTTTTCAACTGGGATGTTTCTTCTTCTTCTTCCAGAGTGGTCAAGTTCCCGATAATTAACAGAATACCATAAAGGTCACTCCCCGGTGTTTCCAACTTTTGAACCAGTTCAATAACAAATTCACCATCTTTACGTAAGTGAGACCTTATGGATTTCTTCATGGAAAGATACGCTAATCCTTCAATGGAATGAGAGTTTAAATTCACAATGAATATATTTGTCAAATCCTCTAACGATATCTTCTGATTGGTGTCTAAAGCCTGGAAATTCCAAGTTTTCACAATCACCAAAGCAGCCAGTGTCTTTATATTGATATCGGTTTGATTCGTTCCTTGTATAAGTTGATCCAAGTATTTGCTAAAGATTGCATTTCTTGTAGGTTCATCAACACACGCCGTGGATAGCAAATTCAATCCGTTCTCAATTATCTTGGTAGAGTGACTTGAACCAGCATCATACAACATGAGCTGAACACTATCAAGCTGGAAAATATCCACAGCAGACTTGGCATTCAACTGAAATAAAAGAACTAACAGTTGACAACATGTTATAACTTCACCATTCACAGAAAGCAGCTCTACCGAATCCTTGAGAGGTGGGATGATCTGTTCCTTATACACTGCGTATAACTTCACAAGTATAACTTGAACAAGATCAGAGCTGGAGAAGTGTGGCACTATGACGCTGATGATGGGGTTCAAGTCTTTCACTTGGTATTCAAATTCGTTGACGAGTGATGACACGAGCTTCAAATAATAGTCAACGTCGTTCCCGTCATTCCTCTTGATCAACGACACCAATAACTTCAAATACGACAATGACGTCTCAGTATTAATTGAAGTAATGAGCAGTTTCGGTGGCAACGAATTGTCAGAAAATAACTCTAACGTTCTTGCTGGGAATTTCTTCACGAGCTGATCAAGTTCTTCGTGTGATGCAGAGTTGAATACGTCCAATGGATCATCAACGTTTGCACCATTGTACAGTCTCTGAATCAATGATCCATCACTGCCTAAAACTTTGTCATCAATATTGAGTTGTGATAACTTGTCAGTAACATCTTCTGTCATCTTGTTCCTTGTGTTTAACGTCAGCTGATCTGAATTGATATCACAGTGTGTGATTTTGTCAAAGCTTTCTTTGCACTTATGACAGCGTCAAGCGGTATGCCAATAACACTACGTCGGGGAATCGAACGCGCAACTTTTTAAATCTCGAAAACGGTTTGAAAAAAAAATGCGATTTCTGTGGATTGAACACAGGACCTCATGATCTTCAGTCATGCGCTCTCCCGACTGAGCTAAAACCGCATATTTCTTGACAGGAAATATCCACTGTTCTACACACTACTTGTTGTCCAATTACCCATGTGTCTCGATCTAGAGTCTTATTTATCGCTTCCAGCTCTTCTTCCTTCCAGATCACTTCATATCTCTCCCAAAAAGAAGGCGAATGTTACCCGTTGATCTTTGCTAAACTAACTTTAAACATATTCATTCACTAGTACGAAGCATTTGGCAATGAATTTCTTCAAGAAGAACACTCCTGTGACTAAAAGGGACGATCTCATCACGGTATCAAAGCCGTTTGAATGCCCTGCGTCTATCGAGCACCAGGGACCAAAAGAAATTGGGCCTGAAGACCAGGTCAAGTACGACGAGATCTTGGCTCATTTCCAAGATTCTAGCTTGGAAATCAATGTCACTGAAGATGGCCAAAGCGGTGGAAAAAAGCCGCTAACCACCAATGAAAAGTTCTGGCTCACAAGAGAATGCATCTTGAGATATCTCAGGGCCACAAAGGGTGATCCTGAAAAGGCCATTGAAAGATTGGAATACACACTGGCTTGGAGACGAGAGTTTGGTTTGTCAGGGGATCACGAGGTTTTCACGGCAGAGTCGATAAGTCACGAGAACAAAACTGGTAAGCAGGTTGTTCTTGGATTTGATAAGAGTTCAAGACCACTGTTGTACTTCAAGCCTGGTCGCCAGAATACAAAGGCATCCATCAAACAGGTTCAGTCCACAGTGTGGTTCCTCGAGAGAACAATAGATTTGATGCCACAAGGCGAGGAGAACCTCTGTCTCTTGATTGATTTTAAATCCCATAAAGTTGAAGGTGAGACCTCCAAGATTCCCTCAATTCATTTAGCAAAACAGGTGCTTCACATCTTACAATCGCATTACCCAGAAAGGTTGGGCAAAGCACTCTTTATCAACTTGCCCTTTGTTGCGCTGACTTTCTTGAAGCTGATCACGCCGTTCTTGGATCCAGTTACAAAGGAAAAACTGGTTTTCGATACTGATTTTAATACTGTTGTGGACGATGACGAGCTGGACAGTGAATACAATGGAAGGCTACAATTTGAGTATGATCACGAGGTATATTATCCTGCACTTATAGAGGTGACTGATAAAGTTAGACAGCGTATGTGTTCAAGGTTTGGACTTTTTGGGTCAGCAGTTGGCTCAAGTGAATATGATTTGAAAAGTGACAAGGAAAAGTTAGAATTTCCAGTTAAGCCATTGGCAGCAACTACATAAACCAATCTACAAGAGTGAATTCATGAGACACGTTTCTTTTTGAGTCCATTTCATAGGGCCTAAAGGTTACTAAACGAATTGGCACGTATAAAACAGTAGATTCACTTCTTTAAGTCGTAAACTTTAAGCACCCCAGTTTCTGTACTGTTGTTGGTCATAGCCGTAGTTAGCATAGGCAGCGTACTGGTTTTGGAAGTAGTTTGGCTGAGCTTGTTGACCTGGGATCTGTTGTTGACCTTGGACTTGACCTTGACCTTGACCTTGAGTCTGTGCTTGACCTTGAACTTGGCCTTGGCTTTGAGCAGCAACTGAAGCATCTTCAGTTTGGGAGGCCACAGTCGATGGCACACTCACACCGTTAGCACCAGCACCTTGTTGTGATTGAGGAGCAGATTGGGTCTGCTGTGGATAGCCGTAACCCTTTTGACCGTAAGCAGCTGGCATACCACCATAGAAGTTACCGTACATAGCAGCTGGGTTGTACATGTACTGAGCATAGTATGGGTTGAACTGTTGGTTTTGTAAGTTTGGCTGGACATTAGCATTAGCTGGAGAAGCATTGGATAATTCAGAGCTTCCTGGATAACCTTGAGCAGCAACCTGTGCAACGGCGCCAAATGGAGATTGTTGGAACTGTTGTGGTTGCTGTGGAATTTGTTGTTGAGCGGCACCATAAGCAGAGAAATCTTGGTAACCATAAGCTGGTTGAAATCCATAAGATTGTTCGTAACCTTTAGCAAGACCTTGGGCCTGCTGTGGGTAACCCTGGGCTTGTTGAGGGTAACCTTGGGCGTAGTAACCAGCAAACTGGTTAGATTGACGACCTTGTTGTTGTGGTTGTTGTTGGTAACCGTTGTACTGACGTTGTTGCTGCTGTTGTGGTTGTTGTGGTTGTTGTGGCTGCTGTGGCTGCTGTGGCTGCTGTGGCTGCTGTGGCTGCTGTGGTGGTTGTGATTGCTGTTGTTGAGCAGGTTGAGCAGTTTGCTTCTCCTCATCCAACAAAGAAGAACCGAATGAAATACCTTCAACAGTGCCAACCGATGAAGCATTTGGAAGGACCACTGGGACATCTTGTTTCAACTTTCTCTTTGGTTTCTCCTCCGCAACTGGGACAGAAGCTGGAGCTGAAGCAGTAGCATCGGCTTCGGCAACTGGAGCTTCAACTTCGACAGTAGTTGTGGTGTCCACGGTCTCCACGGTCTCAACTGTAACTGACTGTGGTTCTGTGATGGTAACCTCTTCCAAAGCTTCGGTGACGGACTCTTCAATAGGGGTTTCCTGTACAACTGGAGCAGACTGGGAAGCAGGTTTTGGCTTTGGCTCGGTCTTCTTCTTCTGTGGTTTTGGAGGTGGTGGTGTGGCGATAGAGGCCCATGAACGGTTTGAAGTAGCAGGATTTGATGGAACCTTCTTTGGCGCTGGTGCTTCGTCCCCTTCGGTCTTTGTTTCTGGCACTGGAGCTGGTGACTCAACGGACTTAGCCTCTCTAGATTCTGGTGATGTGGTAGTCACTGGGGCGGTTGCATCAGCAGCAGCCTCTTCAGTGGTGGATGTGGCTGGAGGTTTGGACTTTTCAGAACCTGCAATAGAAGCCCATGACGAACCAGATGCTTGTGTAGTTGGACCACTGGATGCTGCTGGTGCACTTGTGGTTGGCTTACTTTGCTTGCCTTGAGAAGCACCAACCTTCTTTTGAGGTCTGGTGGCCCTGTTCTGTCTTCTTGCAAGAGCAGCAGCTTCTCTCTGTTGTTGGATCTCCTGCTCCCTCTGCTGTTGCTGTTGTAATTGTTTCTCCTTCTTATTTGGCTTCTTAACCTCGTCCCACTTCTGGACTGCACCTGTGGTGATCTTCTCAATGATGATCTCTAGTTCGTCGTACTCATTGATCAAATCAGTCAAGTCAGCATCTGACCACTCTTCAAAGAGCTCCTTCAACGTGTTGAGTTTCTGCTTGAACTCTTCGCCGTTTCCTCCACCGCTCGACTTCTTCGAGCCGCTCTTGGAGTTGCCGCCCTTGGGTCTTCTGTTATAACTCTTCTGTGGCTGTGACTCTGACATCTGTCCGTATTGTATGTATGTGTGTGTTCGTATGCGCTTTGTGTCTTTGTATATCTCGGGATGTAACAGATCTGTTCAAACGTTCTGAATTCAACCCACTTCTCTGTATACCGTTTCACTCTCTTCACCAAAAATATAGCCTTTGCCTTGTTGAAGGATTCTTTCGGAAAAGCTTGCAAAAAGAGGAAACCTGAAAGAGAACACTGATCAAATAGGAAAAAGGGGTGAATCTGATTTCTTCCAATAAACAGAAACTTATCAAACTCTTGCGATGTGGACCAAGTACGCCGGATTCTTTCAGCTGTTTTAGTTACTTTGTGATGATAATACAACCAAGGAAAAGCCTTATTTGTTTGTTTTGTTTTGTAGAATTGGGGATGGAAATTCGTTCATTTTCCACAACGTTGGAAAGCCTTTTTTTTGCCCTTCAATTTCGCACCGAATTGGAAAAACGTCGTCGACGACTTGGGAAAAAAAAGAAAAGAGAAAACACGTCGCCTAAACGATAGGCGCAGCACGATGCTCGGATGTTTGGGGAGAAGACAGGGTAACGGCTGAAAGCGTCATTAGTGCCTAATTGGGTAATCGTTCGATGATGGAGTTGTGTGGTGCTGCTCTGCTAAACTACGGACTTTTGCTATGGTGGTGATAACAAAACAGGAAACAAAGATTGTCGTATAACTAGTTATAAAGATTCGTATGTACTAGAGAGATCGTCTCTGGATCAGCTTACAATTGACCCTTGGTGTGGAAGATGTTCAAAGCCTCTGTGATTCTAGCAGACATGGTCTTTTCACCTTCTCTGACCCACACTCTTGGGTCAAAGTACTTCTTGTTTGGCTTGTCATCACCCTCTGGGTTACCAACCTGGGACATGAGGTAGTCCTTCTTGTTCAGGACGTAGTCTCTGATACCTGTGAGGTAAGCGTATTGACAGTCGGTATCCAAGTTCACCTTGACAACACCGTTCTTGATGGCAGTGTCAAACTCCTCTTGGGTGGAACCGGAACCACCGTGGAACACCAAGTACAATGGGTGGTTCTTCTTGGAGCTCAACTCCTTCTTGGCGTAGGCTTGGTGGTCACCCAAGATGGATGGCTTCAATTGAACGTTACCTGGCTTGTAGACACCGTGAACGTTACCAAAGGCAGCAGCAATGGAGAACTTTGGATCAATGGCAGCAAGGGCCTTGTGGACGGCAAACACGGTCTCTGGGGAAGTGTAAAGGGCATCCTTCTCAACGTGCTCGTTGTTGACACCATCCTCTTCACCACCAGTGATACCAATCTCCATCTCAAGCCATTGGCCCAACTTGGCCATTCTGGTGAAGTACTTCACACAAGTGGCAATGTTCTCATCGTCAGTCTCCTCAGACAAATCCAACATGTGGGAAGAGAACAGAGGCTCACCGTACTTAGCAAAGTGCTCCTCATCAGCAGCAAGCATACCATCGAACCATGGCAACAACTTCTTAGCACAGTGGTCAGTATGAAGAACAACTGGAATACCATAAGCTGGGGCAATAGATCTGATGTAGTGAGCAGCGGCAATGGCACCGGCAATTGAAGCCTCTTGGTTGGTGTTCTTGACACCCTTACCGGCAAAGTAAGCAGCACCACCTTGGGAAGTTTGCAAGATGATTGGAGAGTTGTTGTCTCTAGCAGCCTCCAAAGCAGCAACAACGGTGGATGAAGAGGTAACGTTGATCGATGGAATGGCGAAACCCTTCTCCTGGGCATAGTCAAAGAGAGCCTTGACATCGTCACCGACGATGACACCGGTCTTTCTCTTAAGAACGTCTTGGACACCCATTATTGTTTGAATTGAATTGAATTGTGATTAATTATAATTAAAACTTGTAAAGTTTTGATTGATGGAGTTAAAAGGGGCTAAAATCATTCTCATTGGAAAGGCCATCCCCATGGGTTTTTATATTTTGCGCAGCACAACCTCCGAGCATGTCGAATCGTGAAAGCGCGTGGTGGACACAGCTGGGCCGGAGGTCATATGGGGGGATAAACAAAGTTCGCATGGCGCGCTGGCACAGCAGGAAATGAGCTGGCACAGGGGGATCAGAAGATACCATGAGAAACCAATTGGAACAGGCATGGTGTCTGCATGGGCCTACTAACTTTGTATGGCGTGTAATGAGGTAATTGGGATACTGTAGGGCTACTTCGGATAGGTAAACCAGTTGATAAAGATCTTGTATAGCTCGGGAGTTCCGAAAGTTGCTCGGAGTTGCTTCAGCATGGGATTGCCAGAGGCAGAGAAATTGACACATCATCAGGGTGGTGCAGGTAATGTTGCACCACGATATAAACAGCAGTCGCAGTCCTACGATATCTTCAGGGGCTACAAGAGATGGGTGATGTGAAGCCTACGCAGTATCTCTTTACCATGGACCTCTCAATTGACGCTTGTCCCGTGATTCGATAGTCCTTGTAATTGAGCTATCCATCTGATTCAATGCAGACTTCAACAGGATGAACTGTTGGACACATCCAGGTGATGTCTCTGCGCATAGTGGCCTCAGATGGTGCCCATTTTTTTTTTTGGTACGTTTTAGCCTCTTGTTAGAGAAAGCAACACGCAAGTGGAATTTTCACGAAAAATGCTAACAACTGATGGCGTAATTGATGCGGTGTTCGACCAGAGGGTCTCCCCATGGTTGTGACGAGAGCAGTAACAACCCAATGCCCAATCGCTGAGTGACATGGGAGCCAATACCCCCGCTGTGGAATACCGGGGTAGCAGTGAACACAACACAGCATAGCTCATGCTGTGTTCTTACCAAGTAAGTTGTAGGAAGGTGTAACCCTACCGAACTCTATAAAATATTCCAATTTTCCCGGCATTTGTCGGTGTCGATAAGTTTAGCTGGCCGGAGCTGGATTTTTGGATGGGGAACACTCCTTTTTACCCACGAATTTCCGGGGCTGTGGGATTTCCCAGGTAAGCTTTCTTTAGGCTTGTGTTTCTGTGGAAACGGTTTACATGGAGCATCCTACAAATAAACAAACAACGCAGTCTGATAGGAAACCGAGGTTTATATGCATTGTTCTATAGAGAAGTGTGATGCTCAGGCACCGTACTCTCAGGTGTTGGTAACGTTGTATACTCTTCCAGCCCGCTGTCCACATCGTTTTCTTTAGCTTCCTCGTTTTCAACTCCGCTTCGGTCATCGCCTTTACTATCAGAGAGATCGTTATTCACACTGTCACTATCATTGTCTTGCTCATCATCCTCGTCTCCATCCCTGTATCCATCTCCCTCTATTACATCACCGTCACATTCACCTTGGTGATCCTCACGGTTTGATATTGATTCCTTCTCAAGTCGTTGGCTTTGAGCTTTATTCACTCTGGAAGAATGTCTCAACCTACTCGGTTTGACGATCTTAGCATTGGATGATGCAAACTTGACATTTCTAGCCTTGACACCACGAGGAGAATCTGGTGGCGCCATTGCTTGGAACCCTGGGAAAACACGAGAAAATGGTGACATGCCATCATGGCTGCCTTGACCACCGTAAGGGAAAGCGTATGAATTTGGTGTTATTGAATAACCACTGGTATATGTCTCATTTGGATCAAAGGGTGCATAGTATCCATCATAATCATTGTACATGTCTTGTGGAATCTCTCCATTCATCAGGGAGTCGTAATACTGTCCATTAGTGATCATCCCTGGCTGCTGTTGTTGAGGCTGTTGTTCGTGATGATGGTGATGGTAAGGTGAATAGTATATCTGTGGCGACCCAGATATGGTGCCTTGGTACATGGGTACCATTGGACCCGCAGGTCCTATGTATGGACTGAACTGCTGTTGGTACAGAGGTTGAAACATTGGTGGCACTTGCATCAAATGTTCCACTTCCTCTTCGAATGAAACCTCCCCTGTTTCCCCAATAGGTTCGTTCTCAAATGTGCTTTTATCAAAGGGTGTCTTTGCATTAGTCTGGTCAATTAAGAATTGATTGTTGTACGATTCTGGTATTTGCACAAATACGTTTGGGTCTATGAATAGAGCATCAGCTTCGTTGGTTTGCGGGAAGTAATCTAGTGGGAAATCGTCTTCCATGTCGATGATCGGGTCCCCATTTTCCTCCTTGATGTGAAAGACATGCCCAACTTGATCGTCTTCAGTGAACTCCAAAGGCTCTTCCTTGATAATATCATCAGCGGGACTTGTTATGCTCTGGGTGTCCTCAACATCTTGATCTACGCTGCCAATGTCGGTGTCCACCTTCTGATGTTGCACAAATGATGTCAACTGTTCAAACAGTGGTGTCGATGAGTCGTACTTGAACGACAACGCTGGCTCGCTAACAGCTCGTGTCGTTGATGGTTGGTCAAGCTGTTCCTTTTTCAAATCGCGTTCTAAGGCATCAGTGAATAACTTATCGTGCTCAACACTAAACCAGAAAAACACCTTTTGCTTCTTTTGAGTTCTCAGGCACGAATTTCTATAAAGAAACTCCAAGAAATTGGACTTTGAGGATTCCAATATTGCATCTTCACCACATTTGAGAGCCCTTAGATCTGAAAACACACCTTCCTCAAACTTCTTCCTATCTACAATCTCCCGGCCAAACTGTTCGAACCTGTATACAACACACCTCACTATATCAGTTCCTGTTATGAAGTACAGGTTGTTCCAGTATACACAGCTCACGAATCCCTCTTCCGTGTTCAAGTAATACCTCCTGATTATCTGGTGCTCTTGCCAATTGGCCGGTGCAGTCGCCAGGAAGAACTTGAGATCATCGATGAGCCTCATGTTCTCTTCAACCTGTTCTCGCGTCAATGGAACCCTTACCTTCTTGCTGGTAACAATTGACTCTCTGGACTCCATTGCTCTCCAACGATTTTGATGAACAATAACAAAAAAATGATGGGAGAGGTTGGGAAAAGGGGAAAATGGATAAAGATGTAGGAATTTAACCGTGTGTTATGTGTTTTCATTTCAGGCAATGCAACATGAAACATTCCGAGGGAGGTGTGTTGATACAACTACGCGTCTCGACCGCCCAATTGTATGGGGGACCACGCCAAATCTCGTGTGGTGCTCGTGTCTCAGAACCGAGGGCAACAGCAAGTTACGCGCAACATCACTTTTTGAGGCTACAACAAACCATTACAGCAACATACAGAGGCAGAGGGCTTGGAAATGCCAGTGTTATACATGTGATTGGGGATTCTATATGTGTGTTGTATAGTATATGTACATTGAATGTTATAAGTTGTGTATGACAGTGTGGTGTGGCAGCCTTTTCTTTTCTAGCTGCACTGCTTAACCACCTGCCTTGCGTGTTCTCTGAGTAGATGATGGCCCAGCAATGTGTTGTACATGGTAGTGCCCTCCATGAATTGTTCACAGAGTGTGATATAGCTGGCCAGCTTGACGTCCAAGAGCCCAATGGATTTGTCCTTGTCAGATGTCTTTATGTGGAAAAAGTCCGAGTTCTTCTTTGAGAGAATGGTCTCCAAGTTCTCCAGTGCGTGGTGGAGTTCTCGTAAGTTCCTCTCCTTCTCAAACGATACGTACTTATCTGTTCTCCATGTATATATGGAGTCGTACAGCTTCGTGATGTGTGGGTTTCTCAAGTTGAACCCGTTTCTATGGATCAACGAGTGTGATAGCTGCGGGACAGACAACGAGTTCACAAACGTGTGGTTTGCGGTGATATCATGGATGTACATCGAGCATAGCTGTTTGCTGTCCATTTCAAACAGGAGCGTTGTTACCCACGAGTCGTATAAAACACAATCCACAAGCGTTATGAGCATGAGCTCAGTGCTCGACGTCACCAGCGACTGGATCAGCGAGTCCTGTAAGTAGTTGTAGTCGCGTACCACTTGATGCTTTGACGAGCCATCCTCATCCTCCAGGTAAAGTGGTAATTGCTCGCAGGCATGGTGGTTAACAACAAAGAGCAAATCTCGAGATTTGTCCAAATGGTCATGGTTGACTTTGGGGATAGAGACGTCCAGCTTCAAGCACATCGCCAGCTGAACAGTGAGACACAGTGGATCGGTTGCAAGGTATGAGTTATCGTCGGCCTTATACACATTATGAACGCATACTGTGAATTTGGTCAATGGTGAAGCAGATCTCCTCTGTGAATAGCGATACTGTCTCTTCTCCAATGCAACTTTCTCCTGTGCTGTATGCTGAACCACCGATGGCAACTGACTTATCGGGAATGTATCGAATAAGACCCTCAAGGGTTCCGGGATTGTCATGGTGTCACCCTAATAAAATACAGGTTGGTGGGTACTTTGATCTCAACAAGGAGAGCATAAGAACTCATCCGGGACAAAAAAAACTTTTGTCCCGGATAAATAAGCATCCCCGAGTGGACAAATTTCAATTGATTTTGCCGAGAAGACTTGTGGGACAGGCGAAGGAAAAAATACGGACAACAATGCGGAACACTTCTCCATTGGTATTGGAAGGAGGAAGCAGACCACATCGTTCTCTGTGAAGCCAATAAGGACTTAAGCTGATCAGTATCGTACTCTTCTTTTCGAATCATAACGCTCTATCATCACTAAGGCTGGATTGGAACGGACCCAAGAATACAAAGAAGAAGGATTAATCTGAGGAAAGCGATGCCTACTGCACATTTCAAACCCCCAGATTACGACAGGGTGTACAACACGCCGGGCTCGCCACCTTTACCTGCGCCGGATACGGAAGTTGAGCTACCGCAGAGAAGCTTGAATGAAGAAGAGGTTGGGTTCCTGGACTTGAACCCCGATTTAGAGGCGAGACGAACAAATGATGCCACTGCACTATCACCTTCGCCGAGTGCTTCGAGACGACTCTCTGTCACGCAGCAGTCCAAATTCATCAACTACGTTGATGAGCAACTCATGGAGGTGCGTCGCAAGACCATAAAGCTACTAGGTATGAACCAGTACTCCACAGGAGAAATCATTGCAGACTACCAACAGCTTTGTGAATTCATTCTGCTCTCTTTGAAGGGAGATGACATTGACAAGAAGATCCTCTTTGGACAAGTGGACTATCTCCTGACAATTGCAGGTGACATCACCGACGCCCTCGACAAGCTGAACTTCAAGGGAGTCTCCCAGGATGTGCTCGATCTGTTGAAACTACTCGATACGAAATTTACAAAACTGTTACCTCTTATGAAGCAAACTGAAGTCGTTAGACTTGTATCGTTAGCTGAGAGGACAAGACCATCCATAGTGACAGCGTTCGAAAGAGCACAGGTCACAGGGTACCATGACCAACTGGCCTCTGTATACGAACAAGTTCTTGAGAATGTATAATGACGCTAATAAACTAATTGTGTGCTATGTATCAACTCACCAACCAATGATAAAAATGTCTTGTCTTGCCTGTATAAAAGTGGGACTATCGGCCCTTAATGAATTTTGTCCCGTTGAAGAACTTATGTCTTGTCCAGGCTTTTTTTTTTGTCCTTTCCGGTTTGTACAGGTTTTGCAACATAAGTAGATCAACACACACAACCATCAGAAATCACGATTAGATCATCAGGGAAGATAGACGATGCCACCAAAATACACCTCCGTACCCTCGCAGTCCTATGAATCTGATGATGATTTTGACCCTTTTCTGAACGATGAGTTCTCAGACGTGGACTCTTTGGACAATGACTTGGAATTACTGGAGATGCAACGGGCAGAAGACCCTCTTCACAGTGCGCTGGAGATGCCGGATTTGCACACTTCCACACTTCAAATGGCGTTTATGAACATGGCCAACTCTATCCTGGGTGCTGGTGCTATTGGAACGCCCTTTGCTATGAAGAACTGTGGTGTTCTCGGCGGTGCGCTGGCACTTATCGTCCTTACACTGCTGGTTGATTACACGTTACGTCTGATCGTTATCAACCTCAAGTTGAGCGGGAAGGAGACGTACCAGGACACGGTGGAGCACTGTTTCGGTAAACGAGGCAAGATAGTGATCATCCTCACACAGGCTTTGTTTGCATTTGGTGGGAGTATCGGGTTTTGTATCATTATCGGTGATACGATACCTCACATACTGAGATCATTCTTCCCATCGTACAAGGATTCTGTTTTCCTCTCTTTTATCTTTTCAAGAAACTTCATCATACTGTTTGTCACGTTGACCATATCGTTCCCGTTGTCTCTGAGTAAAGACATCTCCAAGCTGGCGAAGGCAAGTGCTCTGGCATTGCTGAGTATGGTTGTAATTATCGTCATTGTATTGGTCAGTGGTCCAAGGCTGCCTTCAGAATGGAAGGGGTCTCTAAGACTGAGCGATTATTTCATCAATGCTAGAGTATTCCAAGGTATAAGTGTCATCTCTTTCGCACTGGTATGCCATCACAATACGAGCTTCATCTTCCACTCGTTGAAAAAGCCATCATTGAACAGATTTGCCAAAGTGACTCATGCCAGTTGCTTCGTTTCAATGGTTGCTATTGCGCTATTGGGATTTGGTGGATTCCTTATATTCAAAGACAAGACCAAGGGCAATATCCTCAATAACTTCCCGGGAAATGACCCTGTTGTTAACATTGCAAGATTCTGCTTTGGGTTTAACATGCTAACAACATATCCCCTGGAGATCTTTGTTCTCCGTGATGTACTGAGGGACTTGTATTATATAAATAGGGATTCAAGCCCTGAGCTATCACCCAGAGCACATCTCATGTTCACTTCAGTACTTGTCGGTGTCACTATGGGTATATCACTGACGACATGTAACCTCGGTGCTCTCTTTGAACTTATAGGTGCTACAACAGCTTCAATCATGGCATATATTTTACCACCGATGTGTTATCTCAACATGACTCACAAGACGCTTCCAAGACGTATCGTACTATATTCAATCATTGGGTTTGGATTCGCAACGATGATCATATCATCTACTCAGACAATTATAAACGCAATCCATGATGATGGATCTTCGCATTGTGCTATATAAACAAGGACAAGAATAAACAAGGCTCAATGGAGTAAAAACCCTACAATAAACAACTAAAACAGAACATTTCTATAGCGTCTCCTCCTCGTTAATATGCTGGAAATTGAAGGGCTCGTATGCATAACCTTCACCTTCGAAGAATTTCGACATGGCTTCAACCCAGTGAAGACGCAAAGAATGTAACATCGCAGATGTACCTTCCATCATAACCAAGATCGCCACAGTGAGGCAGAACCACATGGCAAATAAAACGACACATTTGATCACTTGCACTGGTGCTTTTGGATCAACGGAGGTGAAGGCATTAGCGATTGTCATGGACCAAAGGACAGAGGATAACTGGGCATGTGCAAGTGATAAAGCCCACAATCTCAGATAAGATGCTGTATGAGAAACACAGTTCAAGCAAAACTCAATGGTGTGAATAACCTGGTGGATCATGATATCACCAAAATTGAACTCCTCGTGGTCCTCACTTCCAGAATGGGTGATAACAAAATCATCCCCAGCAGCTTCCTCACGATCTTGAACTGTCTCTGTATGCTCCTGTTCATGTATGTTTGTATAACCTGCCTGTATTGCGAGGTTGTTCTTTCTGCGTAGAGTCATTGGCTTGTATAGCAACAGCATTGGTACACAAGCAAGTGCCAGCAGAACGAGAATCGACTGCACAAATCCTTGGAATGGATATAGCTCATCATCAATGGTACCAGGAGCTAAAAACATGTTGATCAACATGTTGAGCAAGCCAGGAGCAGGTTTGCCCATCTCGATCCAATTGTGTGCCCATTTAAAGACAATGGTGAACGACAGATAACCAAAGATAGATTGCATAAATATCAAGCCAGGGATGAAATTACCAATTATATCAACTCTTGAATGTCTAAAACGGTAATTCACAAGTGAAAACAAAAATGAATACGACATATGCATATAACCCATCAAAATCGACAACTTCATCTTGTAAGAGTTTGTAAAGATCAGATTGTTCTCAGCACCGTGCCAGGCCCAATCCAGACCAAATGGATATACTCCAACTCTCTCAGCAACGACTGTCTCTCCTGCAGTTTCTACTTTTGGCCACTCCCATCCAGAATGGAACAGTGTCATTGATCTGGAAAAGATATCATTGTACATCAATCCTGTGTACATTGAGAATAACCCCATCAGTAAGAGGATATAACGGCCTGAAAATGCCATGTCGAAGATCTCATCCTTCTTCTGGTACTGCAATGTCTTTTCTTTGAGGACAAGCAGCAATGCAATTAAGAAAACAATGAAGCCATGACCTAAGTCACCAAACATGATAGCAAACATGAAAGGGAAAGTGACCACCGTGGCAAGACCAGGGTTCACCTCCTGGTAACTAGCGACACCATAGGCATCGACGATTGATTGGAAAGCATCTGTGAATTTATTCGTCTTGTGATAGGTTGGGGGTGATTTTCTCGTGTGAAGCAAGCTAAGCACGGCACTACCTGAACCTTCAATATCTCTCAAGACGTTCTTAACAGAGGCGATTTCCGACGTTGGGATCCAGCCTTCGGCCACCAATCCACGTGAGCCGTCCGAGAACAAGTTCATCGTCGAGTATATCATCTTTTCCCTTTTAACAATCGCTTGCCAAACTTCCAGCTGGTCTGCAATGACAAACAGCTCAGCCTCTAATTGCTGGTGTGTGCTGAACATAACCTGGGTCAAGTCTGTGATCTTCATGTTTAAATCATTTACAACTTGGTCGTACAACTCCGGATCGGAACCAATGTCGTTGTAGACATGCCCTTCTAGTGATTCTACAATCTTCTTAACCCGTGATAAGAGCAATTGACCATGTGTGAACACGATAAAGACGCTCTTCTCAACTTGCTCTTCGCTATGCTTTTCTTCGTTGGGTTCTTCTAGCGGTTTACTGTTCATGTAGAGGTTACCTCTCAGAGATCTCCACAGGATCCTGTTCAAGATGTCAACCTTGGCCGTTGGAATCGATCCAATGACGTAGTTCAACGTCAGATCTTGCAAATCGGACAATTGGATCCCTGCCTCCAAGCTCTCCTGTTCCAGCAGCAACGGAGCGTTATCCACCTGGTCTATACTGATTCTGGCCTGTGACTGGATACCACTCTGGAAGAATTGTCTCGACCCTTTCAACACTTGTCTGTGCTCTATCAGTGAGGCGTGACGTTTCACCAGGCTCAGGTACGATGACTCCAACTGCGACACCCTCTGCTCAAGGACATCGATATCGTGCGACAGCTGCTCGATCTGTGTCACTGACGTCGGCTGTAGCGTCAGATGGGCATCGTGTGCCATGACGATCTGATGGCTGTGCTCAATGACGTTGCGAAGGTAACGCAGTTGACGCTCGGTATTGTCCAACCGTCTGATCTCCTTGACGAAGGCCCTCTGGAATGCGCTCACGTCGCTGTTCTTATCGACAAAGTGCACCATTCCCTGTTCACCCAGCGCCAGAACAACCTCTCTGGCGGTGTCCAGAGGAATGTACAACTCCGCAAAGGACATCTCTGCTGAGCCTGCTTGAGCCCCCCAAAAGGAAGGCATGTCTGTTAGTACAAGGGGATCTTTCCCACGCCACGGTTGATCAGCCTCAACGGGATGATGCGCTCGTCATTAGCATAGAACATACGGAAAATGGCCTCCTCAGTCATCGTAGCAATTCTACTCCCTCTTTACAATTACGTCCCCTTGGTGGTATGGGGAAAAACTTCAAACCTTGTTGCGGTGCTTTGATGCTTTTTCAACTAACAACACACACCAAAACGTGAAAAGTTTCCACGTACTCTTTATAAGCTCAGAATGGAAATCCCACCCAGACACACACGCACGCACAGAAAACAACGCACGCTTCCCAAAGGGGAAAAAGGGGACAGGCTCGGAAGCAGTGGGAAAACGCTTGCCGGTGGAGGCTGGGGGCTGGGTGTGCGGGTGTGTGTTGTTACACACACACCCTGTGATGACGTAACCCGGCATAGGATGGTGGGGAGAACCGGTGCAGCGGCACGTGGTGAGGCCCCTCGGAAGTGCTCGGTTGGAACATGCTGCGCGTACCGGGAGGTATACGTGCTGAGCAGGCTCTCAGTTCGAACTGTCTCCTCTCATTGAGGTTGCGGGTACAGTTGATATTTCTCTGGTGTGCGTGCGTGTGGTTCTACAGAGTCGAGGTGGTGGTCTCAAGAACGATGATGTCCAATCCGTTGGCGTATCCCGAGCTGAGACCGGCGAGTGGAGCCAAATCAAACCTGTCTCGGTGCGAGACAACCACGGATAACATGGCGAAGCTCGAACAGACCAACTCCGGTGAAGTTGTCACATACCTGTTCCCCGACTGTCACTTGCTGAACAATATCTATTCCAAGGAGGAGTTCAGGTTTGTCGACATAACAGGATTCGAGATCTATATAGTGGAGCAATGGGCCTGTGAGCGCAAGTACTGCAACGTTATAACCGTGTTCACCGGTGATTCTGAGCATAAAGTACAGTGTGCGCAGGTAACGTTGCCCAAGGATCGCTCCACATGGAGTGAAAAGATACTCCACTTCTTCAAAGAGGTTGAACTCAACGGTGGAAGCTTGAAGGAAACTGAAAAGGGACTTGTCTTCATTACAAACTTGTCCTCTGTGCCTTCGAATTTGAACCTGGTGCCTGTGTCCAATGGCTGTGTCATGGATGTCTGGGAGTGCTTCAAGGTGAACGTCAATATGAAAAGAATGAACTGTGGTGGAAGATCTGCCCTGCTATTATGTTCTCCATCAGACGCCTGTGAGGACAAATTCCGTCAAGTCTACAAGACACATCCAACGGTGGATATCATGTACTCTGTTAGAGAATTGGTCATGCTTCTACAGATCTGTCTCGTCGATTTCAAGCTCTTGGACCCGGTGTTTGTTGATGGCCTATTGTGCAACAAGACCGAGGAGAATATCACAAAATGGTGGGTTATGTACGGTGCACTGTACTATGGTGTTCAGCCAAAGGAACGGACTTTGGGCCCGATGACAGTATCTGCTATATTGGGATTCGTATTGAGCTGTCATTACAGATTTGATATGGCCTCTATCGATTTCCCTAAGGAGCCATTCAACTACTTCAGTTTTAGAGTCATTGTTGGTAAATTCCAAAAACAATATAACCTACAGAGAACCTGGTATTTGGATCCAGCAACCGTTGAGAAACTGTTTAAAGTCACTTCCAAGACGTCAGCGTCCGATATATCCAAGCTGAAGAATGTTGTTAAATCCAGAGTCCATGATATATCAGGTAAGACGTCGTCAGAGAGGATTGCACAGGACGTGCTAACCACTGACTTGGAAAGAGCCATCAGATACTTCCATTGTAGTCCAAGATTAGAGTACCTTTGGTTTGGGAAGGGTAATCCGATGGATTTGAAGCAGTTTGAATACTATGAAAGAATTCAAGCTCAAATGACAACTGCGTCAGCATTGAAAAGCGGTGTTGGTAAGATTAGAAACTTTCCAAAGAGATTACAAGTGGATGACTACATGATCCGCAGAAAGGGATATAAAGGCTCGTCTGATTACAAGAGCAGTGAAAGCGCAAGTGTTGATAATCTGTGCCAAGTGCTAGATGAGACAAAGCACAAGGAAAACGTTGGCAAACGTGTTATATGCGACGATGACGTTTGCAAGAAAGAGCTGAAAAGACGCTCATCATACCCATTTATTAGAGATGAGTTAACTGTTGAGCAGTTGGGTTATACAAACCATTCGACGAATTTGGACGACAGACAATGGGAGGAAAAGTTATTGAGACGTTGCAAATCAACATCTTTTATAAGCGACTCGGTACTCCCGTGGTGTACCACGGTCTCTCCTATCTTTGTTGCACATCAATTGAAACGGCTTGAATGGAAGTTGTTGTATTCCAAAGAGTGTGCTGAAGCTGTTGACAGTCAAAGAAAGAAATACCATGAACAATGGGAAAGGTGTCATACTAAACTGACGAGAGTTGGTCACTTTGCTAAGCCTGTTTTCAACAAGTGTGAGTCACAGGTGAACAACGACCAGAGGTTACACTTGGGTATCAACGACATAAGGGCTCTTGGATCACGGTTAGAGTATGAGATGAGACTGCTCGGAACTAGAGTTAGAGATGCACAAGAGAGTGTCAATGGATTTGAGTTGAAGATTAAACAGTTCGAAGACGCTATAAGGATGGAAGAGTATGGGCAAGTTGTTGATCCAAATGATAACAATTCTAGTGATTTAGAGGACAGGAACAATGGGTATTGGCATTATAGGTTTGACGTACAAAGGGTCAAGCGCATTTGGGGCATTATTGAGCAGTTTACACCTGTTAAGTGGTTAATAGGTGCGTCTTTGGACCCAAAAAGGGAGCAAAAGGAGGAATGACATGGTGTACACACTATTTATTAAACGTTGATATATCCTTGTCTAGCAATGATTGTAGAACCTGTACAATTTCCAGCATTCTTTCGGCGTCCTGTTGTGCTACCTCGGCCTTCTTCAAGAGCAACTCCCTACTCCTTTCTGAAGAGTTCTGTACAAATTGAATCTTCTGTCTTAATTCGGATAGCGACTCTGAGTCGCTATTCTCCTGGAGCCAACTAACCATTGAGTCCAGCAGATCTGTATTCTGTTTAAGTATGGTATCCCATTTCTTCCCGATGTATTCCTGTCTCTGTATCTCCACCATCAACTCCATGTTCTCCTTGTGTAATCTCGTTGACTCGTCTTCATCTCTGTTCAAACACCCTCCATGTTGATCTAACCGCTGCTTAGCAATGGGTATTTTACTGAGAGCACCAATTCGGTCCAGTGTTTCGTATAGTGCCTCTGTTCTCCAGTGAGATTCCTCTAACACATCGTTCAACGCGTTTGCTAGCTGTGCTACGGGTTGTAAATCATCACTTCTAAGCTCCATTTTGTTGTTGTTGTTGATGTTGTTGTTGATTATGTAAAACCCTGTGTTTACGTTTTTTGCCGTTAATAGTCACCCAGAACCGCTTAAGCATCACCAAGACAACACACCGGGATTAAACCATCAGAAGCCCTTTATTATGATGATGATGATGATTCTCATTATGTAGTTACATACTATGTTGCTCAATTGATAACAAGCAGAGAAACAACGCGCTACGGTGATGTTCATCGGATGATCGTGTCATGGCCCAGTGCTAACGTGTGCGCGCGTGTCAGTGGACCGTGAGATGGTCAAATCGAGGGCACGTCTGTATTCATCAGTAAGGCTGATTGAGAGTGTCTGTAGGCAGCAGGTACTGTGGCAGTGTTTTCTGTCTTTTACGTTACACATTGTATTTCCACATCTATGATGAATGACTATAACGATGGTCCCATCGATCCATCGAGGAGCTCACCAGTCATTGCGAATATCGTCATTGAAACACGGTACTCCTAACATGTCACCTCCAAATTGCTTCAAAAGTGTGATTACTCTGTAAAGTGTTGGGTCACACTATTGGTGAGTCTGTCTGTTTGGACTAGAGACTCGAAATGCCATGGGAAGTGGTTCTAGTTCCAAGCTAAGCTGTTGGCCTATGCTGATGATACCGCACAATACCTAAACGTGGGTAGACCAGGACAAGTACTCCCTCACAGTACCAGAGTGTGTGATTCTAGGGCCAAATGCTTCATTTGTAGTCTCTAAAGCACTGTTGATCCGTCCCGCCAGAGTACAAAGCTATTTGAAAGCGACAGAGAATGTGGACTTACAACTTTCATACACTGTGTACTATCGATGGTAGAGTAGCTTCAGCTGGCGGTTGTGGCTCCCAACGAAGAGCTTAGAGCACATCATCTTGTATTCTGTTTCTGCATTGGCTATACCATATGGAAACGGATGGCAAATGACTGCTCGACACTCCTTTAAGCAGACATCGTTGACGATAGTAAGGCCCCATTATTGAAGTTTGGCTCAGTTTCGTGAAACTGCGACGGAAAACCAGAAACAGATTCCCTACTTCCTTCCTCCGCACAGAGACGAACAGCAGACTTCCAACTCGATACCGTAAGTCACGCCAGTGCCATCACACGGTACAATGTCCGAAGACACACAGAAAGAGGCGCCTCTATCAACACCTTCAAAGTCAAACGCGCAGATCAACGACGGTAAGAATACGTCCCAACAACAAGAAGGTGGCTCAACAGTGACGATATTCGATGTGGCCACGGAGATTGAGGATATGTTGAACGACATAGTAAGTTGAGTATGCACACATTTATATACACGTCCTTGTCTAACACGTATGGATAGAACAAGCAGATTGAAAAGAATAGTGAAGAAGTGTCAAAGATTGGTGAGTTAGAGCACATATGTACACTCCTCTCCCGGCCTCCACAGGCCATTGTGATGGTCTACTAACCGAACTACCAATAGTGAATAAAATCAACGACAAGTTGGATAAAGTTGATCGTAAGATACGATCTCAGCAATGACACTAATCTGTATATATCGACTGTTTTACGCTGCATTGTACTGGTGTGTTCCACCTGTAGATCTACTCGTTACCACCATCCACACACGTCACGCTCTCTCGCTGCCATCTAAGCACCCCCATCCAACAAAAACATTGAGACCAACAACCTGTCGTGAACCCCTCGCATGATCTACGTCGCAACCTACCACTGCAAATCCCATACGCCTTCCTGTGGATAGCGTAACATGCCCTTTATGCCCTTTTTCCCTCATCAACATGGCACCGATGATGTATATGTGGTTGGGGACACAGTAGTACTTCCAGTGCAAAATATCCGCTGCGTAGCTTTGTGTACGATCAACATCAGCGCTCCACTATAAAAAGGGCACGGTTGGTAGTTGGTGACGGAGATGGCTAAAGCACACAAGTCAAAGAATCAGCTACGTCGTGAAAGGCTCAAACAGAAGAAACTTGAAGAGCAGAGTGCTTCTACGGATGAGAAGAAAGACCACGATGAGCTGAATCAAGGACAAAAACAGTCGCAGCGCTCTAGTACAAGGGCTCACCTTGAGGTTATAGTTGATGCTCCAGAGCTATCCCAGTTCACAGACGTTTTTAACAAGTTCCACAGTGTCGAGACTAGTGACGGTGATGAATCCGATACTCCGCGAGCAACGAATGAAAGAGGTGAGATTCTGGAGAACAGTGATGACGATGACGATGATGCTGGTGGTGCTGGAGGTGCTCTCACAGTGACACAGGATGAAGAGCCTCAGATGAGCAAGAGGAAACTAAGGAAGGCGAACAAGATACCACTATCCAGGTTGAAGGCCACTTCCAAATATCCAGAATTGGTTGAGTGGTACGATGCAGATGCTACGGATCCTCTACTGGTTGTTCAACTGAAGTGCCTGAAGAACTCTGTTCCCGTCCCAGTGAACTGGCAATTCAAAAGAGACTACCTCAGTGGGAAAAGAGGGTTTGAGAAAAGTGCTTTCAAACTACCAAAATTCATAAGTGATACTGGCATAACTGATATGAGAGATACTACAAAGGAGGATGAATCCAGCCTAAAACAGAGGCAGAGAGAAAGAGTTCAACCAAAGATGAATAGGTTGGATATGGATTACCAAAAGCTCCATGATGCCTTTTTCAAGTTCCAAACCAAACCAAGGCTATACGCGTTTGGTGATGTATTCTATGAGGGTAAGGACATGGAGGAGAGCTCACACTTGGATTTCAGACCCGGTGTCATCAGCGATGAATTAAGGTCAGCCCTGGGTATATCTAAGGATGGCATCTTACCATGGGTCGCAAAGATGTCTATGTACGGGCCTCCACCCAGTTATCCGTATATGAAGATACCAGGTTATAACGTTCCATTGGGTGATGAAGGAGTCGTTGATAATCCACTAAGTGCCTGTGGAGATGTGGAGTTGGAACCATTTGGTAAGGTGATATCATATGAAGAAGATGAGGAGGAAGATGAGGACGACGAGGACGAAGAAGTTGAAGATGAGAGTGATAACGATGTTCCTGGATACGTGAATGATGAAGGGGCTGTTGTTGTTGATCAGAATGATTTGGCACCGTCAATGGATACTCTTAATGATGCTGAAGATGAAGAAAACGACGAGGATGAGGATATCCCACTATCCACCTTGGAAACTCGTACTACTGAGAAAGAGTCGATTGAACCAAAGAATCTATACCATATCTTGAAGGAGAAGATGGTGTCAAATAACGGTGTCCTGTCTACAAAACGTGCCTACGACCTTGGTAATGAGAATAACGACAAAACGGTCAAAAAGCCTCGTTCTGAAGCGAAACATGATACCAACGAAGACGGAGATGAAGAAGATGACAACGGTAAGTTCAAGTTCTAATAAAATACATCATTTGTTATACATTCACAGTAAATGTCAACCTCAATTGTTGCGTAGATAGGAGACATTGCACGCGATGAGCCCGCGTCTTGAAACAAAAAAAAAATTTCATCTCACTACAAACGATTATCAACAGTATACTCAGGACACAATTGGCTTGACGAAGTACTAAGGTGAGGAATGTCTAAGAAAACAAAGAGGGTTGCTGATGACGTGGGTGTCGTTGATGATGACTTGAATGACAAGAACAACAAGAGAAGAAAACATGCTGATGCTGAGACTGAGGCTAATGTTGAAGACTCAAGTAGTCATTCACTTCAACTGTCTGACGTTGTCAAGAGTAGAGACTTATCATCCACTGTCTCATCTGGCGACCAGGGTACCAAGTCAGTCAAATTTGGATTAGCTGATATTCTTTCTGTGGAGCATGCTGTTAATAACCTTCAAAATGCCTTGAAGACCATCTTGACAACGGCTGTAGATGAGGAACAGCTGGAACAGTACAAGAGAGAAGAAGTGGAGTCGTTAGAGGCATTAATGGCACTTCAAAGATCAAAAATCACGCTTGCTGCTATGCTCAAAACGCTATATAATGCCGGTAAATTACAAATCTTTGATCAGATAACGAATTTCGAGGAGTTACATGGGAGTCTGTTTACCAAGGAAAAGGTTTCTCTCAATGTTAATGCTAAAGCTGAAAATGGCGATGATGAAATTGACAATGACGATGACGATGATCTGCAAGATGGTCAGCTGCCAGCTCTTCCACCTATCAATGATCCTGCGATTCGGGCAAGAGTATTCTTACACAAATCATTGGTGAAGGATAAACAGTTCATTTCTGGAAAGGAAGCTATACATACACATAACGAGAGGTTAGAGTTCATCGGAGATTCTATTCTTAACTATATCATGTCACAGATTTGTTACAATGCATTTCCAGATGCCACTGAAGGTGAAATATCTCAATTGAGATCTAAACTTATAAGCAACGCAACATTACAAGAATGGTCTGTGAAATATGGATTCGATCAAAAACTCAAGATACACACAGATGATAGTATCTTCAACGGTAAGCTGAAAGTATACGCTGATGTGTTTGAGGCGTACATTGGTGGGTTGTTGACTGAAAGTCCAGACAACTACACTGTGGCATATAGATGGTTGAAGAAATTGGCTCAACCAATACTCAAAAGAGGTCTAAGTGTTGAAAGAAATAAAAAAAGTCCAAAGGCATTGAATCTAAATGCAAAGGTTGAGCTCTACTCCTTAATTGGTTACGCTGGTCTGGGATTACAGTATAAAACTATCCATAAGGAAATTGAAAATGGAACGAGTTGGTTCGTTGTTGAATTAAGAACAAAGGACAACAGTCTTCTAGGTACAGGATCTGCCAAGAACACCAAGGAAGCAGGCATCAGGGCAGCTATGGCAGCGTTGGACAATAAAGAGTTGATTGAAAAATACAGCAGAATGAGAGCAGCAATCCCAAGATCAACGTCGAAGGTTTCCTTAAGAGAGGGAGTGGACTCGCTGTATAACAACCCGTCTCAGCTAAATGAGGACTCCATTGATTCCGACAAACCTTCCCAAAGACAAACACCAACCCCAACTGGGTCATCCGGCTCGTCCAATTCTAATAACGACACCCCTCAGAAGTTGAACAACTCAGGACTTACCTCATCGGCTTCTTCTTCTTATTCGTCATGGGACAATAATAAAAACACCAAGAGATCACGATCCAATAATGGTCAATGGAAACAAGACAATTACAGACAAAAATCTGCTTACAACTCAAGGCCAAACTCTTCTGGATCATCATACAAAAATGAAGGTAGTTATGGTTCTGATAGGTTTTAAACACTATCGCTCTTTGGGCTCAAATACCGTATTACAAGAATAAATAGGGAATTTATCAAAAATCAAAACTGGAAACCACATAGTAGCTTTGTAATGATGGCCAAGCTTTACAGGAAGTGTCCTAGATACAGAAAATGACTTGACAAGTCGAAACCCTTTAGGAGTACTCATGCTAAAGTACTTCGATGTTTAGCACTCACCAGTGGGAGCTTGTACCTGAGTGACCCAAAACACACATGGTTAATGGCAACCTGGCCGAGTGGTCTAAGGCGCCAGGTTAAGGTCCTGGTCTCTTCGGAGGCGCGAGTTCGAACCTCGCGGTTGTCATTATATCCATTATTTTTTTTCCAACCTTGGTGTGATCAATGTGCGTTGCAGTGCAGCAGTTGATGTCAAGACTTCATTAATGGAGATTCAAAATGTTATAATAGTAAGCTTGGAAGAGAACCTTAAGCCAGTGACTAATGGTGAAACTATAGAAACAGGTTTCACACTGCAGGTATTATCTTTTATCTGATGATCACCTTGTTCGGTACAGGGGAGGTTAAAACTTACACCTTTGTATGTCTTTGATGCTCTCCATTTTGAGCTGTATACCCTGTTAGAAGCATACAATCTTCTCCAAATCCACTCTGGTTATGGTACTGTGGGAGTCGTTTCTCTAGATGGCTGTATTATCGCGACGAGTGTGTGCTACAATATATGAACAGAAAACTGGTTTCCTAAGCTGGTGGTATGGTACAGTTCTTAGCTATTGAGTACTGTTGATGTTCTTCGTTTTGATGTTCGTGGTGTCCATAGTGGTAGTTTCCAAACTGTTTGTAAGCTCACACCAAGTGGAGATATGTTGGTAATATTCGGTGCATTGTGTTGATTGGTTCTTGTTCTATTTCTTCAAACAACTGGACATCGTGTACCTCTCTTATTTGTAGTGAATCATCCAAAATGTGCTTTGAATAAGAGCCATATCACTTTACATCTCTGCAGAGCTGTAACTTGAAATATTCCCATGATAAGTATCTATTTAAACTATCTTTCCGAATTTAAAGTATTAGGATAATCAACCTTTAGCTGTGATGTTTAAATAGTTAATAGTCTTAAGCTGGGCCTCCTTCTCTCAGTGCTAGTCATTTTCCAAACATGATCTCATTTCGCTGTTATAACTCCGCATATACTTGCCAGTGTAGTAGTGATGTCAGTCCACGAAGTCGTAAGCTCGCTTGCATTAGCCACCTACTCATGGATTCATCAATTATTCACTGCAGAAGTGCACAAAGCAGATGCTCATTAATACAATACTACACACTACTATTAAAGCATCGTAAACATTTTAGCCATCCAATGAATACTCTGGTTTCCAGCCCAAATGTTGAGTACCACGTTTTGGCATTTTATCAAAATCAGTTACAACGATTCCAAATCCCCAACTCCCTTTTGCTACCAACTGGCCTTCTGCAAGTGGAGTAATTCTATAGAAGTGACGAGTCTTGACAGGCTCAACATCAAGTGTAGCAGTGCACAAAACACGTCTGTTATCACACACAACAACAGTACCTGATGGAGTCCAAGCCTAACTTATCAGTCATGGGAATTGTTCAAATTATTGGAGAAGACGTCCAAAATAGTCTTTGACTCTTCATCTTCCAATCCTTTGATCTTTTCAACAAACCCTGGAACAAATTGAGACTTTTGTTCAGTAACTAGATGGATGCTCACTAATGTATGAAAGGCAGTTGATGCTGTTGGACCATACCCGAGCGTGTTTCCGTTGAGCTTTACAACATACTCCAACTTTTTAAAAGAGTGCTCTGTTCTCAGAGTGAACAAGAAGTCCTGTTGTAAGCTTCAATAGCATCACCGAAAAGAGTATCACCACCAGCATCTGGAAGTTCCAGCCCAACAAAGAAGATGGTGCCTGAAGAATACTCTTCAAAAGTGAGGTCATTGTGCCAGTAGCTGAGGGGCAACTTGGACTTGAAGATTCTGACCATACGGTCACCATCGCCAGCCTCGCTGTAGGCCTTGTGGTAGGGAATCTGGGGCTCCCTTCCGGCAGCTATAGTACTTGGATGAATGTCAAGCTTTGGTGAAAATCTCTTTACTTGAATTGGGTCCTTCTTTGCTGGAGGGAAAAGATTCCTCAACTCAGAATCACCATGTAAACCCTTAGTGGAAAAGGATTCATTATAATCGGGTAGATATGCCTCAAACTTATCAATTGGAAACCAAGCAGACAATCATTATGGGCATTTACTCTCCGATGTATTCGCATCTTCTGGTGTTTTAAAACAAAAGAAGCTTTGACGGTCTCAGCGGCCATGATGAATCCGGATAAATAATCTTTAGGTGATTTTGGTAAAGCTGCCCAGCCTGTGGATGGAAGGAATAACAAAGACTTTGCCTTCTATGTTTCTGTTAACTTAAAGAGTGTAGTATGGTCACCTACTATAGTACTTGGTAGAGGACCTAATGGCGAGCCACATTCAGCCATCGGGTTCTGTCACAAGTCGGCTAGTGATCAGAGCATCTAGATCTTTAATTGAGGTACAATTTCCAGAGCACGAGCCTTAAGCCTCTTAAATTCGCCACGTTATGATGCACACTTGTGGCGTAATATTGGTGCTAGTTGAACGAATCTCGATGACGTATGTTTCAGTCCCACTTCCAAAAGTTCGTAATTGATCTTGAATGTTGATGTTAAAGTAGATGTTCTTGTCTGGATTTGAATGCAGGACGAGCGGCTGGTGATATACTATATAATATAACCATGTCTAGATTTTTACGAGGTATCCAATTTTGAGCTCCATATCTAGCTCGAGATATATTGAAGATTAAAAAAACAATCAACCATCAATTGTTAGGATTTGCGATATTATTGGTGGAATATCAACATGTAGTGCCTACTTACTTATTAAAAGTGTGGCAGATATGGTCTGACATTATTAGCGAAAGAACAGACCATGGAAATTCCAATAGTTAATATGAATTCTTCAATGTGTAGGTAAATAGAGTTCACCACATGGTATACATAGTCTGGTGACACTAATTCGGTCCATGAAATGAAGAGAAAACAACCGCTGATACTAATGCGACTCTTCCATGAGTCGTTCAATCGACGTTTCTGCAAGCATGAAGCGGGTTATGCATGTAAGTTTTATGGCCTTTGGTGTGGCTTGCGGCTTATCATATAGAACCGAAAACAGATGTCGCTATAAGATGTACTTGACATTAACAAGACTTGGATGGTGGCAAGGAAGAGAGGCGAGCAATGGAGAACAATATCACTGTATCCGTATCCAATTGCTAACTCTTCAATGGATATGAACAAAACTGAAGTATCGTGTGATTGGAATCTTTTCTACAATGTAGCATTAGCACCGTTTAGTGATGTGATATTCTCCTGCACTGCAAAAAAAAAAAATAGAAGTCTTCGTGATTGTGGCTAGTGATTAAAGCGTCATAAAAAGCCACACTGAATACAAATATCTACCATATTGAGCTCATCACTAGATAATTACCACAATAAACACCGAAGGTCCAGCTATGAGTACATGGACACACATGTAGATGACAAGCCATTACCTCCAACCCTTGAAAATATCCCAATGTTAATTCCAAGTACTATAAATTAATAGAGCTTTCCTTCCAGTCTGATTCTCATTTCCACGTTGTAGTCCACCAACTAAAGCTGTTTTCAATCATGTCTATCATCGAGAAGAACGATAACTCAAGATCTTCGAGTGTGACAGACTCTACAGTCCCAGCTTTTGAGGCAAAACTACCTCAGACATCTGAAAATGTCGCTGAGTATGGCAATTACAAGATACTGTTACCAGATAACTCGAGCTTCAAGGTTATAAAGGACTGGACTCAGGAAGAAGAAGACCGTGCCCGCTGGAAAGTTGATCTTACTTTGTTACCTTTGCTCGTTGCTGGTTTCTTTGCATTGCAATTAGACCGTGGTAACTTGGCAAATGCACTGACGTCCACCTTCATGAAAGATGTTGGTGTTGACAGTCACCAAATCAACGTTGGTCAACAAATGCTATCACTTGGTATCGTTCTTGGTGAAATCCCTTGTAATTATGTACTTCAAAAAGTTGGTCCTTCGAACTGGCTTCCATTCCAAACTATCGTTTGGGGATCTATCGCCCTTTCACAAGGTTGGATCAAGAACTATGGTGGTTTTATCGCCACGAGACTGCTCTTAGGTTTAGGCGAGTCCGGTTATATCCCTGGCGGTCTTTATACTATTTCGAAGTATTATACAAAGAAAGAGTTGGGACGTCGTCACACTATTTACTTCGTGGGTAACTTGGGAGCATCTGCTCTAGGTGGTCTTATCGCTGCAGGAATCTTGAAAGACCTCACTGATGTAAACGGGTGGAGTGGTTGGAGATGGTTGTTCTTCATTGAAGGTATTGTAACCATAGCTGTCGGTGTTGTACTCTTGTTCCTCTTGCCAAAATCGACACAGGATTCATCCACTTTCCTCTTGAGAAAATGGCAATTATACACAGAAAGGGAACGTTATATACTGACACAACGACTCATACTGGATGACCCATTGAAGGCTCTCGACTTCAAGGGAAAAATTACCGTGAAGGATGTTGGAAGAGCTTTATGGCAAATCAGACCGTGGCTCCATTTCTTTATCACCATCACCTCGCTTTGTATCACTGGTCCAATTGGTACATACTTACCACTCATTGTCAGAAAAATGGGCTACACTCAATTCAGAGCTAACGCAATGTCTTCAATTGGTACCTGGATATCTTTGGTATACTTGATTATAATTGGTCAAATTCAAGATCGTTTCAAGCCAAAGGCGACCACAGTTATTGCCATCTCTGGTTTGCAAATGATTTTTGTCATTGTATTCAGAGGAATTACAACATATGCAGATAACCACTTGAGACTTGGTATATTGATAATGATACAGAGTTTCTCCGCTCTGGCGCACATTGTCAATACAAGTTGGATTAGTATGAACTCCCGTATTCCAACTGACAGGGCCATTCATCTGGCACTTATTATTTGTGCTGCCAATGCTTCTGGTATATACAACTCTCAAATTCTTAACACTGACGATGGTCCACACTACACAAAGGCTTTCACTGCTCTTGCTGTTATAAGCATCATTTCTTTCCTGGCGTCCCTTTTCACCTACTGGCAGTATGTCTTCTCCAACAGAAAATTGGAAGAAAAGTATGGACATGCTGAGGTCTTTGATGAAGAGGAGTTGAAAGATGGGGTGGTTACTGATGATGAAGGGTTCGTCGTCCTGGATCATTCGAAAGCACAGCAGGCTGTTGGTGAACTGAAGTTCAGACATTTCAGATACACACCATAATCTTATACTTGTCTTTAAATATTTGTCAACGTGAGGTTTTAGATTGTTTTTACTGGTTTTGTAAGTTCAATTAAAGATTGTTTATAATGAATTCTGATTTATGAGTCATTACAGCTCTCTTTCCTTTATGCGTAGGAATATTTACCACGTTGCGATTTGGTACCTGCAGTGACAATCTTTTGGCGCGTTTTGGGTGTGGGAAAGATGGACTGTGGAACAAATGACTACGAATCGATGTAATTGAGCGCAACTTTCCTGTCCTCACAGGTACCAATTGCTTTTATTCAAGAGTTTGTCAATGGCCCAGCTAATTGTACAGTCACTTTATCACTAACATGGGAGTTGCGGACTCTGTGTATTCTCAAAGTGTGCACAATATTGCCGTAACATACATATCCTGACATAACATCACAACTGCTTCAAAGCTTGCTCTCTAGCATAGCCATTCAAGTATTTGAGTGAAGAACTGAAAGCATTTGAATGGCACATCACTATTTCGTTACACAGATTCATTATAAGGCTGGTACTAATATCGCATGGCTTACTGGCTTATAACCTGTGCAGGAAAGGAGTTCCTCTGAGAGGACTCAGGTTGTGCAAAGAAGGGCTACCAGATGGGCAGTAGTATGATGAGCAGGACCTGGAATTGCACTGCAAAAGAGTGGTAATCTTTGCCAGGTTGGGATAACCAAAATGTTAGTCCAGGAATATCGCAACACCACCAAGATCCCCAAACGCAATGTGAGGTGATGTATGTCCAATACTAACAGCGTTCAATAGGCATAGCTGCTAAAATTGTCTCTTAAAACACAGTTGCCAAGCTTAGCACTTCGCACAGCTGATACAAATTGTACAGCCATTCTCCAGAAGGTTCTGGACTTCCGTTTAGCTAGATCTCAATTGCTGTCTGATATAGATTTCGAGTATTTCCATATGAGCCTATTTGTAAGGACGTTTGCAACGCCTATCAATTACGTCATGTACGGTATGTACAGTCCCCACGCTGTCCTGCGTATCCTTATCTTTGAGCTCAAATCATAGATATCAACTCTTTCCCATAACTTCTTGAAATCAAAACTATATGGGAGTTGGTATAGGCGAGCCTTTACCAAGCAATTTGGAAAATTATATAAGGTTCGAACAATTACATGCTCGTTATCTTATTGGACGTCAAGACTATCGGTACATATTTAATTGATGCTAGTGGGTCCATCTTTTCCCGACAGCTCTCAATGATGCCCGGGATACGGAACTGTGAAGCCAGGTATACAGAGCTGTAAAACTGACGTGCTTCTTAGCATCCGGATATAGCCTATGTGAATAATAAGCTCGTAATTTTGCAAACTCCTTCACGATACAAGACTTTTTGTACTGGAGCCGGGTCTGATAGTTAATATCCCAGCCTGTGTACCTGGTTCGACAGCTGGAACTTTTAGCAATTTGCATGTACTTTTTATTCTTGTACCCACTACATTGAAACATAATTCTACTCAACAGGCCTAAAAGGCAGTATGAAAGAAGGATGATCAACCGGGTCAAGAACCTCTATCCTCAAGCACGAGTTAAATATAATGTTCCTCTGCTCACCTATAATCAAGACGTAATGCCACCAAATGGTTGGTGGCTGCGCGTAATTCAAAACCATTACCAGTATGCTAAAGATTCTCTCTGAAGATCAATTGCTACATACATGACAATTCTAATCTGTTAATTTGATTCCATGCTCCATGCTGTGGAGTGATTTTAACTTATTTTTTAGTGTATATGAGGGGGAAGAAGAGGAAATCCAGTTATATTAATCACGCACTGCTTAGAAAGTGTGTGGGGCTGGATAACAAAGACATCAAAAGCTGTTTAACCAAATTGATTTACACAACAGGTTGACTACAATCGGGACAAAATCGGATACTTCCAACACGCTTGCATATAGTCCTGTCAGCAAACTCTACAATACACGAGCTGAGCCCAATGGTAAATTACACCATGTGGCATCGCCTATCATACATGACCTCTGCAGACGTCACAAAGCACACTTCTTGTTTTGTCAGCTGTTGCAGGCTGTAACTACAGTATATTACTCTGACATGTGAGTCAATAGTAATTCGTAACGTGTCGCTGATGGCGATGATAGTACCTGTATTATATCCTGCAGGACAAATTATCAACTATTATGGCAATACGGTCTGTCCACTCAATTACGAGAGCCAATGGACAAACAAGTGATATGATTTCCTCTTAAGATACTGATTAGCATACTACACTGTGACTGATGACCCACTGTCGTGTTTTAATTAATTATTTACTTTTGATCTATCTGTCAATTCCAGGCGTGCGGTTAGTAAGGCTGAACGTGTTTGAATCAATGATTAATTTCTCTTCACTCGCTCGCTATTTCTTGCACGACAAGCACGTCAATGTATAAGATTTGTAATGCATCAAAGAGCTTGTACAAAAAGGGAATCTCACCGGGAACAAGGAATTAAACTTAACCACATTCATAGGCCAAGGTTTCCTCCCCCTGACCTCCAATCAGTACCCGGCAGTCTCGCCACTTGCGCTAGCAGATAGGTGCATCTTAACCACAGAGCAAAGATGAAGAAAAGGGAAGTTTTAAGCAAAAAAGAAACAACATTAAAATTAGGAGGAAAGCAAAGGAGTCAGAAAATGGTGCTTGTTTTCTTCTCTTTAAAATTCTCAGATAATGTAGATAAGTTCAAGTTGTTTAACATCACTCTCCAGCTTCTTCTAATTCTTTTCTTTTTTTCCCTTCCTTGGTGGACTTTGCCAAAACGATGCAAAATCATCCTGCTTTTCTTCATTCTTTGTCTTTCCTCATCTGGTTAAGAGAGTAAACAGCAGAGACGATTTCATGAGACAGAAAAAAGATCTCGTACATACCTAGCTGGCTCACTTTAGTGTGATCTGAACCATATTCAATGAATAGCACACTCAAACGGTATCAATTCCACACAATGGAATGAAACCCTAAGGCCCCCCCCCCATAGTCAACAGTAAAAGTATTAAAGAGACAAAACGAAGAAGTCAACAAGAAAATTTTTAACTCGGGGAAGTGTGTTGTCCCATACCAGGAAAGTTGTTTACGCGAGGGCTTTATTTTATTAACTTTCTGTTGCCTCAGTGGCAGAAAAAAAAACTCTAAAATTACCCGCATGCATCTGGGCCTCTGCCGTATAAGCACTGTGAATGGGTGTGTATCACATGTAGGAATTAGGGAGAAAAGGGAAAAGAAGGAAATTTTTTGAACAAGAAAGATAATCATATCACCACAAGTATCAACCACCTCTGCATTCGTTACGAATATAAGTATAGGCCTTAGTCCTCAGGTGTTTCTGTACGCGTGCGTGTGTGTGCGTGTGTGTTTTCTCTATATTCTCACTTGTTCAGTTTGAAGTTGCCAGGAAATCGGGGAGAAGAACTACACCCAGTCTCTACGTGCCCTTAAGTCACTTGTACTCTATTTTGCCAACCTACATTAATCAACGATTCACATTTGTATCAGAAATGCTCCATATTTTATCAGCAGCTATCACACTTGCACAGTACGCTGTTACCGTTGTGCAGTACATCTCGGTGAGTATCTCCCTTGTGTTTGTCTACGTGGGATGACGTGAAGTTTTTATTGTTGCTAACTCTTAAATGATAGATGCTCATATCCTTTATGATTATAACGCCCGTGATAATGCTCCTTGCTTGGGATTTGATGCTATATGCTATGCGTCTTGTTCAACTAAAACAGGTTGGCATCAACGTTGTCGTTTGGTTTCACGAGTTGAAGTCTAGTACTCGAGGTTTATGGACAATGAAGTTGAAAAGAATTGGGAAGAGACAGATGTATAATCAGAAAGTTATCTGTGAGGCTTCGATTGCTGGTTAAATCGAAATGCTCTTTATAGCCCGACAAATCAAGATGGCGTTTCCATCACATATGTTGATGATCAATATCACCTCTATGATGGGCAATTGGAAAGATCACCGAGAGAAAATTGGCATACCTCTTTGGTCACATGATCCATCAGCCTCTTGCAGTTTTTATACACTACTGCTTCTTATGCCGTACTATTTTTTTTTCTGTTTGCTATTTACAATTTTCAGGGGGGTTTCGATGATACATTTATCATCTACGTGTTTTGCTTATATACCTATATATAGCATTATTGGGGGTTTAATCCGGTGCTACTATTATAAAAAGATGATTCTACTATAACTTCATAACTAGTACTGATGTCACAAACCGTGGCCTGCCATTTTAGTCATGAGATAGTGCGCTTACCAATAGGTTCAAGGACGGGTAATCCTTCTATGGTAGGGGCAGTATGAGATTTTTTTTCTCCAAAGGTCGGCAACTTTTTAATGCGTATGAATAGGAATCATATACACCCTTCGATCAGCATCGCCTTAATACGTATACCAACAAGATGGATCACATTCACGCACAAGCTGCTCCTCAAAAGGAGAACGACTCTTTCATCTCAAAAGTCACAAGCAACCCAGTTTTCCCACTAGGTTTGAACGTTGTTCTTTTCATTGCCGGTGTTGCCTTCATCCAATCTCCATTGATGGACGCAATGGCTCCTCAGCTCTAAACGATTTTATGATTAACACATAGACATGATGTTGTTGATTTCCACTTGAACGAATTCCACGTGTACATATATTATAAGGTCCATCACGGTTTAACTATGGGTATATAACAATCCACAATCCATTAAAAAGCTCCCTTGGACGTTTGACCTGTTTTAGTCCCAGTGTGTAGAAAAGCGCGGAAATGACCATGCCCACACATGTCACTCAAATTACCCTCCTACAAATGCCACCGTGCTTATAATTCTTTTGAAACCTTTGTATCATTAACAAATGGAGATATAGAAAAGTATAAACAATCTCCCCCTTGGTAGTTAGCTATACAAATGACGAGTTTACTATTAAACAAAACAAAAAGGTGTAAAAAAAAAGTAGGGGAGGTCAAGAGAGTTTAAACTCATATTAATCGTGATAAGGTCGACAATCCAGAGCACACGTTTTGTGAAAAAAGACAAAATGGGCTCAAGAGCTCAAACCGTTATAGAATATCATACTGCTTAGTTCGATGTTAACACAATGTACAAAGCATGCAAGATAGCTGGGAACCAAATGAAACCTATGGTAATGTTAGTTAAACCTGGTCGTGTGTTTTTTTTGTTTTTCGCCTCCGCTTCGAGCAGGCCTGTCCGTCCAGCCATGCCGAAACGGAGCGTGAAAACCCCTCGAATTCTAGGCGGAAATCGATTATACTTACAACAACAAATACAGTTGATCAACAAGTCCCTACCGGCACCTCTAACGAGGAAGACAGCGAGAGGTGGAAGCAAAAGAGCTTAAAGGTTTGTTAGCCATTCCAGCGCTCTTAATCCATTGTTTTGCTTTGCTTTCAGTTGTCATGGAGAATGTAGAGGATAGGCGTATTTTTCCGTGAGCCAGGGACCCCATATAATTGAAGCAACTTCATATCAACCAGAAAGCACAACAGTAGATACGGTACTTACCAAGAACAACGTTAACAATCTTAGCAGCGTCAGCCATGGTTTAATGTGGTAATTAATTGAATGAAACTTGAGAGTAACGAAAGAGAAAGGGAGATGAAGAGAAAAGGAAAAGATGTCTTTGTTTATACATTTTAAAAGGTTCGGCAAATTTGGTTGTCATTATGTGGCCGCGAAATTTCCCTCGTGGGAAATGGCGGAAACCACAATCCTGGGAAAAGACTTGTACATAAGTTCCGTATTAGGCAAGTTTCTGTTTTGGGAAGTGTATTACATAATACATGATAAAGCACTATGTACCGAGCATCATCATCACTTCAACACTTTCTTAACAATCTTTTCAACCTCTTCCCAATCATTTGTTGGAACTCTTGTCATCTCAATGTTCCCGAAATATTCTCTAATCTGCATCAACTGCTGGTAGGACTTCTTATCATGGATAAAAGAAACCGCAACACCAACTCTACCAAATCTACCGGTTCTTCCAATTCTGTGCAAATAAGTCGAAGGATCGGCGTTACCATTCTTATCTGTTGGTAGGTCGTAATTGACAACCATCGAAACCGTTGGAATATCGATACCTCTTGCCAAGACGTTAGTAGTGATCAACACCTTCGAACGGCCAGATCTGAAATCATCAATTAAACGATCACGTTCTTGGTTCTCCAACCCAGAGTGTAGGATTGAGATTTGATGGCCATCGTGTTTCAACTGTTTGTAAATCTTATCAGCGGTGTCCTTTCTGGCAACGAAGATGATAGAAGAGGCAATGGTCAACAATCCATATAGTTCTGTCAAAACTTCATACTTGTGTTGTTCGCTATCACAATCCATGTATAGCTGCTTAATAGCATCAACGTTCAATTCCTCTTGTTTCAATGACAACTGGTTAGCATTTGGAACAAACTTTTCAGCGTATTTACGAACGTCATCTGGGAATGTTGCAGAGAATATAACCAATTGTGTAGTCTTTGGGAGGAATTTCTTTACACGCACACACTGATCGCCCATCCCCTGTTGGTCCAACATGTTATCAGCTTCATCTAGCACGAATACCTTAACATGGGAAGTGCTGACCTGCTTACGACGAATCAGATCGAGCAATGTCCCTGGAGTACCAACCAAGATTTGTGCAGTAATGGCTTGACCTTTCGTGAATGCATCTGGAACGACAAGCTGTGTGGTGATTCCGGTGTACTTACCCATGGTCTCCACAACATCCAAAGTCTGTCTGGCCAACTCTCTTGCAGGCGCTAAACAGATAGCTTGAACCTCCTTGATGTTTGGATCAACGCGGGATAACATCGTCAGCGAAAAGGCGGCGGTTTTACCTGTACCACTTTGGGATTGACCAATCATATTTCTTGGTGGATTAGAGATCAAAAGTGGCAGGGCTTTCTCTTGAATTTTGGAAGGTTTCTGGTACTTCATTGCATACAACCCCTTCAGCAATTCAGGCTGAAGTCCAAGCTCTTCAAAGGATTTGATGGAGTACAACGGAGAGTTTGGATCGGCTTGTAAATCAGCAAGTTTGACCTTGACCTCGTACGATGATTTTATCAAGTTGCTTGGTGGATGTTCAGCTTTCTCATCTGTCTTAGACTGCCCATCTGCTGCGGATTTATCTTTTGTAGTTGGCTTCTCATCTGTCTTCACTTCAACGCTCTTCTTCTCCTCCTCCTTCGTCTTCTCTGAAACGTTCTTTGTTTCCTTAGCCTCTGTCTTTATGGACAATGAGGACAAAAGGTTCGCTGCATCTGATGCTTCTCTGGATTCAGCCATATCTGTATCTGGTTATATAACGATGGCGAAGTATATTGACAGAGGTTCAACATCCATTGAAATAAGTGGAAGTGTTTGTGGTCGGTTTACCTCGACAAGGCAAAAAAAACTTCAACAACATTCATCCGGACACCACATTGGAAACGACATAACGTTTCCATAGCTACGTGCTACAGAGACATATGCCTAAAATTTAGATTAATCGTAACGATGGTCATTAATTCTTTCTGAATATAAATAAATTAAACGCTTAAGCGGTGATCTTGTCTGGAGTCCAATCAAGTCCAATACGTCTGTAAACTTTCTCTTGAACCTCGGTCCACAGCTGGGCCTTTTCCTCCTTTGTCAGCTTTACAACGGCCTGTTGTGGAGACGATTGGGAAACATCGTTCATGATGGCCTTCTTCAAAAGTGAGCCTTTGTTTGGGTTGACAAATTTCGGTGATGGTAATCCCAAGTTCTGTGCCTGCTGCTGACGTTTCCACTTCTTTGCCTCATGGCAGACTTTTTTGAAATCGTAGCGGCACTGTGCTTCAACTGCGAGGTTCAACAGGTAGTTTTCAATGACATTACGCCATTCCGGTTTGGATAGGCAGCGTGGTGTGTGCGTCGATGTTGGCATGCCAGATGCCCTAACAATCTGTTCGTGTCTCATTCTTGCAGCGCTCAAAGTATACTTTGCTGTCTGTTCTCTAAACGCAGTATCCAACTTGGCCTCTCTGTAGATATCGCTCTGTACTAGAGTACGCACCACCGTGCTATCATCAGCATCCAATGGTAAAAACTCAAATTTGAAACCTGGTGGTGAATAAATAATTGGTAGTTGATTTCCCCATTCAGGTTTAAGACTCTCCACAATTAAAAGGGAACGAATATCGTTCAACTCCCAGTCTTGTAACGCGCGTTTGGTGAATAATGGTCTTCCATCGCATAACATTTTTGGATCAGCCATCAACTCTGGGGAATACATATCGGCAAAGGATGTTGGAATAGCCTCTTGTAACGTTAGTGCAACTCCCTTTTGGTACGGCTGGTAATCCACCTGCGACGAGACATTGGTAAAAGTCGTACCGAGAGTATTTGCAGCACTGAATAACGAATCCGGGGCTGTTGATTCTGTAGCCATAGACATCGTTGTAGAGGCTATAGACGGTACTGTATAGATTTGCTGCATATCAACATCCATCCGATCATCTCCCAGGAGTGAGTCGCTCTCAGACAACGAAGTTGTTGAGGTATTGTCATAACTCATCACAGAATCCGTATCTATACTCTCTAATTGTTCTGAACTCTCATGTAAATGTTGTTGTAGCTGTTGTAGTGTTGATGTCTGATCTTCTTGTTTGTCTTTTCTGAGCCGCAGGCGCCCAAAGAACCCACTCTTACGTTTTTCCGTCGTTATCGTATCTACGGATTCATTGGACATCGTTCTTGTCAACGATGAATCCGATGCTGTAGACATCACGCGTTGTAACGGAGAAGGCCCATGCCGTGAAGTTGTGGTGCTGTTGAGCCGTAATGTCTTGTTAATCTCATCCCTGGCTCTGTTGGTATACTCCCTTGGAGTATTAGTTTTGCCTGATGAGGCAAATGGTGAAATGTACATCCTCCCTTGTGGTAATTTATGATCCCCTTAGTTCAAACGTATCTCTTCTTGTTAGATCTCTGCCTTTCCTTACCAATATATAAAAAGGGGGTGTTGAGTAATTTTAGTTGTCTGTAACTAGAGTAAACTCCTCTTCGTATTTTCCGGATTTCTCCAGCGATTATTTTCCAGGGTTTTCCTTTGATCCTTTAACTAACAGCCAAACTCGCAAACACAGTTAACTGTAATGAAAAGATTTGTGTAATCCCTCGTTCCGTAAACTCGGTATACTCTGTGTATTCAGTATCTCCTTGATGTAAAAACTGTGTGTCCTTGCTTTCAAAAAAAAAAGGAGAGAACAGGAAAGAAAGAGAAAAGGGGATGGAAAAATTATCACTAAATTTTCCTTCATGTGAATGTGACTTTCCTTTCTGGCTTGTTCGTTCATGTGCGGGACGCATGACAAGGTAAGAAAAAAAGAAAGGAAAAATAGAGCAAAACGCCTGCATTCACGCATAAACTTTGTAAATTCATAACTTTTTTGCCGTACGGAATATTATTTTGGTGTTGTTTTTCTCTTGAGTTTACCCGGGAGAACCACCCACCTGGTGAAAGCCGCGAAGGGGGAAAAAAAAGAGTTGTACCGATTGTTCACGGAACTTTACGTGCAATGCTGTTAAACTTCCTAGGTTACAATTTATATAACAAAAAGTGTGTATCCTAGGAAATAATTGGTTTAAGCGTTTACTTTAGGTTATGTTATATATCTTGAGCAATTGAAAATAGCAAGAACTGTAACAACGTTAGTAATTGCTAAGAAAATTGCAAGAACAAGTACGAAACTTCGCTTGGATTTATGTACCGGAAAGATTTCAAGATGCCATAGAGATGTGCCCCCCTAAAAGCTCTTCTCTCTAACTAATGCGTCACACAGTAGAGGGAAGTTTTCCCGAATCCCGGGTTGAACGTTTGTTCCTCCCCCCCCCCACCCTCCGCGCGTTGTGTAAGACTTAGATTGCTTTAAGTGCCCCAACGTACATATATCACCATACGGCATGTTCGTGCATTGTCGGAAAAACTCGCTCTTCAAAGTAAAACAATCTACATGAAGAGTCTCTTTTTTGGCCTTTGGAGAGCTTCCAGCCGCAGAGTTAGCGAACGTTGTTTCGGAGCATTGAAAAACGCTAATAGTTTATCCCTCAACGATTGGTACTGTATGTACATGATAAGTTATAACACGATACATGAACTATCCCACAGACTACAGCCGAGGCTGTTGTTGTGCCTAATAGAGCACTAACTCGGAGCTACCTAGTCGCGGTAAGGATACGCCGCAGTGCTTGTTGATGCGCTTATACATGCTGGTCACAGTTTGTACGGGGATCAGTCAACGACCCACAAGAGGTGAAACCTAAGAGTTTGTGAACTCAAGACCCAAGAAAGCCGACTTCTATGGTGATCACGTTAGGAAATGCACTAAGTGAGCTTGATGTTAGCCAAGTTTCTCATCGTAAGGTGTCAATTCCTAAATGATCAAGTATACAGATGTGCGTACCTTCTAGTGGGACATAAAATGTTACAAGTCAGAAAGAGAGGGATATTTGAACCACGACGAACAGTTGAGGGTTTAAAATAGCATCCCTGATGCATCGTGTACACACCATATGTTTAACATCTACAGAACGCTATAGATTACCGAATTACCGCTTCCATTAAGCCCTATTTCCGCAATACAAACACACAATGCACAGTATACTCAATACATGTTAGATTGCAACATGGTAACGTTTATTAGTGTGTAACGATTCTTTAAGGGTTAGAAGGTATTGAATAGTTATCGTTCAAGTGCCTAGGATCGTCTGATTACACTTCATCAAAATTTACAACGGCTGAACACGTTTCAGGTTCAACTGCCTCACCTTTTCCCACACTACATAAGCGTATGTTCATAGGGTTTTCACCTTACCTGTGTATTGTGACGTATGATGGTTGCTGATATTATCGGATAAAGTCGTTTGAATGTATATGTACATGGAAACTAGGTGCGCAGGCAGCAATCAAGACCGAGCTGGGATGGAAACTTCCTAAAGCGACAAGAAATTTCAACTCTGACTATTAATTAGCAAGTCATGGATGAGTACTATGCTCTCAAAAATCCAGAGATATAGTCTACAGGTGGGCCTTTCAAGGTGAAAATAATGTACCAATACCCTTCCCAAAATTCTTAATTAATAATATCACGATGTCATGAGTTAATTCAATGAAGACCATCGACTAAGTGAGCTGCTGAGAGTCTGCACCATATGTCAGATTCAACGTCAATTGATCAAAAACATGAAACGAGTATGCATTCCAGTATGTGTGATTCACACAATCCATGTACATTATCTTTAAAGTATCTTTAGGGCATAAAGCTGGTATGATTCATGAAGGACTATCTGAGTAAATTAGAATGACCTCAAATAGTTGAAATTTTGAAATGCCACACATTTCAGATTCCTATATGCATAATTGCAGAACCTGCATAATTTCTGTCGAAGATCAACCGAGATTTTCTCCGATAATTTCAATTATAATTCGTAGTTTCTCAACTATGCTGTTTTACATTTGTATCTCTGTATAGGATGATAGGATATTTCCCAAATGTTCTGTTTCAAGTCCATTGTGTACTGCGATCCTATCATCAGTTTTGTTTGATACTCAGCTTTTCAAAGTTGGTATGTGCTTTCATGGAGCAGAAAACGCCGCCAAATTATATGGCATAGATGATAGACTCTGTTCCTCAACTGTATGTGTGGCAGTGTCCACACCATGCTATTGGGTTGAATCCAGGGTTTCTAGGAGAATAGCTTCTTATCCGTCACTTTTCAACAAGTACAAAGATTTGACCAGAGAGGTAAACCAACATCGCTGAGCAATGTTTCATGTGAGGTGATGGTGGAGTGAGATAAAGTGATACCAGGATACGAGATTCACTGTTAGAACGACAGCGCATATTTCACTGCAAAGCCCAACCTTGGCTACTTGGAAAATGCAATCATTTCTGATGACTTTCCTATGAGTGTCATTTCAAAGCACCTCTCCAAGTGCATATTCTCTCATGCACCTTTTGGAGCCACCCTCACCTCTCTAGAACTTGCCCAAATGGTATCTTCAACACATTCATTACAGCTGTATCATTACAACTGACTTGCCCTGTTGTAAAGATCTGAACACTTGGTGTAACTGGACCTGTTTGCATAATTCTTGTAGCAGTTGTACCACTGGTGTCACTATTGGCGTAAACTCCAGGATGGTTAGTGTTATCAACATTACGCGCAACCACCATTCAGCTTCAACATATTACCCTATGTTTCACTACCCTTTTTCTACATATCACTGTCAATACCAAGCGGATGCTTGATTATAGACACAAACTGGCGAACTGGTCACTTTTCCTACAACAGCTGCACTGCAACTCTGAGCCTTTGACCCTTGAACCTCTCGCGCTTTGTACCTAGTAATATACACGTTTCTTCCACCTCTCTGATGCATCACCTTGTTCTACGGTCTTACTCTCTCGGCGGTTAATCTGACATGGGGTATAAAAGGCTCGTCAAGGCGCTCCGGTAACTTCTCCTCTCTCAGCGGCAAACATTAGCACAAATCGTAAACGGACAACGATGTGTTCATTACAACTGCTCTATGAGTCCATTCAATTTTGTCCATCCGAGAAATATCTTATCATCGCATACAACAATGCTGGCGAAAACATCTCAATGATGGATCTCCCTCGCTCTTTGACTGTTTATCAATCACACTGAAAACGCTCATTTAGTCGCTATTAACCGCTGTTTGTTGTGTGTGTTCTTTTGGTGCATCTACGTCAATTTAGCCGCCATGTTCTTTGGGCCCTCGAACGCAATGCGCTCACAGACGTCAAATTCCGGTTTGGTCTATATTACATAATGGTCCTATTGGTGATTATGTAATGACGATTTTTCTCCCGCGAATCTGTTTTATCGGCGGAGCTCTTCACCGGTGTGCCTATGAAGATGCCGGACAACTATGGGGGAAGAACCCACAAATTATCTGAACAGTTAAGCTTTTTTCGACATCGATGTCTTGCAAATTGCAGTAACAGACTTTGTCATTCTCGATCTGTTTTGGAATGTCGATTGACAAATCGTCACCAATGGAACCGAAAAAGGAACAAATTGATAGACAAAATTGGGTGGAGGACAAACAAAGAACAAAGCAGTGTCAAAACACCCGGACACCCAACGGAATTTACACGTCAAAAAAGTGAACAAAACTTGTGTTTCAAAGGGAGAGAGAAATCGAACTTTAGTGTTTCGCATGCGGGACTCTTTCAGCTATTGAACCAGTAAACAAACCCGAACATATGTCTGGCTTACAGCGTCGTAAAGTGAAACAAGTCTCCAACGAGAGGGATGATTTCAGTCCATCGTCAACTCTTGTTGCTGAAGAGAACAAGCCCCGTGTGGGCTACGATCCAGAGGACAACGCAATGACCATCCAGGAGTCGAAAGAACCACCATTGACCTTGATGGAAGAGGTTCTTCTTATGGGGATTAAGGATAAAGAAGGTTATCTCTCCTTCTGGAACGATAGCATCTCATATGCTCTTCGTGGTTGTATTCTCCTCGAATTGGCATTTAGGGGGAAAATCCGTGTGGTTAACGACCCTGCAAGAAGACGGTTTGAACTAGGTGAACGTTTGATCGAGGTTGTGGATGATAAGAAAACAGGTGAGACCTTGTTAGATGAAGCTCTGAACCTCATGAAGAACGATCCAAATAACTTGAGTATTACAAACTGGATCGATTTACTTAGTGGGGAAACTTGGAACTTGATGAAGATTAACTACCAATTGAAACAGGTACGTGAAAGATTGGCAAAGGGTTTGGTCGATAAGGGAATCTTGAGAACTGAACGTAAGAACTTTTTGATCTTTGACATGCCAACACATCCTTTGGCAGATGCAACTTCCAAAAACGATATCGTGAAGAGAATCTTGTCACTGTTAACCCAAAGAACTGTGCAATTGCCAGCTTCGTCCAAATTCCCTGATTCTACAAGATTTAAATATCTGCGTTCAATCTCCCTCGTATGTGCGTCTTATGCTGCGAACGTCTTGGAAAACGTTTTGATTTCATTAGGTTATGACCAAAGAGACCGTGCATTTGCAAGAGCTGATGAACTGTTGAGCCAATTCTCACAGTTCCCATTCGAACAAGTCTCTGGCTCGTTGAACTTGGGAATCAACTTGACGGAAGAGGTTAACCAAGAAATTGAGAACAATCCAAACTCAGACTTACAACTAGAGGTTGTCGCTGGTGTCTTATCCGTCTTCTCAAACATGGACACACTCTTGTGATGTAGAAGTCATTGTATACCGGAAAGAAAAAGTATATACTAATTAGAAGGGATGTGTGTGGTTGTTTATCCACTATCATAGAAAGAGACACATGATGGTGCTATAAGATACTAAATTTGACGATTGTATTTGAGTTGTTATACTAGTGTAAGAATGGTGGTAGGTGACTTAAAGTCAGACAAGGTTTTTTGAGATGAGAAACTCACTATTAACAAACACTTCAGTCGATAAGTTATTGGTTTGATCGAGGACCTGAACTCCTCCAATGGATTCCACAAAATTGTGGATCAAGGACCTAGATGGATCGTCGTAGCAGTCACCACAGGATTCCCACCACATACCACCTCCTAGCTTCATACAGTGGACGTATTTACCCTTCTTTTTAACAGATTCAGGGTTGTCATAAGATACAAATGTCTTTGACTTGGAGTCATAGCAATAAGCAACAACGCACTGTTCATCGTACTGTTCCTTTGTACCAGGTAATGGCAATTTGTTGTAACTCCAAATACCCTTTTCATCACTAGATCCGTCGCCAACGCCATGGAATGGGTGACCCAATCCACCAGTCATTGTGAAAGATCTACCATAGTTTGCCATTCCAAGGACAATCTTTGTTGAATCTATGCCCTTCTTTATCAAATACTTGACTGCATCATCAGCGCACAATTCATCACTGCTCATCAAAGTAGAGCTTCTCTTGTACAAGTTGCAATGGTAGCCTGTTGTCTCTGACCATTCCCCTGCGAAATCATAAGACACCAAATTCCAGAATGACAAGTATCTGTCAATCTCTCTCACTGGGAAAGTACTCAACATCCCAATGAATGCTGGAGATGACATCGTCAACAAAATGGTATCCATCTTCAAACCTTTCAACTCTTCAATGTTTCTAAACTTTAGCCTCAATTTTTTCATTACTAGAACGTATTTGGAAATTTCATGGTGAGTTTCTGGGTATTCCCAGTCTAAATCAATCCCATCAAATCCGTATAACAACATCAATTCAACTGCAGAGTTGACAAACCTGTTCAGCTTCTCATCGGTTGAGAGACCCTCCTTGAAGCTATCCCTATTTGACCATCCACCAATGGACATTGACACCTTAACGTGTCTGTGAAGCTTCTTCAAGGCAAACATCGTTGCTATGAGTCCGTCATTTGTACATGTCGTTGTGTCTCGCCCGTTCTCAGCAAAGTGAGACTCTATGGGCAACTCCAAGTCGGCCCAGCTATCACTCAGCTTCACCTCCCCGGTCAACGGATCAACGTTGAAGAACGCATAGAATACATTTGTTGTATATTCCAAAGGTATCTGGTCTGGGAAATGCTTTCTGGAGTACACCGACCAGTTGGAATAGTAAACACAACTCCTCATCCCGTCGAGCTGCGACTGCACCCCTTGTTTCTGGATCGAGAGATAATCCTTCAAACGATGAAAGAACATGCGGAAAGCCCTAGCGAAAACACCTCTAAAACCTGCTGAAGAGGTATAGCTGTCTATACCCTCGCGAACACCTTCGAGTGTAGCACGTTCTTGATCGAACACACAGGGCCTGAGGCTCTATTTATGCCAACTTTGTGGTTTACGGCAAGCTCTGCACAGATAGCACAGTCACAAAGCGTGGTACAACTGTATGATGTCGCCTTACTGCTCTTCCCTACACACAGTACACATAACTCCACCAATTCGGGCCAGAAATGGTTCACCACCAGTTCGGCCGCACTGACGAGGTACAACACAGCCACCAAATGTATGCTGATTTCGCATTGAGAACTACAAATGTGGTGGAAAGTGTTGAAGAAGAAAGCGAGGACGGAGAGATCGACGCGTCACCGCATAATGTGCACAGCCTTTAAAAAACGTCAACGGAAAAAGTGTCTGTAAATGTCCCAATGTGGTGATTTGCCTGTTTGGGTAGTAACCCGGACACCCTGTACAAATTTCACCGATCGAGGCACCCTCAGCGCAAATTACGAAAACATCAACAACCAAACAGTCAAACAACGGTGCCGAACCGAGAGCTCTCGCCGGTATTTCAACAACAGGAATAGGCACATCCGACGATGGCGGAAGAGGAAATCGATCACAGCGGTGCTGAGTCAGAAGCTCGGGTTGCTCAGGAAGACAAAGAGGTTGACGTTGCAGATGACGCTCAAGACGTGGATGGAGAGGAGGAGGATGGAGCATTGGACGATCTGTTTGGAGATGATGGTGGTGATGAAAGCGGTGCTGACTCCAAGCCTGCGGATGAAGACGGTATAGTGCACGACTCCGATGAGGAAGACGATGAAGTGATCTCTAGGAGAAGAAGAGCTCTTGACGATGACGATGATGAAGACAACGAGGATCAATTCCTCGTCCAGGAACACGAGGAGCCGCGGGAGTTGAGAATCACCGATGAAGAGGTGATTCGCCATCCCCCAAAGTTCCACTATGGCGAAACTACGTATATTGCAAAGGTTCCAAGGTTTTTGCACGTGCAGCCTAGCAGATTTGACTCTGGCGATTACCTAGGCTATCTTGAAGAGTTGAAGAAGGATACACAATTGGATAACGACTCCAAAGCCCTGAAAAGATTACACGATGAAAACACCGTTAGATGGAGATACACGACGAAGGAAGGTGAGGAGACTCTGAGTGCAGAGTCGAACGCGCAATTCGTGGAATGGTCAGACGGCTCATTTTCCCTAAAGCTTGGAGGTGAGTACTTTGATGTTTTGGAAAGCACCGTCAACGAAACCTTCCTGGTAACAACGGATGCCTCTAAGCCTATTGAGAACGACGGGTCGACACTGTACCTGGCGGACGGCGCTATTAATAAGAGCATGAAGTTTGTTCCAACCTCCACCAAATCACAAATCCACAAGAAGTTAACCACTGCAATTCAGGCAAGACAGCAGACGAAGCCAGGTGCACAGAGTGTTGTTGTCGAAATCGACCCTGAGAAGGAATCGAGAAGGTTGGAGAAGCAATTCGAGGATCGTGTCAGGGAAAGAAGAAGACAGATGCTGAAGTTGGAGAAGGAGCAAGAAAAGGGAGGACTGGGCTCATCCAACGGAGGCTCTGTAAATAGATCCTACACGAGGGAGTACAGAAACGTCGATAACTATGACGATGAAGACGGCTTCGTCGTTGAAGAGGATGACGAGGATGAGGCAGGGTTCGACGACGACGACGACGACGATGACCTCGAGGACGTTGACGAGGACGACGACGACGAGGAGGCCGCCGAGAGACTGAAACGTGTGAAACAACTCGGATCGGAGCAGTACGGCAACGACTCCGCTGCACGGAAGAAACGTCGGGTCATTGACGACGACGAAGACGACGAATAGATCAACGTCCCTCTGTATAATATAGAACACTGTACAGTAATCCATGAGCCACACGGCACCCATTACCCTACCTGTACGCACACCTGAACACCACACACCACTCTAAACACCCGCACACCACCATCCGTCATTAACACCCGCACACCGCACACTCTCGCGTGTTTGTGTGTGTTTTTTCTCGCCTGCCCTGTTGCGGCCTTCAACCCTTGAACATTCCTCCCAATTGCTCACTCCACATTCACACAACAAACAGCAGTTACTAAACAGATGTCCTGGCAAGGTGAGTGCGATTGCTATGATTAGAACAAGCGGAGACGTTGTGGGATTGTGATGCTAACGGCGGATTCTCTCTAGCGTATACCGATAACCTCATTGCCACTGGTAAGATTGACAGAGCAGCTCTGTACTCCAGGGCTGGTGATTCGCAGTGGGCACAGTCTCAGAACCTGGTTCTTGGAGGAGGTGAGATCCAGGAGCTGGCACAGGGCTATGACAACCCTTCGGAGCTCCAGGCGAAGGGGTTGCACGTCCAGGGACAGAAGTACTTTTTGATCAAGGCAGATGACCGCTCAATCTATGGTAAGCACGACGCCGAGGGCATCATTGCCGTGAGAACGAAGCAGACCATCTTGATTGGACACTACCCTGCTGGTGTGCAGGCTGGTGAGGCCACCACCATTGTGGAGAAGCTTGCTGACTACCTGATCTCTGTGGGCTACTGAGGAGACTGGTGCGTCCAGTCTCTCTCTGTAGGGCATCAAGATGTCGTCTATTAGATAGGTGGGCTGCCACGAGGAAGACGAGGTGGTGCCGTATATATAAGTACTGAACACGCGTGATTCGCTCTTGTTTTATATACAATGGAAATGTGTCTAGTGAATGCCTTGTTCCCCGTATAGACGTAGATCCCTTGATGCTGGGAGAGGATGCATCGAAAATTCAAACACGCCACAGTATTCCTTCGCCCTCTCCTTGTGCCCTCAGCTTTGGACAGAGAGACACCCACGGACATGTCACCTCACTCTCTTCAATTGGACAAGCTGTTACTGTTTGGTGATTCCATCACTGAGTTCGCCTACGACCTGCTGCCTCAGGACTCGACGGCCACACAGTTTGCGTTTGGGCCAGCGTTGCAGAACAGCTATACGAGAAGGCTGGACGTTGTTCAGAGAGGGTTTTCCGGATACAACTCGAAATGGGCGTTGAAGCTGCTGCCAAAGATCCTGGAGTATGAAGATACTCCAGGTACAAAGGTTCAATTGGCGACGGTGTTCTTTGGAACGAACGACGCCGTGTTTGAAGGGATGCAGAAGGTCCCACTGGACGACTACATCGCCAACATGAGACAGATCATCCAACTGTTGAAGGAGAGGGACATTAGGGTCGTTGTGATTGGACTGGCCAAGCACGACGCTGACAATTGGAACCCGAGAAAGCCTCAAGACGTCGAGCAAGGTGTTCTCAGAAGCAACGAACGTAGCTGTGAGTACAACAAGGCTCTTGAGGAATTGACCGTCGAATTGGACGTTGCCTTCGTGAACTTGTACAAGGCATTCGACAACTACTCGGGAGACTGGAGAGACTTACTCATAGATGGTGTCCATTTCACAGGTGAGGGCTATAAGATCATGTACGCCGAGGTGCTGGACTCGATTCGCTCCAAGTACCCAGAATGGGCCCCAGAAAGCGTGCCTTATAGATTACCGTACTGGAGAGATTTCGAGCTACAGCAGTTTGAATCCAAGTTAGGTGAATGGTTGAACTAAGCCTTTCTACTATATAGAGCGTGTGTATTCTCCCCTCCCAATTACAGGTCCTTAGCCTTACGGTAGGCCAAGCCAGCTGGATAGAGCAAAACGTTCTCCAGATCCCAGATCCCTTCTCTGGCGTAGATGTCGCCTTTCAAGAACTCCAGGGCCTCCTCTTTGCTATCAGCAATCACAGTCAAGACAGAGCCGGCAAAGTTTGGCTTGGAGCCCTCCTTAGGAACCTCGTTGAAGATGGCACCGGCACTGGTGATGACCCCGTTCTTAACACCGGCTGGAATGTCAGCCAAGTGCTGGGCCCTGACGTTGCTTCTGTCGGTGTTTGGCTTATCGTAGACAACTGCTAACCACTCAACCATCTTGTGAGTTTTGATACTATTGAACAATGTCCTTGATGGGATCATACAAATGAACTTCAGCTGGGGTGTTGTAGAGACGGAGGATTTGGGTTGAAATGACGAAATCTCCTCCACACATCTCGGACTCGGTGGGAGGGCTACGGCTGGCTGAAAAATTTCCCGTGGGGGTTTTACTCACCAGCATTGATGCACTCCATTGATGCACTCCATTGACACCCAACTACTGTAGTTTCAAATACAAAAGAATGTTTAATGTTACAGGTATGTGAGGCAAGCGAGCCTATACAGCTGGTGGTATGCCTATGTAGAGGTCATCATCAAAGTCGAGTCCATCAGTGCTTCTTTGAATCAGATATCTTAAGGAGTTATACCAAATGTTGTGACGTTGTCTTGTAGAACAGGTGAACTTGACAGAACGGGACTGTGAATGAACCACGATGCTCTTGTGGTACAGGCCAGCAGGTAATGGATTATTATCATCGACACTCTCCACGCTGATGATAGCAGCTGCGCGTGTCTTGTGGTTTGAAGGGTTACCCAGGACAGGGTTAGTAGTAGACCAGTAGAGTGTCAACGTGTATGGGTGGACCCAGAAGTATCTCTCGTGACGAGTTTCTGAAATTGAGCTCAGAGGCCCTAGACGGCGGTAGTACTTGTAGACGTATTCACCAATGACTGTCTGTGTCAACGCTGGGATGATCTTTGGTTCAGATAACGACGCATTGGTCATCAATGACAGCCCACCATCGACAGAAGCGTCACGCGATAACGACGAAGGTGGAGGTCCCTTGGAACTCGTTCTTGAACGGTTGGTTTTGGAGTTTCTAGAAGTGACACGAGAAAGTCTGGTGTGTTGATCGAAATCGTCCCTAGCAGCAGCCTGTGCATGCTCTGCCATATTCTTACGAGATTGGCCCGAAGAGATAGAGACGAGACTGTTCTTTCTGGATAAGGTACTGGTTCCCGCATGAATACCAGCATCACCGGAGACAAGGTGGAATCCTCTCTTCTTTGCCTGTGCTTGTAACTCATCATTGGTGATCTTGTCCAATGTGAATACCTCAGATTTGGTCAACTTGTTGTAATAAGTAGTTGGTAGCACAACAACATTCTGAGGGTCAGGGATTCTGGAAACGTTCGTGGCAATGAACGATTGTTCTGGGATCAGCAACAAATCATGTTGTCTTGCCCATGATTCAACATCATCTGATGAAACCACTTTCTCATGTGCAACATCCTTCTCAACGTTAGATTTATCAGTAGCAAAAGCACCAGTGGTGATAGCAGCGCCTGTAGTCCCGATAGTATCAGAAGTAGCCCCAATAGCCGATTGGGTGAGACTATCGGTACTCGTAAGATCTCTTGTCTGTCCAGTGACTGGTTGCTCCTTAGCCTTAATATTGGCAAATTCATCCTTCGATATAGTGACCAAACCAAGAGCCAATGCACCTTCCTCAATCTGAGATCTGCTTAGGGTAGAGGCTTGGGTGTCCTTCTTCAAATCTTCCAATTCTTCTGGTGCAATGACAACAAGACCGTGACTCTTAACAACCTCGACTGCATCATCTTGTGAGATTTTCTTTTCTGCTGTCTGCTTCAATGTCCCCAGTTCAACAGGTTCAATAACAGCCAAACCTTGTTGTTGGGCTTGTTGAACAAGAGTTTCTTTCGTCAAAACGAGTGGTTCCTCCACTCTCATTTTCAAGGACTCTAGCTCCATAGGTTCAATAACTGTTAGGCCTTGCTCCTGAGCTTTTTCAGCAATCTCATCTCTAGTCAAAGGAACTGGTTCTTTTGCTTTTTCCTTCAATGATTCAAGCTCTTCATGTGAAATAACAGCCAAGCCTTGTTGTTGAACCTTCTCAACTAGATCATCCTCGCTCAAAACAGGTGGGGCCTGTTTAGCCTTTTCCCTCAAAATCTCAAGCTCCGAAGGTGCAATAACAGCCATTCCCTGTTCTTGGACCTTTTCAACTAGATCATCTTTAGTTAAAATCACTGGTTCCTGGTTGGCCTTGTTCTTTAAGGATTCCAGCTCCATAGGTTCAATAACTGCTAATCCTTGTTCCTGAGCTTTTTCCACAATATCGTCTCTAGTTAAAGATTTTGCGTCATTTGCCTTCTCCTTCAAAGACTCAAGCTTTGCAGGTTCAATAACAGTCAGTCCCTGTTCTTGAAGCTTATCAATGAGATCATCTTTAGTCAAAATGATTGGTTCCTGGTTAGCCTTGTTCTTTAAAGACTCTAGGTCTGAACTGGCAATAACAGACATACCACTAGCCTCCAAAGTCTTCACCATGTGCTTGGAGTCAGAAGCCAGAATGGCCTTCTGCTTCAAAGCATCAACCTCAGATGAGTCAAGTGCAACAAGACCGTGAGCTTGAATACTCTTGAGGGCTTCAGCCTTTGTGGGCTCTTCTGTTGGTAACTTGTTAACGGGTGCTGCCACAGCTTCCTTCGCACCCACATTACCTGCTGAACTAGCTACTGATGGGCTTGCAAATCCAGCTGCACCAGCAGAGATTGCCGCAAGAGAGCCTGCTGTGAGTCCAATACCAGCACCAATACCAAGACCTGAACTGTGCTTGTGGGATTCTGCTCTCAGCTGCATGTCACGGTATTCCTTCTTGTCCACTGCGACAAGTCCAAATGCTGCTGCTGATGATACAATGCTTTCTTTCGTAGGTTTTGCTCCTTCTAGTGCCTTCTCGTATTCAGTAACAGGAATCACCTTCATACCCAAAGATGATCCAACGTCAACAACATTAGACTGATCAACAACATCTTCAGGTTTAACACTAGACTTTGCTGTTTGTTCAACAGACTGCAGCTGCTCATCAGACAAAACGTGCAAACCAGCTGCAGCAAAAATCTCACGGATCTTGTGCACTTCCGGATTTTCAGCAGAGATAAATTCACCACCGTTTTCATTCACGAGGTCAAGGTCCTTGGCTCTAGCATCAAGTTGAACTCTAGCAAGAGAGTTGGATAAGCTTTCAAGATCTGGCTTCTCAAGAACAACTAATCCCATTTTCGATGCACTCTCTGTCAGAGCTTCCTTAGTTTGAGCAGGTACTTCATCAACTGTAACAGTATCATGGTGGCTCTCTACCTCATGATCAGTGTCATAATCGTTATCATCAGCTCCTGTGTAATATACACTACTAGAATCATTGGATAATGATCTTGGTTCAGCCAATTCCTCTTCACCAAGTCTGACCAGCTTGTATCCATTGGCCGAAGCTTGGACTCTGAGCTCATCAACAGTCATTGAGCCAATTGTTGCTCCAGCTGCGTGAATGGTTGAGGCATTCGATGGTTGACGTGATAGAGCATCCGTGAAATCACTCTCGTTTATTGTAGAAGAAATGGTGGACATCGAGTGGTTCTGCCCTAAAAAGATGCTATTGGTCTCTGGAGGTGAACTTGTCCCTTCTGACCCAAGGTTGACCAGTGTCATATCAAACTGTTTAGCATATCTTTGGAGTTCTGCTAACGTTATATCATCTTTCTGGCGTGATTTCAACAGGTTCTTGTATTCATCAGATGGGAGAACCGTTAAACCAAAATCTTTCGAACATGTATAGATATCAGATTTCGTAATCACATGATCCTTCTGGTGCTCAATCAAATGCTTGTATTCATCAGCAGCAACGGGAACAAAGCCAAGAGATTTAGCAGATTCAAATACCTTAGCTTTACTTGACTCTTTCTCGTTCGACTTGTGAACGTTCTCAAAGTACTCCTTCGTTTGATGGAATTTGCTTGTCGGTGTTGTTGGAGACTCAGTTGGAATTGTAGGCTCCTTCAATTCCATGAGCTCTTGGAACTCCGCAGCTGGTACCAGAACATGATCAATTTTTTGTGCCTTAGCCTCGAGTTCTACTTTCGAAATAGAAGACGATGACTTCAAGTAAGCTTCATATTCCTTCTTGCCAACCATAGCACAACCCAATTTCTCAACTTGTGACTCAACTGTAGCTCTATCAGGTTCATCAGCACGAGACTTCAAGCTATAGTATTCCTCGCGTGGAACAGAAACAAAACCAAGACTCTCTGCACGTTCTAAGACGTGATCCTTTGAACTGAGTTGTTCGAATGCATCCTTAGCAATCGGGTGAAGGTTATATTTCTCACACAATTGAATAACTTGATCTTCCCCCGGTTCTTTAAGCGATTTGAGATGTTCCTCATCAACGGCAGTATAACCAAGGACACCGAGGCGTTTCTCTATATCTTTAACTTCAAGTTTTTCTGGGTCCTTCAACTTGGAAAACTCACAGTGTGGAACAACAACAAGGTCCGCTTCTTCGGCAAGACTCTGTAATTTTTCGGTAGATGGGTGCAAAAGTTTTTCGTAGCCCTCATTTGAGAGCAGTACAAGATTGTTGTCCTTTGCATAGTCATCTATGCTCTTGTTAGCAGCAGCAGATAAATCTGCAAAGCGATCCTTATCAACAAGAGTCATATTCAATTCTTCAGCTTTCTGTGAAAGGAATTCCACGGTTGGCCTTGTGGTGAGTGACTTCAATTGCTCGTGCTCATTAGTGCTTAAAGCGACCAAGCCAGCACCAGTAGCCAATTCCAATAGTTTATCCTTCGAAGGACTGAGAAGTTCATTATGTGCATCTTTAGATAGTACAATCGCGCCTGACTCGTTTGCAAGATCGTCCAATGTTCTCTGTGATTTCGTCGTAAGTTCATCCAAAGCATTTCTTGAGATGATAACACTGTCTTGTGATTTGGCATGTGCTTCCAAATCCTCTATCGTTGGTGAGACGAGCTTTTTGTACTTTTCCTGTGATAACACAACAGAGTCTGACTCTTTAGCAAGATCGTCTAAGGTCTTTTTGGATTTCTCTTGTAGCAATTCAAAATCATTCTTGTTGACGACAACAAGATCATGGCTCTTAGCTTGTTTTTCTATCTCAGTGACACTTGGATTCAACAGATTACTGTAATCAGATTCAGACAGTACTTGCTTCTTCTGCTCAGCAGCTAGGTCTTCGACAGTCTTTGAAGCCTTTGATTTCAGTTCGTTGAAATCTGAGTTTGACATCAAAGTTAATTCATGTTTAGATGCCTGCTTGACGATGTCTTCTTTCGTTGGTTCAGCTAGCTTCTTGTGCTCCATAACAGGAAGTGCCACGAGACCTAGAGCACCAACTTGTTTTAAAAGAGAAGATTTCGGCAACACAGGTTCTTTCTTCAGATATTCTTCCTTTTCATTCAAAGAAGTGGTTAGCTCATCTATGTAGGAATCCTTCTTTGATGCCTCTTCCTTGAGTAATGAAATGTCGGAATTCAAAGACTTCACACGTTCAGTCTCATCAGCAAGTTTGATCGAAGCTGTCTTAAGAGATTCGAGTTCAGTTGCAGAAAGAATTGCAAGCCCAAGTGAACCAGCTCGGGAAGTAATTTCATCAACAGAAGGCTTTTCAGCCCTACGAATTAAGTTATCGTATTCAGATTGAGTGATTGATGTCAGGCCATATGACTCTGAAAGAGCCTTGATCTCCTCTTGTGTTGGATTGTTCAACTTTCTTAAGAGCTCTTTGTATTCTGAGTCGGGAATGACCACAGCATTGTTGTCCTTAGCTATCTCTGTGATGGACTTCTCTGCTTTTGTCTTTAGATTAGTAAGCTCATCCTTGTGAAGGATGGCATGACCTTGTTTCTGCGCATGCTCAGACAAGTGTTCAATAGAAGGTTCCTCAGCCTTCTTAGAAAGCACATCATACTCATCAGTTTTCAAGACCTTCAAATTGTTCTCTCTGGCAAGATCATCGATACTTCTATTGGATTTAGCGACAATTTCATCGTGTGTTCCCTTGGAAATGACAACCAGACCTTGCTTAGCTGCTTTCTCAGATAAAAACTCATTCGATGGGTTGTCCATATGTTCCTGTAAAGAAGTCTTTTCGTTGTCAGCTGTCTCCAATTTTTGTTGAGTTGTTGCTAACACAGTCGATAACTCATCATATTTTGATGTGATATCAGTCAACTTGGTCTTCAAATCTGCAATCACAGCATCAGACACGGATAACTTCTCCTTAAATGTCTCTTCATTCAAATTCAAGTTTCTCTTAACAGTTTCCAGCTCCTTGGCTTTCTCTTCAGTCAGGTTTGCCAACTTTGTTTCAAGTTCAGCGTTAGCTTCAGTCTTCAACTTGAGTTCTGCATGTGAGGCCTCTAGTTCTGATTTCAAGTTGTCGTGCTTTTCATTCAAGCTTGCCAATGTAAATACCTTCTCGGCATGTTCAGTATTGAGAGAATCTAACGACTTCTTGGCAGTATCAAGCTCTACAGATTTGGCTTTCAGTTTACTCTCGGTGACTTCATGAGATGAAATGTACTCCTTCTCTTTGGACTCTAGCTCGCTGAGTTTACCCTTCAATGAAATAATTTCCTGTTCTTTGAAAGGTAATAGATTGGAAGCATCAGTAAAAGAGTTAAACTCCACTAGAGGAACCAAGACCAAGTTGTTCTGTTTAGCATAGTTGGCTGCTGCTTCCTCAGAGATTGTTTGAAGTTCAGCAGACAATGGAGCAACGGGTATATCCTCATCGTAATCAGATCCTGAATCGTCAATGAGCTCCTTGGAGTCAGATACCACAGAAGTGGGTCTCTTCGATTGCTTCGAAGGGGATGGCTCCAGAGAGCTTCCTCCCGTAACCTCCCAATCATCATCAATATCTGATGAATCATCATAAATCACTGTGGAACCCCTATTTGAATTCCCTCTGATTTGAAGGTTTCCTTTAGAGAAGTCTCCAAGTCCTTTAATGTTTTTCTTGAGTAAAGGAATTGATCTCTTTGAAGGTGGACTTGATTGCTGGGCTTGTTGCTTAGAAGAGAGCTCACCTTGACGCAATTTTAAAATTTGTCCTCTAAGCTTTGCAATGGTGTGATGGGCACTTTGCAATGATGATCTCAGCGTCTCAGCCTCTAAGGCGTTGTTGTTCAACGCCACTGTCTTTACAGGTGAGATGGAAGGTTCTTGAAGTTCGCTTTCAGAATCAGAGTCTTCAACAGGTTGGAGCGATGGAATTCCGGAAAGTTGAACTTTGGAAGGCTTCTTCTTCGCTTCTTCCAATTCACGTCTCAATTCGTCAATCTCATCATTCAATTTGGTATTTTCGTCGTTCAGCTCATCGACATGTGACTTGAGGTCTTGAATTTCTGTTGCACTAGTTAGCTTAGTAGATGAATATTCCTTCTCCAGTGAAGATTTATTCAGGTTCATCTCTTCAAGTTCACTTCTAATCGAGTTTGACAAATCAATGTGCTTATTCATCTCTTTCTGTGACTTTTGATAATTCTCGGAAATAGATTTGTACTCCTCTGTCAGCTGTTGCAACTTCATCTCCAATTCCCAGTTAGAATCTTTGAATCTCTCCTCGTTGGCCATGGTATCGTTAAGTTTGGCGAGTAAATTCGCATTGCTAGACTTCATCTTGAGGAGTTCTTCTTGGAACGTCTTCAACTTTTGGTTCTTACTCTCATTCTCGGCATTTAGCCTTCTGCACTCTTGAAGCAAGTTCTCACTCAAACCAACTGCAAAGTCAAGATCCTTTGCAGATCCCTTCTGGGTCGAAAGCGCTCTACTGCCGTCAATCGGTGGAAGCGACGTTCTCTTGTCCCTTCTAGAAACAAGAGAAAGCCCCTTGGTCTTGCCGCCAGACTTGTCCTTATCTTCGGCTGAACCAGCCACCGGGGACGCTGACTTCTCTGGAGTATCGCGGTCCTTCTGTTGAGAAGGCCTCTTTGGAGAGTTGAACATCGTCTCCGACATCCGCTTCTGGATATCAGAAAGCTGAGCTTTCAGATTATGATCTGTTGGAGACATAGCAAACTATGAGCAATGGAATTCGTTTCTTTCCCTCTTTGAAATGGTTAGTATACGTCAAATCACCTGTATACGAGGAGGGAGCATATGTGTCCACACTGGGAGAAAAACACAGCAGTAAACAGATCAACCCCATAAACGCTGCTTAAATCCCCCTTGCAAGTAACGGTCTTGTGTAAGCATCCACCTCCACTTCCTTCCATCTAAACCGACATGTACTCACAAAAGCTCGATGCCGCTAATTGAATCAGTTTTGACTACTTCCTCCTTTCTTGTTTGTTACTTTTGTTTACTTTTTCTATATGGTGTGAGGTTTTGTTTGTTTGTGTTTTTTTTCTTCCGCCGGAGGCGCCCGGTGTTTTTCCCGCTGGTGTTGTTTTGTTTTTTCTTTCTGTGCGCGTGGCCCCGGCGGTCTTTGTTTACATTTCGATTTAGGAGCACTACAATGATAAATACGTTTGGAGGAGCTGAGTAATTAGTTAGTTCTTCTTCGCTTCTTCTTCTGCATCTTCTGCTTGCCTGTCCTTATCACTTTGCTTCTTCAAAGAGGTCACAAACGGAACAGTGCCTTCTCCCAGGTACTCCACCCCTAGTGCTCTAGAGATTGTAGATCCACCTCCGTAGAGCCCCTCGGTCAGATTGGCCGCTGATCTCTTGAAATATGGGCTGGTCAACACTTTCAAGAGGTTATCTCTGTTGTGCTCCATGCCGTTTGGAAGCATAGTGTACAGTCTCTCGATGTCATCAACGCTGGACTTGTCCAAGGCCTCTCTGATGTTCGTTGCAGTTAAAAGGTCGTTCAGTGCAAGATGCTGGATTCTATATTGGTGTTAGGTCAATCATTCGTCTTTAAATGTGCTTACATTAAATTATCAATCCAACGATCCTTCTCCTCTGAGTGCTGAGGGGATAATGTTCTTGATTAAAAGGTTTCTTGTGCGATGTAGGGTTCTCTACTTACGATTGTGTCACGGTGTCGGCCTGTTTGTCTTCAGATGCTGATCCTGGTTGTGGCTGCTCTTCATCTTCCTCTTCTTCTTCCTCATCGTCCTCCTCGGTGAACTCGAAAAGCTTTGACAACTTTTCATAGATCTCCATGTCCTTTTTACTCAATTCGCTCGGATCGTCATCGTTATCGTTAACCTCCTGTAACCAAAACAGATGTCTAGCACCTGAAGAAAGAAACTCCAATGCAAACACCCTACCTGTCTTACACTCCTCCACATGACTCCAAGATGCATCACCGGGTATAATGAGGAATTCATCCTTCTCAATGTTTACAACGTTATCCTTTGGTGACCATTCAAAAGAGAAGAACGATTCATCCTCCAAAGAATGCTTCAGCACAATCTGACCCTGTATTGGTAGTGGAGTCGCTGTCTTTGTAGCAGCATCATAGCTCACTTTACCAGCTCTGAATTTGACGATTGACATTGTATGACTGCTTGAGCGTTGGCTCAATTGTAACTGTGATTATGACTAGCCTTTACCGCCTGTTATTCTTCCTTCTGGGTTTCAATTGCCACCGCTAAGTTCAGCTTTTTCTTCTAACAAGGAAAACTGTTAATGGCCCAAATAGGAACTTTTCCCTAATTTGATAAAAGTATAACTTATAACTCTTTTAACGCCAATTTTGCTGAAACGCACTAGTAGTTTAGCGGTAAAATCCATGGTTCCCATTCATGGGCCCCCGGTTCGACTCCGGGCTAGCGCACTTTTTTTTTCATCATCCAAATTTCAGTATTGAACATCAACGTCTTAAAATGATAGTGCTATAACGCAAACTATCCAATTGTCGGATGTATTGATCATTTATGTATTATTGTACTGAAAAGTAGAAGAAGGTTACACTGGTGATTATTCTGGTGGGGCGCTAGGCAACCTCGTAGACAAAATTATCAAAGAAAACTACCCTATAAACTGTTTGGGTTGAGACGTATATTGCACCGTGTTTGCAGTGTCATGTAATATGAATAATCAAAAGACATTGAGTCAATAAATAGATGAGATTTGTGACAATAAATAGAATAAATATATATAAACGTTTGCTTCATTTTCCTTTCAATCAAAGAGGCTCTTCTTGATCTCTCTTCTTGGGCTGAGAGAGTCGATATCCAAGGAGCTTCCAGGTTCACGGTTGAAAGATGAACCTCTTCTAATAGGTTGGACAACTTCCAAATCTCTGAAAACACTCTTAACAGGTTGGGCATACATAACCTCATAGAATTGTGCATCCTTCATGGTGAGCTCTTGGTATTCCTTGTTCTCTGCAATCACCTCCTCGCTTGGTGTTGGATGGATCCATTGTCCAAAGTATGACTTACCATAAAGCTTCTTATAGTAAGTGTCGAAACCAATACCAGCAGCGCCGACGAGCAAAGCGGCCAAAGTACCAATGTAGAGAGGGTTGTCTGCGAGTTTCTCCTCAGGGGCTAGCTCTTCGTGGTGGTCGTGGTGGTCGTGGTCACTGAAACAACGTTGTGAGGTCGTGAAGAGTCTGACACGTGAAGCAGACACTGCCGAACAGGTCGTTGCAGACTTTGCTAGTTGAGTCTTTAAAGAGAACATTTTAAGTTGCAGTATTCAGTTCTTTGTTGTGTTCAGTTGCTAAGGGAGCGTTCTTTCGATTTTCTACCGCTACCTTGTTTTTTTTTCCTTCCCTTCAGGTTTCTCCGTTCTGTGTGCATCCAGGTGTCTGGATGTTTAGGTGTCTGGGTGTTTAAATGTGTGAACATACTACGCTCATATCATTGGAGAGAGAGATTGTGTTTCGTTATTGGTTTTTAAAGACATGTTTCATTGTGATAACGGTCTATTTACTCCAAAACGTCTGATAGCTCAATTGAAGTGCTTACAATTCCATTCCCTTAGTATTCTCCAGAAAATTATAACGAAAATTCATTGGTTATCAATTCTTTTTAGGAAATAATTGGGCCCATTATTCCTCAGAAAATTCAATAGGAGAAGTACAAAACTCATCAGCATTTTTTTGATACCCATATGGAATGCATTACACGCTTTATTCAACGACTATAAGGTACCAATTATCCATAGAAACACCTATTTGTATAATAAACAGCAAAAATTACACAGTATAAATCTTCAATTATCACCCACGGGGTCAAAGTCCTGTGTGGGCCCAAAATCAGTGAGGTTTCCCCAGCTAAAAAGTTGCAGCCGCGATTCCGTGCACCATGAGATCACAATCACAAATTTTCTTGTATTTTTTTCCTTTTTGTATGCGGTTTGTGAATCTAACGATAAAATCAACAAAGAGCAACCCATTTTATACTCAGTGAAGCCTCCTTTTGTTGCTCCTTCAAAGGTAGTATCGCATCTATTTCTCTCATAGAGAAGAAGCACAAGTACATATAGAGAAGGGAAAGGTGTGTAGATGAAGGGACTATCAGGGTTTTGGGTTCTATGTCCCGTTTTCCTCATCGCATCCGATTTCCTCATTGCAAAGAAGGCAGTTGCAGCTCCACAACATTTAACTACCACTAAGTATGCTTCGCAATTGGCTAAAAAGAAGCTACACACAAAGAAGAAGGCATTGCAACCATCTGCAACTGCCGATGAGCCATGATCGTTTTCCGTTCGAGGCCCTGCTGAAGGTTTATCTCTGCTCGAGGTTTAATATTACACCTCCTTTGTCCGTTTTACTCGGTGATCATTCCCTCTGACTGTTAACATTCCAAAATAGCTGTGCCTTGCTATTAAGCATTCTTTACGACTTTGTCCTTTTGAATTTTGTACTTTGATTTGTCCCAATTGCTCTTGTTTATGTGTGTGATATGATTCCGATCTTTATTTAATGACATTTAACCACTTTTTACGACTGTTTGTGAATGTAGATTTATCTCTTAGTGTGTGAATATATAGGTTTCATTTCAGAATGGCAGTTTGGTTTGTCTTTTGTCTAGTTTATTGCGCTTATCAGTATTTTTGATAGTTGTAGTCGATTTTCTGGTCCTTTTACTTGAAGAACCAACAGAAGTAGGCGGTGATCTGGATTTTAACAGCAGTTCTCCATATGACACTTTTGAACTAGTAAATTTCTGTAAATCAGATGAAAGACTCTCAGATCCATTCAGCTTCTGCGATATCTCAATGGCATAGTGGAAGTCTGTGTGCTCAACAGTGTCTTCAACCTCATTCCCACATTTGGTACATTTAAACTTACCATCTCCAAGTTCTTCATAAGCCCTTTCTTTGTCTGGAACAGGCGCAACAACACTTGGCTTTGGTTGAACATTGGACTTTGTTAATTGAGAAGCAAAACCAGTAGGAAACACATCCGTCTTCTTGACAAACCCCATTATGCTTGTACTGTTATTATCAACAACTTCAAAATTCGATATCGTCATGTTTAAATTGATCAAAGGATATATATCACCAAACTGTGAGCCCAAGATCTTTAGGAGATTAACCCCATATTTGTACAAAGTCTCCTCCATCTCTTCTCTGGGAACTAAAGGTAAAGAGCTCTGTTTAGAATGCGTCTGACCAGATTTCTTTGAGACAAATTTGAGACTGATGGTCTTGGCTCTGGTTCTATAGCCATTCTCATCTTCACTTTCAACGAGCCGTTGGAATAGATCAGCAGCAAATACTTTTATCCATTCACTTGCATCCTGTAAAGAGGAACCTGAGTTCCCCCGGATATTTTTGTTCGAATTCATAGATTTCACTAAAATTCTCTCTGAAAGAGGTGCAGCGTATTCACCACGAACCATCAGGTACAGTTTCTCCGCGAGCTGTTTGTCCTCCAGGTATTCCTCCAATTCTCCCATATCGTAATTATCCCTGATATACCCAATATTTTCAGAGTCCGGTGGTGATAATTTTGTCTTGATGTATTCACCTGTTTTACCACCCATTGACCAAAAGTCTGTAAAATCAAAGTTCGAGACGAAGTTGGGTATCTGTGAGTTTAGCACGATGGTCTGATTATCAGGCTTTTTGAACCCAGACGCCAACTTCGACACTGTCTTAACCTTTGCAACACCACAGGACGTTGTATAGCCCAGTTCTGACTCTATCTCCGCTCTTATTTCACTAGTTATTGATGATCCCAACAGCACGACAAAATCATCCCAATCACTTATTTGAATTTCCGATTGGTCGTCATACCCCACAATAAACCCATGTGCTTCAAAGTTGAGATCTGAAGGTAAGGATGGCAAGAGGTCTTGCTTATCCATCTTATCCAACTGCTGTCTTAGGGATGGAATCAATTGGAGGATTCTGTCAATCACCAACCTACCAAGATCCATAAAGCTTTCATCAACACTGGCCTTTTCCACCAGATCACAATTCTTCTTGAATATTTTCATAATCTTCCTGCTCTCTCTCCTATAAGGGTCCAAACTCACCTTATGGTTGATAGGAGAAGGCGGATCCTTATCCTCATCGTGGTATCGCCAAAAGTTTTCACCTTTCTTGAAAACAGCTGTGTGAACAGGAACCAGCTTATCGCATTTCAACTTTGCAGATTCTATGGAATCCATCCTGCTTATTCCATACTCTCTGGCAGCATAGCTCACCGCTATAATCGACGACCACTGTACACAAACGACGGCGTCTTGTCTCGACAGTCCGAGTCTTATCTGCTCAGCCTGTGCAAAGAAAGCATTGATATCAATATGGGCAATGACCGATAATGGCGACAGATATGACCTCTGTGGGCTTTGAAGGGCCAGTAGATCCCGCACTTTGAACTTGGACTGGACAGCGTCTGACGAAACAACAACTTTCACCATCGTTTACCGGTATCTGCTGAGTCCCTGGTCTCAGTCCCTGTGTTTCTGAGTCTTCAAAACGCATGGAATGAAGCCCTAAGAAAAGTAAACAGAGCGCGATGAGACGCACGTACCAAATCCGAGGAAAAACAAGTCGGATATGTGCCTATTTGAAAAAAAATTTTCCCCTTCTTCCGCTTCTGTTCTTCTCCAACTTCTTTCTAACTTTAAGGAAGCCGAGATGGAAATAGAACAAACTTGTTGAGCGTTCTTACGTCGAAGTTGAGTTCAACTTTGTAAGTTTATTCTGTACCTGAACTGTCCATTGATGCTGATAGAGCGGCTTTTTTTTAATATCCAAATGATGAATAGATGTCGCCCCAAACAGATTATCGTTTTTTACCATGATCGAACCGATTCTTTGCCAAACACACTGAAAATTCTGATTGCATATTAATGCTTTATTATATACTATCGGACGATGGAGAGTTCCTTGATTCTTTTGGATCATTTTACTAACTGCAACGTGTTTTAGGCCTTCAAGTTTTTCTATAGCTAAGTTTTATATAAAGTTTTGGCGTCCCTCCAAATCGATGTTCTCTTGCGTTCATTTTGCTAATGATGAGTAAAACTTTCCATGCTAATCATGAATTTTTTTTGATTATTCAAAAGTGTTCGTAACGAACCTCTCTGAAGCTCTTGAAACAAGTGAAGATTCGAACTTTTCCCTTTGTTTTCTTGTATAGAAATGAATCTTTTCTTTACACCAGCACGTATAGATCGGGCTTCGGACCAACCAGCCTCCGGTGTAGATAGTAACCAGCCCACTCAAGCGTTGCAGAAGCCATGTACAAATGTCGAAGAAATGAAAGTGCACACTCCATCGAGCTGAGGCTCCGCGTGAAGGAGGCGAAGCTCCAAGATCTACAGAGGCAAACTCAACAGTTGGAAGATGAAGTGCTACTATTACAAGGAGAGGACAGCTACAAAGATGCGCAGGAGCTTGTGACGAGACACATCGGGCAGTTGCACCGATACAACGAGCTCCGGGACATAGCCATGTCTCTGATGACAATGATCGCAGACCAACGACAGACCAGTCTGAGCAAGGTGGCGGATGAGATTGGCGCTGACGTTCCCGAGGATGGGCCAAGATCCCACGGATCAGTGACGGCGCACAAGTGTTAACTCCATCTTGCTATCACCGTTGTACAGCTCATCGCTGTACGGTATCTCAGCTATTATTACACACAAAATGGTCATACCCACTGATCCATTGTAGATAATACACATCTCAACACCACCTCCAGGGGTTTACAGCCATTATTATAAGTACTGTTATTACTACCCGCTAATATTATTCCCGCTACTATTTTTGATCGAGTTTGCAAAACGTAAACAAAAACACCGGATTTCACTTCGCATCCCCTCCCCAGCCCAGGCAACTTTCTCCTCTACCACCGTCCACGCTCTCTATTCCCAAGAGAAGGAGGAAAACTCACAGGCAGCGTAAAGGGCACCACAGAGCCAGTTGACCAATGGGTGGCAGCATATTCAAGAAGAGGAGCAAGAAGGAGCCGAAGGCCAGTTCCACACCAAAGGTTATAAGGAACAGTTTTGCCCCATCGGCAAAGTCCACACCTGGTCGGATGCCGCAGCAACAGCGGCACAATTCTGATGATGATAGCAACAACAACAACAACAGCAGCAGCAGCCAGTATGGCGGTAGGGCGCTAGGGGAGTTGGACGTTGGTAACCACACTGAACCGTACAGCGGTAGACCAAGGAAATACTCAGGGGTGTACCTGACGCCTGATGCTGGCGGTAAACCTCACGGGAGTGACAGAAGGGCATGCTCTTCCAGGGCTTCACAGATCAGTGGATCTCATAGCTCCAGCGCTGGGATGGGCCATGACGGTGAGGTTGATACTCTCGGTGATAACCTGATATCGTTGCAGGCTGACAACAGCCTGGAGGACTTGAGATATATCCCTGTTAAGAGAAGTCGTTCGAGGGACTCGTCCTTTGGGATGAAACCCTCTGCAAAGTCATCGAAACTGAACCTGGACACAGCATCGGACTTTGAGGGAACCACGGGAGTTGGTGGTGGTGGTACTACTGCAACCAGTGCTAGAATGACTAACAACGATAGTGGCTCACAGCATTGGGGGATAATCTCTTCGCTGATGAATGCTGCTCAGCACATTGGTTCGCTAACAAACAATTCCCATGAAGCCTTGAGATCTCCAACACATCAGGACACTGCGGATTCGAAGAATTTCGGTGAACACCTGGATGCGTTGTTATCCAACAGTAGTGGTAAGTTGCCACATGCTGGTGGTGGGCTTGATAATTCGTCAATAGTGTCTAGGTCGAATGCCCGTGACGTTCAATTCCAGCCTTTGAGAAAAACCTTGCTAAGTACCATGGGTAAGGGCGAGTTGACGTTGGAAGATCTAGGAGTTCCTCCGAGTATTAACGGTAAGAGACTCTCAAGTTCATCTTATCCACCTCAGATTGAGGTCCATGATTCAAACACCACAACAAGATCAGAAACTGCAGATGATATCTTACCAAGGGAGTTGGTTAATCATGTGAACGACAGTGTCAATAACAATGGCGCGGTGGAACACGGCAATGGGAGTATTGAAATTTCTAACAGGAATGGAATGATTGCAGTACCAGCTAATATCAATTATTCTAATGCAAATCTAACTTCAAGATCCATGTCACCCCCACCAATCAGAAGATCGTTATCTCCTAATGCGATAAGGACCATCGACTCTTTGAATTCAAAACATAGAAGAAGTTTCAGCTCCTATAATGGTAATGGAAACGGTTACGATAGCCTGTCCTTAGCAACGTCCAACGGTGACGTACCTATGTCTTCACCACTACCAAGCGTTGAACTTAAGGACATTTCATTTGCAAGTCCAAAGAGAAATAGCGATTTCCATAACACCTTCAGGAAAATCCCCAAGAGTGAAAAACTTATCGAAGATTATAGCTGTGCTTTGCAGAAGGACATTTTGGTGCAAGGTAGAGTGTTTATCAGTGAACGTCATATCTGTTTCAAGTCAAATATCTTGGGGTGGGTTACAAATATCATCATTCCAATCCATGAAATTGTCCAATTAGAGAAGAAAACCACAGCAGGTCTTTTCCCTAATGGTATTGTCATCCAAACTTTACATCAGAAGTATGTATTTGCAAGTTTCTTGACAAGAGATACTACGTTTGAGCTGATTACAAATATTTGGAACCAACTGGTGAGAGGATCATTAGGACTTGATGATGTTGATGTCCTTTTAGATATGGATGGTGACAGTGGGAATCGGTCATATGATTATGACGATGAATATGACTCAGATACCGAAGAAGAACTTGATAGAGACAACGATGATAATGAAGATAGTGATGACGATGAAGATTTTGCTAATGATGATACAAACCGTGCGGATGATGATCGTAATGGATTGACAAAACACTCCCCTACAGAAATCGATCATGAAGAAGTAAGTGGTGAAGTAAAACTCATAGAAGATACGATCTCAGCTCCTTTACCAAAAGTTTTCAACCAATTATTCGGTAAAGATTCTTCTTTCTTACAATCAGTCATCTCTAAGCAAAAAAACAAAAATATTTCGGCAATTCCAGAGTTTTCAAAATCTGATGATGTCTTGAATAGAGATTACCGTTACACCAAACCACTCAATGCACCAATAGGACCAAAGGAGACCGTGTGTAATGTCACAGAAACTCTTGATCACAAGGACTTTTCAGGGTATGTCCTTTGTACGCAAACGACCAGAACTCCCGATGTTCCGTCTGGTGGTTCATTTAGCGTCGTTACTCAGATTTATCTCTCATGGGGTCTGAACAACAGTACGAAAATCACTGTATATACGTACATGAACTGGACTGGTAAAAGTTGGATTAGAGCTGCCATCGATAAGGGATCTATAGATGGACAAAAGGAATCCATAGGTATCCTGGTTGATGAGCTCAAAGCAAAGAACTCGAGCGGTGGACAGGGCTCAGGCGACAATGTTGAGGAACAGGTTTCTGATCTTCCATTAGTCGGGCCTAAGACCCATGCGCCTTCGACCTTCTCTCCAAATATTGCCAGTAACGAAACGCTTCTCGCAGAGGAAACTTTCCAGGCTCCATTGGGTACAGTATATTCAATTATATTCGACCCATCATACATGAAGGCGATTAGTTTGGCCCAGAAGAATTTTGATTTGAGCGATATTGGCAAATTCCCCGATAAGGCACCACGAGAAAGAAGTTATGAGTATACCAAACCGTTAAATGGACCAATAGGTCCAAAACAGACACACTGTGAAATCACTGAAACCATTGAAACGTTTGATTTGAACTCACATATCCATCTTGTACAGAGTGTTGTTACTCCTGATGTCCCCTCAGGTAGCTCCTTTTCTGTGAAGACCAATTTTTACCTTTACTGGACTGATAACAACAGCACTAGAATGGTTGTCTCAACCTACGTGAACTGGACAGGAAAAAGTTGGATAAAGGGAGTTATTGAGAAAGGATCAATCGATGGACAAAAGGACAGCATTGCAGTATTAATCAACGAGGTCAAGAATACCTTAAGTAGCGCCGGGCCAGGATCAAAGAGAAAGAAACGGAAGAGCATCAAACTGAAGAAAGAGGAGCTAGAAACGGTGGACACTTACAAGGAGATGTGTGGTCCATCTCAAGGATATAGAATCCCAATTCCCGGGTTGGACTCATTCCTGGAGAAAGGAGGTGGTTCGCTGTCTTTGCTACTACTCGTCATGTTCCTTGCGGTTCTCATTCTGAGAAAGATGGTCACAATTGGAACAGGAGGAGGAGCACAACCACATCAGTTTGAATATCGTGAGTCATCAAAGGTAGTTATAGGAGGTGAAGAATTCTTAATCATACCTAGCATTGACACATCATTGAACGATCCAAGGATGAGAATGTCCAAAGAGTTTGATATCTGGGACTGGATTGGTGAAAGGAGCGATGGTACTAACATCAAACGACATGTACCCGATGAGGATATATTCAAACAGTACAAGAAGCAGGACTTGAAAGAGATGGTGTATGTTGCAGAGAAGTGCTTAGAAGGGTTAAAGAGCCATGTTGATGAGTAAAATAGTACTAAAAATTGTCATATTCTGTAATCGTTGTAGCTTAAAAACTTATAGGCAACCCACTAAACGTTTATTCATCAACAATTCTATGCAATGGATCTACTATAGTTTCCTCCTCTGTATTCTTAACATACGCGAGGAAATAAGGTGTAGCCGTGTTACCTTCGTTAAAGTTCAAGACGTCAGAGATGGCAACTTCTGTAACCTGGTCATCGTTGTACTTACGGTATACGTTCTTCTTGCGGTCTTTGATATAGATCCAGTAATGTCCATAACTTGCCTCACCTCTGTGGATAAATATTGCAAATATTGAGTATCCATACTTCTGATAGTTGTCAAATTGGGTATCTATCTTTTTTTGCAGTTCCTGAGTCTTCGTGTAGATACTTGAAAGTTCCACGTCAATCTTGTCAATAATAGCCTGGATAGACACTCTTGTCTCCTTTTTACAAAGATCTTCATCATCTGTCCACTGCAGAAGTGACTTTAGAGCGTCTTTGTATGTCAACCCGTAGGTGTTTTTCTTGAGTAATTTATCCTTTCTTCTTTTCAAAGCAGCCAATTCAGACTTCCATTCGACAACCTCAGCACGTTTCTTGATGATTTCTGGATCATCAGTGTCCAAGTACCTATCCATGTACAGTGTTTCAGGGAATGGTAAAGGACTAATATCCTTATATGGACGACATAATTGTTTGTCGTAATATACCCTTTGGATTTGGATTTGTAAGATGGTTGGAAGATGTGTAATTCTTTCCGTTCTGGTCAATGTTTCCCCACCCGTACTCACTTCCTCGCTAGCAAAGGCATTGTCAATGGCTTCATACAAGTGTCTTGGATGATCCATAACGTTGGCGTACAAGTTGGAAAACTTGTCAGTGGTCTCTCTTCTAATCGCCGTATCACTAGGATTCACCAAATGTGCAACCGTATTTCCATAGAAGAGTTTCTTTACAAAGTCAATTTGTTCATTATCTGTTTCATCCAAAGCATCTGGCTTCATCGCAGCTTCTATTTGAGAGAGGACGTTACCTATGCATTCCGTGACGTCCTGTTGTCTCCCAATTTCGTATGCATTTTCGATCTCACTGTCGGAGATTCTAGCTGCCTTCAGTGATGAGCCTCCAGTCTTATGGCATGCTGTATCAGCTCCAGTGATCGTATCATTGATCACTGATTTATCCTGATCTTCATCCGGGACATTCGCAAGATCTGGTGGTTGTGCTAACTCATCGGATTTCTGTTGTGGCTCAGCATCAACCATCACAATATCATCAGAAGAGTTGGTCAGATCAATTAAATCCTTGGATGTATTTTCGTCAATGATGACCACATTATTATCATTCACTTCTCCATCCTTTTCAAACTCGACTTTGAGATAACTTGGTAAAAAGGCCAAGAATGCCAATTCTCTAGTCGGTTGGATACACCTGTTCTTTGTGTGGATGAGTTCGTAGAAAAGATCCCTTAACTGGTAGATGAATTGAAAGGATCTTTCGATCTCGTTGTCATCAACTAACCGTCCGCCAATTCTTCTCAATTTGTAAATATCAGAGTCTTCTTCGAAAACTTCATCAAAAGAAAGAATAGTATCTCTTAATGGCTTAATTGAAAAATAATATTGCAACAGCGAATTCAAATAGCAAGTATTTCCAATGTTATCCAATCCAACAGGCCATTCGCTTGGAGGAAGGGAATTTTGATCAATCAATCCAGTTTTTAGAAAACTATCTGTTAAACCTGAATTCCACTTCTGACCAATGACACGAAGTGCATATCTTGCTGTTTTGATTTCACGTTGTCCCAGTTGGAAGATGTTGATACACTGAATTTCATCAGCATTCTCGTCAGCACCCAAGTATTCACAAGCTTCCTTAAAATCCATTTGTTCATTGAGATCGGGAAAGTCACGCTCAGCTTCATTCAACAACAAGAAACTTTTTCTATTCACGGCAATTGTGAGGAACGCCCTGTTCAACAACTCCTCCTCTTCCGGTGAGTCACCCTTCTTGATTAACACCGCTGTAGCCACAATATCATCGTCGACAGAATGGTCTATGTCGAGCACCTCATATGCCTTTTCCAAAGGTAAAGGTTCATACTTGAGGTAATGCTCCAATTTGGAACTTCCTCTCTGACGAGCAATTAACATCATAGATTCTCTCAAGGTAGAGTCTGAAGGGTTCATAGAGGTTTCATTCTTATACATAGTAAGCAGAAGCTCATCATCGATATGTGGGGCCTGAACTGGATCAATATTTAGGTGTTTGTAAGCATTCTCCAAATCTGAATAGCCGATTACACCAGATAAGTGTAACTCTCTAACAAAATGAGAAAGTTTCAACGTTGCTTTCCTCTGTTGAATTTCCTTCAAGGAGTCGTAGTACACCATTGCGTTTTGCTGATCACATTCAAGTGTCTTTTTGTAGCAGGTGATCAACAAATCGTCACTATAGAATGGAAACGCAGACAGGTCAATGAAGAATTTGTCCTTCAGGACTTCCTTATGGTGTAGTGTCGATGCGTTATCTTGCAGTGCATGGAACACTAGGTCAAAATTCTTGCTAAATCGATGGTGTGCGAATGGATTGGCTGCACCTTGTGAATAAGCCTTAGTACCCAACAGTATGATCTCTGTTATCTGTCTTATAAAGGCTTCTCTGATGATGTTGCTCTTGCGATCATCCCTATTGGAAATGTTAGGGGGGAAGTATTCATTATGGTTCAGTTCGAAATGCATCTTCTTCAAGAGTATACTTGGGTTGATGCTGATGTTCAGCGATTTGTTCTCTGCAGGAATGGATTTAATGTCATCTGTTGGTTCCGACAGAAGAGGGACTCTCAATGCCTTAAAAAGGGTATGAAGACATTGTGCAGGAGAAGGGGGATTTTCAGACACGTCTGGATACTTGTCGAATGCCTTTCTATGTCTCACGTTGATTGGACCAATCTCAAACTCGTGGAGATCCTCATGGTCGAACTCTGGTGCGGAGATCTCAAACCTCACCGCCTTTTTCGTCAAGGCACAGACATAGGAGGCGGAGTCTAACAGCTTTGGCAGGGAGTCTCTCACCACCTGCTGATCTGTTTCCTTCACCAACGCCGATTCAATCATGTCAATCTCATCCTCGGGCGAGAGCTGTGCCAGGTGGAATTCATTCTTGGACACGGGTTTCTCGTCGTGCCTGGTCTTCACAACTATTCGGAGATGGTACACTCTTGTACGGGACAGCGACGGCTCAGAATTGGTGTAGAGAAGCGCTCTGATGATTGTGACCATATCCTCGCCGTTGGAGAGAGACTTCCTGTACTCCACGGGCGACGCCAGCGGCGTCGTCTCGTTGAGAAAGCGTACCTCATACTTGTTGTACTTGATCTGCGATAGTTGCTCCGAGTACTCCAACGGATGGGCCTGTAGTATTCCCCTCGGGTTCGTCTCATCGTTCAAGAACTCCAAATCCATAACAACATCATCCAGCAGCCTGTTTATGGTCTTGAACACCCCATTGAGCTGCGGATATAGCTCCCGCGACTGGACAGTGGCAACAGCTTCGTCTCCTGTGTTTAGATCATCATCAGCAGCAACAGTACCTTCAGGGCGGCTTCCCAGCGCTTGTGGCGCTTCGTCCGATTTTTCCACAACGGCGAGATCCTGTGGTTCCATATGCATTTCTTCTTGTTAGGTGGCCAAGCTACCAATGGCGACCTCCTCTTTAGGTGGAGTTTTCTACTATCAACAGTGTTTTGATCGAAAAACAGGCGTACTTCTCTGCCGTTTATATCCAGGGGGAGAGGAGCATCTTCTCATTGCCGGCTAGAGATGATTTCGGTAGCGACACGCTCCAAAGAGATTACATAAGCAAGCTCGCCCGTCGGTGTACTTCATACACACTTTTCTCACCTTGTTTTCGATGAGGTTTGTTTAGAAGGCGGTAAGAGAGAGGGAGAGAGGTACTCAGGATGGGGTTCTTTGGAAAAGCAGAGCCTGCACAGGCACCAGTAGGAGCGCCTGCCGAAACAATGGCTGTGTCTGAGCCGGTGGCTCCACAGACACCAGCGTCACCTTCTTCACCACCGCCAAACGGTATGCCTTCCATTGACATTGACAAGATCACGTCTGAAGACTCTTTTGGTGGCATGGCGTCTAGCTTTGTACAGCAGGCGATAACTGGCAACCCGTACTTTGCTGCCGGTGGTGGGTTGATGCTCTTAGGTACAGGTCTTGCAGTGGCGCGTTCGGGCATAACCAGGCTGTCTGGGTTTCTCTATCGCCAGTTGCTGGTGGACTTGGAGATTCCATCGAAGGACAAGTCATATATGTGGTTTCTGGAGTGGATGTCCAAGTATAAGCAGAGATCGTCGAGGCATTTGAGTGTTGAGACGTCCTTTGTACAGCACGATAATGGTGCCGTATCAACCAAGTTTTCACTGGTTCCAGGACCAGGTAACCATTTGATCAGATACAAAGGCGCGTTTATGTTCATAAAGAGAGAAAGATCAGGTAAAATGCTTGATATGACCAGTGGTACACCGTTTGAAACCGTCACACTGACAACTCTGTACAGAGATCGTAATTTATTTGCCGATTTATTGTCAGAGGCCAAATCGATGGCCTTAAAGGCACAAGAGGGTAAAACAGTGATTTATACCTCGTGGGGTCCAGAATGGAGACCATTTGGCCAGCCAAAGAGAAAGAGAACAATTGGATCGGTTATCCTCGACAAGGGGATCAAAAATATGATCCTTGATGACGTTAAAGATTTTTTGAAGAGCGGACAATGGTATTTCGACCGTGGTATTCCATATAGACGTGGTTATTTACTATTTGGACCGCCAGGTAGTGGTAAGACAAGTTTCATACAGGCCTTGGCTGGTGACTTGGATTACAACATTTGCATTTTGAACCTCAGTGAGGCAAACTTGACTGATGACCGTTTGAACCACTTGATGAACCACATACCAGAGAGAAGTTTGTTGCTGCTCGAAGATATCGATGCGGCATTCAACAAGCGTGACCAAACCGACGACTCTGGTTATAAATCAGGCGTCACTTTCAGTGGGTTGTTGAACGCATTGGATGGTGTTGCGTCATCAGAGGAGACCATCACCTTCATGACAACAAACCATCCTGAAAAACTAGACCCTGCGATTCTGAGACCAGGCCGTGTTGACTTCAGGGTCCTTATTGGCGATGCCACAGAGTACCAGATGAGAGAGATGTTCCTCAGATTCTATGTAGGTGAAGAAGCAAAAGCCGATGAGTTTGTCAAGAAGGCCACATCACTGGGAGTTCCAATCTCCACCGCACAGCTGCAAGGCCTCTTTGTTTATAATAAGAACGACCCTGATGGCGCACTTACCCTGGTCGAAACCCTCAAGACACCAAACCATGTGTTTTAACGAGGGAGCCATGGGATCAATCTGTATATAAAAAGCACAACATCAAAAAACACGATAGGCATTGCAATGCCTGCACATCCTCACCCCCTGTACTTCTTCAACACTTTCTCCTTAACTCTCAGAAGATGGCTCGGTAATATTTCTCTAGAGCCCTCCTTCTTAGCAAGCTTCGAGGACTCAAACACCAGCTCCTCCAGAAAGAGGTTATAGTCTAAGGAAATCTACGAGGCACAAGTTAGCTCATGAAACCATCAGTTGGATGCAATAATTACCACTCACCAGAACATCAGTCCCATCTTTTGCGATAGTTCTTCCAGTCCGCTGTTTGAGTATCTTCCTCACTTGCGATCTCGTCACAGGAGCCATCGCAACAGCTTTCTAACAGGGCAAAGAGTACAATGCGAGCTATTTACATGTGTATAGGAACAGAGCTGTTTAGGGCCTTTGTTTACATTTTTCCAGACAGAGAGAGACATCGGAATATATTTCCGCTTTCGTCCATCGGAATATTCCACACCAACCGTGGTGACCATGGTTAGCCCGTACAATTGGACTAAAACAGCACGGATCAGACCGTTGGTGTGTGTGTATGTGTGTATGGATGTGTGTCAGGGTATCAGCTTAGCCATTGATTATGAGCGTCGAATATACGCAATTGGCTCTGTATAACTAGAAGGCTGGAACGGCTGGATGAGCCTACTGGGCGCCAAAGGGAATGAAAAAAAATTGCGATGAGCTTTCTCGAGATGCCTTCTGAGGGTATTAATCACAGCCAACTAGAGCCGCTTGCCTAGGAAACCGGGAGAGATCTACGACGATGGCAAGAACCAATAGGGAGATTCTTACTGGAGGTAAGAAGTATACGAATAACAAGGCGAAGAAGCACTTGGTTGAAGAGGTTGTCTTTGATAAGGGCTCCAGAGAGGAGTACCTCACTGGGTTCCACAAGAGAAAGCTGGAGCGTCAGAAGAAGGCACAACTGTTCCATAAGGAGCAGGACAGACAGGCCAAGATTGAGGAGAGAAAGCAGGCCAAGCTTGAGAGGGAAAAGGAGCTGTTGGAACAGATGGAGAAGTACAAGGAGCAGATGAGGATAATGAATGGCGGCATCAGCGATGATGAGGAGCCATCTCCAAATGAGGACAAGGAGGCAGAGGAAGCTGATGAAGACGAGGAATGTGAAGAGTGGTGCGGATTCGCCGACAACGACGACGACAAGCCAAAGGGCATTCTTAAGAAGAAAGAGCTGTATGGTGAAGACGGTACTGAGGTTGTGATAGAGGAGATGGAAACCGATGATGTCGCCAGATTGAACTATGTGATTCTAGCCAAGTCCAAAAAGATACTGGAGGAGAGTATAGATAGAGCTCAGAAGTATGCCGTTATTGCAGGGGCAGAAAGACCAAAGACCAAGAAGAAGAAGTTTAGATACTTGAGTAAGGTTGAGAGAAGAGACAATAGAAGAAAGGCCATTTCTAACAAGAGAAGGAAATAGATGGGAGATGGGTTCTCATATATACAATGACTCTATATGTGTTCTATCTGACTATCTATAAGAATTAGCGTTACAACGGTATACCGGAACCAAAGTCCTTCTCCATTGTAATGTAATCCACCTCTAACTTGACCAAAATCCAAAGCCATCTTCTGAACAGTTCGATGAGTTCTAAGTAGAACCAACCGTTTTCAGTATGGAAGAGGATATCGTTCTTGAAAAATTTGGCAATCCAAATGAATCTTCCAAACAGATCATACAGCACAACCACGAGGTACAGTTTCTTTGGATAGAGGAACCTTCTTTGTCTCTTAAATAGGGCCCAATCGTTGACCAGGTCCCAATAAAAGGTGTAGCAAGAGTTCACCACTGCAAACAAGACCCATATGGAGTTCAAGTTATAGTTGTACTGAATGAGTACGTTTATCATAACCATTGGTAAATTCGAGCAATACTTGAAGAAATTACCAATGTGCTGGGTGTCGTTTGTCACACGCCATTCAGTGAGGCACTGGGATATTCTAATGAGGTTAGGCAGAGAACCAACAATCGAGTCCAGCAAGTAGTTTTGACCACAGCGACGGTCCAATTTAGGACCTGAGCTTTTCGGTAGACAAGTGACTCCGTTGAGAAGATGGCACACGTAAATGGCACAATCAACGAGGATCTTCGAGCATGAGGTCAGCGTATCACTAAAAACAATGTCGTTGGTTCTAATGTCCCTGTTGATACCGCCCTTGATATCCCTGATAGCTGTGGTTCGCAGTCTCTTCGAGGTTGAAACCAAGTAATAGACGCACCATAGAATCAACAGCAAAGGGATGAAATCCCACGGCGACAGCGAATCGTCGTCATAGTTGTGGAAGGTGCTGTACAACAAGAACACAAGCAACGAGACACCACTCAGCGTGACATATCTCCCGTAGCCAGCAGTTGTGGTTTCAAACTTGAATACCTTGTTCACCTGAATCCCGCGTCTTTCACACACAACAACCACCAAGCACCAGAACCACGAGATCAGCGAGATCAGCAGCACTACTCTGAACGGCAAAGGTATCTGATCCGTGAGAACCATCTTCTACTGAGTCTTCGAATAGATCTGTGAATTAGAAAGAGAGAGCTTCTTTTTTATGTAAATGAAAACAGAATAGAGTGAAACAAAACAAAACAAAACACGTCGCTCAAGAAACTCCGACTGCAGGCAGGAGAAGGGGGAAAACACGTAGGAAGCCTCAACGGTCTTCAGCCCACTCGTTTTCTCTTTTGATCGCAGCCTCTTCCTCTGGGGAGAAGTCGTTGACGATATTAAACGTTCTACGGATCTCCTCAGGTGTCTTGCCCCTGATCATCTCAGCAACAACCTTGCAACCGGCGTCCAACAGCGGTCTGATGTTCAGGTAGTTTGCGCCCAAGATGATCTCGTACAGCATCTCCTGGTCGACCCTGAGGAACTCACGATCCCACTCCTCCACTGGGGCGCTCTTTCTGGAGTCGTCGTCCTCGTCGTCTGGGAACGCTGTGTCCTTGTGGTGCTCACACCACTCCAGTATCTTCTGCAGCACTGAGCCTCTAACGTTTGGAATTGGCACCTCAAAGCTCTCGTCGTCGTCGTCATCGTCGTTGCCCAGGTCCCCCAACATGTTCTTGATGAGGACACTGCGCTCTGCGACTTTGCGCTCCACTTTGAAAGGCTCTCCGTCTGATGAGATGATGGAAATCGACATTGTTTGCTGGCGGGCTTGTAGGCTTTTGGCTGTGTGTTGTGTGCTGGAGGTGCTGTTATAGCTGTGTTCTCTGTGTAAATTTGCCGCAATCCACAACCCTTCAGGCTGTGAGGGCCCGCGAAAGTGGCTCGCTGCTGGGCTGGCGGGGGACCGCTAGGCGGGCCCTGCTAGGCGGGTCCTGCTTAGGTGGAACGGGACGTAGTTGGATGGCTACTGAGCATCTATGGGGGTAGCATATATACTGAAATTACCTGTAATCATTCAAAGTTCGAATACACAGATGCACTTAGCTCATCAAGCTCGACAACCTGATCCATAGACTGCACGATGTCCAGTGGGTCTTTCATCATCTGGCTCGATTTGGTCACTGTGGCCAAAACCATAGCGAGCTTAACCGTTGAGCCTTGGTGCTTCGACACCAGCTGCGCCAGCACTTGGTTCAAGGAAGTGGATACCAAACTGTCGTATACGATTTGGCAAGATGGTGCTTTCAAATAGCCGTGTGTCTCCTGCACCAGGAGGTCCAGGTTGTTGCTCCCACTGTCCGCTTTGTTCTCCAGAGGCATAGTTTCATCAACAGGTGCAGAGTCGTTGACGCTTCTAATGACAAACTGTTGCAGTTCCGGTGGTGGCAATAGCAACTTATCCAGGTCCAACCCTTGTTTTAACACTTGGGAGACTCTGCCGATCAGCACGGCAAACTCTTCGATATCGAGATCATAGCGTGGGCTAATCTCTTCAAATACGTCCTCAACAGCTTGTTGAATCAGCTGTTTCAATGCAACCCAGCCTCTGTTCAAAACCCACCAACTCAGTGCGAGGTATTCCTCCTCACTGGTGTAATCCTTGACATCATCTACATCGTTCAGCAAGTCTGCGTCCTTCAACTGGAATCCATGCTTCTTCGAGGCCTGATCAATCGCATCCTCCAAGTACTCTGATCTTGCTAGAATGTTCAACTGTAACCTGGTCAATAGCACAACCAATGCATCGGTGTATATCAACGTCAAGAGTCTTGTTATTGACAGGATCTTCAATTCAACCCATAGCTGGCTCTTTGTCTTGAGTTCAACCTCGCCGGCAGTGTCGCCAGCGTCGGTGGCAGAGGACTCGCCTGCAACGGAATCATCAATGGAGCTGCCCGTCAATGAGCCTTCCTTACCAGTCTGAACTTTTCTTCTTGCCTGTAGTTCTCTGGTTATGTCCTCCACAGGGATCTCAGTCAGAATCCTTTGGTTCACAACGGAACACAGAGCACCAACTGTCACTAAACAATCCTCCTGGGTTCTTTCAAACTTGTCCCTTATTCTTGCTCTTTGGATCCTCTCCTGTGCAATCTGTCTCTGGTAATCGTCAAATCTCTTCTTTAGATAACCAAGGCCTAAATACACAGCGGCGATGACACCAGAAGTGATAAGAAACCTCCGTTTGTTCCTGTTGAAGAACCGGCGGATAGCTAAGAACATTATCACCACCTTCCACGGTCTCTTTCTAACCGATCACAACCGTTGCAAATCTATTCACGTTGATGCTGTGGTTTAGCATTTCCAATTGTGAAGTCGTCTGCTTCGGAATTTGCTCTCTTTTAACAGAGATGCGGCCCCCGCTAAAAAGGGGGCGGGGCCGCGGGTTCAACCTGCTTAAATGAGAAACGAGGGACGATGGGGTCGGAATTTGCGTACTACTACTACTACTACTACTACTACTACTACTACTACTACTACTACTACTACTACTACTACTACTACTACTACTACTACTACTACTACTACTAC